GATAGTACTTGGAAGCTGCTGGAGAGTGCCAATCTTGAGCCCTGGCCAAACAATCAAGGAACTGACTTGTAGAGACGCTGTCGATGTTCTAACGTCGGGTGGTCAAATATCCAGCCCGATAGACGAAGTCAAACACGTGTTGTAGAAGTAAAATCGAAATCTGATATATGCTAACCAATTACAAACCCAAGACCTACGATATGCTTATCTGTATACCAGGCTACGTCGTCACGTGTCGTTCATACCGTAATGATCGTCCCTTCGGATCATGTGGTCCACAACAGTCGCCGATCCACTAAGGTCGATCAACTTTGACACTCGGCTTTTGGCGCCCGAATAATTGCAGGCCTCAATAGTAATTTACTGAATATGTAGTCCACATCTTTCTCTCGCTGCCAGTCAACTCGCTCTCTCTTTCCCATGTAGCGTATTTGCCAATCATACTGGTATTGTGTCCCACTGAATTTCCGGACCGAGTCTCCCCACAAACTTTTGAATAACTTCACCACAATGTGTTCTTCGACGATGTGACGCAAGTGAAGCCATACGTCACGATCGTAATCAGAGTGCAAGAAGGAGAAGATAAATATATGCGCGCTTAAAAACTTAACCATCTTTCATTGGGAGCTGCTTTTCGTTGGTATGTAACACTTGTATTAATTAGCATGCATAGAAAAGCTATATGGGCAACAATATAGACATAGTTGGAGCGTGCGAAGCCTTTATTGTTCAAGCTGGAGTTCTAAAAGCGAGATAAAGATGAATGTTGTGGCGCTGGTACCGACAGAAAAACCGAGTCAGATTCTGCACAGAATCGATTGTTCGTACTATTCCTAGTACATGCACAGCCTTAGCGTTTCCTCGACCCCGCCACAACCTCAGCATCATTGTAACTTATTTGAAATGGACCTGACGGCATAAAGGGTTCGTGGCATAAAGGGTCGTGACATATATTGTCTCAAGAAAGTGCTCACATGCCTTATGCGGCAGCGAAGGTTGAACGATAATGAACAACAGGGTTTCAGTATTGCGGACAGCACGTAGGTTCTGCAATGATTAGCATGTCGCATGAAGACCGCATCAAAACGTCTATTTTTCTTGCTAATATCGGTACAAAAGCAGAAAGCAGCCATGACATTTTGAGCACAAGCAAATGTAACAGCCGAATGCGTGGTACAAAGTTGACAAGGGGTTGAAAATGTATGGATTAAAAAGATTAGGACGAATATGCCGAAAGGTTAAGTTTGCTATCAAACGCTGCAGGATCGCGTACCCTGTTTTACCGGATCCATGACTGGGGCGATCATGCGAAAAACATACACACGATCACAGTTGTTCTTGAAGAGTACTGTAGTAGCTACCGCGATCTTCTTTGGATCCCCATGTCCAATGTGTCTATCCTTAATCAACTTGACCTACTTGAAATCTTCTGACCCCTTGAGCCGTCTAGTAGGTCTTGTCTTTGCGTATAACCGCTGAGTCCGATAGCACTTGGAAGCTGCTGGAGAGTGCCAATCTTGAGCCCTGGCCAAACAATCAAGGAACTGACTTGTAGAGACGCTGTCGATGTTCTAACGTCGGGTGGTCAAATATCCAGCCCGATAGACGAAGTCAAACACGTGTTGTAGAAGTAAAATCGAAATCTGATATATGCTAACCAATTACAAACCCAAGACCTACGATATGCTTATCTGTATACCAGGCTACGTCGTCACGTGTCGTTCATACCGTAATGATCGTCCCTTCGGATCATGTGGTCCACAACAGTCGCCGATCCACTAAGGTCGATCGACTTTGACACTCGGCTTTTGGCGCCCGAATAATTGCAGGCCTCAATACGTAATTTACTGAATATGTAGTCCACATCTTTCTCTCGCTGCCAGTCAACTCGCTCTCTCTTTCCCATGTAGCGTATTTGCCAATCATACTGGTATTGTGTCCCACTGAATTTCCGGACCGAGTCTCCCCACAAACTTTTGAATAACTTCACCACAATGTGTTCTTCGACGATGTGACGCAAGTGAAGCCATACGTCACGATCGTAATCAGAGTGCAAGAAGGAGAAGATAAATATATGCGCGCTTAAAAACTTAACCATCTTTCATTGGGAGCTGCTTTTCGTTGGTATGTAACACTTGTATTAATTAGCATGCATAGAAAAGCTATATGGGCAACAATATAGACATAGTTGGAGCGTGCGAAGCCTTTATTGTTCAAGCTGGAGTCCTAAAAGCGAGATAAAGATGAATGTTTATGCGCTGGTACCGACAGAAAAACCGAGTCAGATTCTGCACAGAATCGATTGTTCGTACTATTCCTAGTACATGCACAGCCTTAGCGTTTCCTCGACCCCGCCACAACCTCAGCATCATTGTAACTTATTTGAAATGGACCTGACGGCATAAAGGGTTCGTGGCATAAAGGGTCGTGACATATATTGTCTCAAGAAAGTGCTCACATGCCTTATGCGGCAGCGAAGGTTGAACGATAATGAACAACAGGGTTTCAGTATTGCGGACAGCACGTAGGTTCTGCAATGATTAGCATGTCGCATGAAGACCGCATCAAAACGTCTATTTTTCTTGCTAATATCGGTACAAAAGCAGAAAGCAGCCATGACATTTTGAGCACAAGCAAATGTAACAGCCGAATGCGTGGTACAAAGTTGACAAGGGGTTGAAAATGTATGGATTAAAAAGATTAGGACGAATATGCCGAAAGGTTAAGTTCGCTATCAACACGCTGCAGGATCGCGTACCCTGTTTTACCGGATCCATGACTGGGGCGATCATGCAAAAAACATACACACGATCACAGTTGTTCTTGAAGGGTACTGTAGTAGCTACCGCGTATCTTCTTTGGATCCCCATGTCCAATGTGTATGAAATAAAGCGTTTTGAATTTCGAGAGGTCAGAGGACAAGTCGGTCAAAGAAAAAGGGCTTTGTCACGTAGGATTGACCGTTGGAAAAGGGACACAGAGACGGGGCGCTAAAGGAACGGAAAGCGACCGTTGGATGAGAAGAATGTACGGTCAAAACGTGCTAGTTAGCTGCCATTCAAAGGAGTTAACCGCGGTTAGACCGATGGACCACGGTTCCTCAAGGTGGCCCCCGGTGCTTTAAGGTCGACCCTGCTCTATTATTGGTAGACCTCGGTCTTTCGTAGAGATAGACCTTGGCTTTTCGGTCGGTGGACCATCGGCCCCTGTCCCTAAAGGTAAACCTTGTCCTGCATCAAAGGGACCTCGGTCCTCGGTCGAAAGGCGTTAGCCCTTCGGTCCCAGGCCTCTCGGTTTCAGGCCTCTCGGTCCCTGGCCTCTCGGCCCCTCGGTCGATCTACCCTAGCCAAGCGGAATCAAGAATCAGGTCTCGGGGGTAAAGATAGAGTAAAGGAGTTAAAAGATAGGGGTAAAGTACTACTCTATTTGCGATCTACATAGCACGCCTCCGTCGGGCTTACAATGAACTTGACTAAGTCTACCCACCTGTTTCGGGAAGGAATACATTTTGGCCCCCCCGTCGAAGACAGTTTTGTGGTAAGACCCAAGTGTGAATAGAGCCTCAGGATACATTTGGCCTGTGGGTTCTTCTGAGTAGCACCCCCCCAATCGACCCGCTATCGGAAGTGGTCTCCGTACATTAGTCGTTCGAAAGCAGGTAAAGGCCAGGAGGTTAACACCCCTGAGATATCAAGGAAAAGGCCAGGGTTGAGAATCTCCCTGAAGTATTTGGTTATAAGCCCACCCTCGACCTAGTCGACCAAGTGGCCACCTACCCGTCTACCGGGTGAAGTATATCCACTCGAGGCACCCAAGGTCGACCTCTCTCAAGGCCGACACCACATCTCAACCAAGTCTGCCGAAGCGTGCAACCCGCCAGCCGACGAGTACACAAGGTGAGAGAAGATTATACGCGGCATCGGGGTACCTCCTCCGGCTGTCGGCAGTCCGGCACAGTGGTTCAAGCCTGAAGACTTGATTTACCTGGGGTTCAACAGTATCAAGACCACGTTAGAAATCCGACACAAACGTCTGGGTATCCTGGTGGGAACAACGCCAGTACTACTCGCTCGACTCACCTCCTGCGACTGCCGCAAAAGAACTGTCTGACAAAGCCACATGACCCTGCAAGCCATCGAGGTCCACCATCGAGAGCATTGGGACCGAGGACCCATGGTCTATGCGAGGTCGATCACAAACCACCTTGACTCAGGGTCTTCAGGTCCCTGCAAGGCAATCATCGCGAGGGTCGCCCGTCGCTAGTCACGCGGGCCGATTGCCACTAGAACCGACTGGCATGCCGCTGCTGCAGGCCCGAGCGGAGAGCGCGGACGACGAGCAGCGAGCTCACGAAAAGGCCACGTGTGTACAGCCAAGAGAAAGTCGGGCTTTGATAGGTCAGATTTTTAACCAATCAGAAATGAGCCAAGACCAGTACCGAATTTTACCTCGTCACGTGACGAAGTTGCCCGGGGGTAATTTACAGGCATACTTTGACGTGGCGATGGAGAAATACTTACAGGAACGACAAGTACCACAAACACACATCGATGGAAGTGCGGCCAGAGGACGACAGAGGGCGCAGAGGTCAATGGCCCAGCTGGGCCCAAGTGCAGGTATGCAAGCTGCAAGGGCCAAGGGATGAACTACGTGGAGATAGAAATGGTCGGTTCGTGTGAATACGACCCAGATGACATGGACCTCGATGGACCTCTGGCGAGAATGGCCAGTGTCACCTGGGACAGGTGCCCAACATGGTCCCTCGTATCAAGCTCTAAGCGACGTTGGATCTCAAGGAGTGTCATGGTAAAGACCAAGATGAGGACCGAGCACGAAGCTGGGTGACCACTGTGAAGACCGCGTTCACGAGGGACTAAGCGCCAGATGGGGAAAAGTGTCTCGTTTTTGGAGGATTTTTGACTGGACCTGCCCAGAACTGGTATCATTAACTAGGTCGCTCTGTCCGTGGAAATTGGAAGGATTTGTTACAGGAATTCCAGATGCCGTTCTGTGGTTTGGGGATGCCAGTGGCCAATATTACCACGCGAAGAAAAGGTTGGACGAATCTCCGCTGGACTACCTATACCGTCTGAATGTCATTGGACTTTGAGCGAAGACCACGATCAAGGATGGGCCGTCCAAGATTCAAAAGGAACATGCCGAACACTATATTGAGACGACCCTGACTTGGCAGACCAGTTGACCGTGTTACTTTTGGCTGATGTGGAAGAGCGGGAGGATGTACTGAGGGCGCGTCAACGGACGAATGCTCGACGGGGCAATTTGTTGTTCGGTCGAGCAAATTTCGCCAGAAAGCACCGATTCCTCCCTGATCGGCCAAGCGAGCTTAATCGCCGCTCTGTCCATGCAGTTCGAGCGACCCAGGAAGGATCAAGCTCCGAAGTCTCTAGTTTAGGCAGTTCGGATAGTGACGGTGACCTACGCTACGGAGACGGAGAAAGACCTAGGGTCAAGGACCCCGAGGGACCAAACATTCAGAGAGGTTGACCAGCCCCGACCCTCAACCAAGGACATTGGACCCCGCACGGCGTCGGCGACCCCAAGTGCAAGATGCGCCCATTGTGGGTCCAGGAAGCATGGATACTTGGGTTGTTGGAAGAGGCTGACCTGCGATCGCTGTGGGAAGAAGGGCCATCCATCAGATCGTTTCCTGTTCGTATGCCAAGGTTGTGGAGAAACTCACGAGGTCGGGAAGTGCCCGATGGAAGAGTTTTATAACTTGATCCGTCAGTGGTACAGTGCAACCCGACCAAGCGCGTTGGGATGTTGCCGGAGAAGGTCGAGAAGATGCTAAATTAGGACGCTCGCCAGGTTTGAATCTGGTACGAGCCGAGCGTTCTAATTGTTGAATATTTGCATATGAGGAAAAGCGACCCAAGGGAGAAAGGGACATTAAGGATAACTTGATGGAAAATATATTGAAGTTTGAAAGTTACCCTAGGGTCCATGTTGCTTCTTCGGTGCGTCTAACGGTTTTGTTCGGGAAAGTGCAGTGATGGAGCTGGACCTACTGCTGGGCGAGTCGAGGGGGTATTGGAACTACCATGCTCCAACAAAATGGTTTGGACAAGCCAAGGCCTCTGAGAAGATTAACAACGATCGAGCTAACTTGTTGTTCGATACTGGCGCCGAGATATCTATTTTGGATATCGCCTTTGCTCGTAAGATAGGCTGCCAGATTGACGAAAGCGAGCGCCAAGAATGTGTTGGTAGCGGGGGAGTCCGTGTATACCACGGAAAGACGTACCCGCATCAAGGTCACCCTGAACGGGAACTTGGTATACATTTTTAAGGTGTGGGTGGGCCCGATGGTGGGTCAGGCTGCAATTTTAGGCATGGACTTCATAGTCCCAGTCGGTGTTTGACTAGACCTGGCGGATGGGACACTATGTCTTCCTGATGAGGTTCGAGTCCAGTTATAAGGACGAAGGACCCTGTACGATAACCGGGTATCACACGTGAAGCTGGGTCAATACGAGACGTGCCTCTAAAAAGATCGACCTCACACCAATGGAAGTTGTGGGTCACAAGGAAAATACGATGGATCACGACCATGAATCAAGGGGTAGGAAGTCGGAAGTTCCTAAAGGTAACCAATGTCAGTGCCCAATCACTGATATTACACGAGGACACCAGATAGGTATATATCTGACGAAGGACCAAGTACCAAGGGCGCAGGGTTTGTGCCGGTGGGGTCTCGAAGATATGTCAAATGGCTAAACCTGGTGTATAATCCACCACCGACAACAAGTCGACTATCAGAAGGACATGACGGGGAAGGATGAAAGGCCATTGGCGGAGGTACGATAGTACAGTAATCCATCTAGAATACTTCAGCGACCAAGGGTGCTTGCTCCAGTAATGACTATGTCATTCCAGCCGAAGGTCGATCAGGTAGACCGGGTAGGCCAGGTAGACCCTCAATCCGGTCCGGTAGACCCTCAGGTTGATCAGGTGGGGGGGGGGGGGGGGGCGATCGGGTTGACCTTTTGGTCGATCGAGTTGACCTTCTGGTTGACCAGGTAGACCAGATGGGAGAAGTTGAAGGGCCGCTGGTAGAGTCGACACAAGAAGATGACCAAGTGTGCACGTTCGAAAGTGGGGAGCTCTGGGCCGAGGACGTAAGACAAGGGCGGGCTATCATACCAGAGGTAGACCTTTCACCCACGAGTATCAATCTTGAAGCTATACAGATTACTGACTCTGACGGAAACACCCCAGATGAGGTGGACCGACTCAGACAAATTATATGGAGAAGACAACATATACTCATGGGGAAGGGTAACGCCTTATCGCCGTCTGCTCAAGGAGCTATCTGTGACATTGATGTGGGTAGTGCGAGGTTGATTGCACAACGTGTACGGAAGGTGGCCCCTCAGTTCAAAAAAAAGCTGGCCGATCTGATCAAGGGACTATTATCTGCGAAGATTATCCAGCCCTCTACCTCGCCGTGAGCCAGCCCAATCGTCATTATTGTGAAGAAAAATGGGGTGGATATCAGGCTGTGTATTGATTATCGGCTGGTGAGCGACTTGAACCATCTTATGGTCTACCCTATGCCTCTAATCAACGAATTGTTGGAGGACATGCACGGAGCATTGTGGTACTACTCCCTGGATATAAAAAGTGGGTTTTGGGTCTTTGTCATGACCGAAAGGGCAAGAAGGATCTCAGCTTTTGTCACCCCATTGGGGTTGTTCGAATAACTGCGGATGCCTTTTGGACTCAAGAATGCGCCTCAGATATATCAGAGACTTTTGGATAATGCTTTATATGGGTGTTTACGTATCTCTTAAAGGGCTGGTACAGAAGAGACCAAAGACTTGTTTGCGATGGTAATGCCTGATGTAAAGTGGGGTCCCTCGGTATTGGCCGTGGTTCTACATAGATAACATTCTGATACCGGCCGCCTCGTGGGATGTGTTGTGCGAAAAGGTAGAGTGGTCGTTAGATGTGTGTGACAATTGGAATTTATCGATCAGCGCGGTCAAGAGCTCATGGGGGTGCCGGAAGCTAGGCTACCTTGGGCACCGGATCTCGGACCAAGGACTAGAGGCCCACCCAAAGGACCTCCATTCCCTGGTCAACCTACCGTTGCCATCGACACTCAAAGCCATGCAATCGTTTCTCGGAAGTCTGAATAACTACCTTAGATTCATTGAAGATTATGCAGTGTATGCATCGATCCTCTATGAGTTACGGGAGGTGGAGTTTCACGCTTGGCGATGTAAGTTGAGGACGGGTGATGGTGTCGTGGCTAAGAAAGAAGACGAGGAGAAGTGGTCTAGGGCTCAAGTAGCTTTCGCTATGCTCAAGAATAAGATTGTCAGTGCACCTATCTTGCGACACTTTGACCCGTCCAAGGAAGCAGTAGTTATCGTTTATGCAAGTGAATGGGCCATATCCGCGTCGTTCGTACAAGACCATGGTATATCCTAATGCCGGTGACTTTACGAGTCGGACCTGTAAAACAAGTTTCCATTATTACGGATAATGGAAACTTGTTTTACGATGTAGGTCACTCGACCCCTCAAGGTCCTGACGAGGCATTCTACATTGGCGTGGCTAGTCAGGTTTACGGGGTTACAGGGACGTCTCGGTAAGTGGGCTGCCCTCTCCTGTCCCAATGGACTATGGAGATTGCAAAGTGCAGGAAGGGCAAGAACTAAGTACTGGGGGCGCTCGCAGCCAGCATGACTCCTCGCAAAAGTGTGGACTCGATTTTGTCGTCCATTGCCCCCAAGAAATATGTGCGGCAAGTGGTCGACCTACCTACACCAACTGTGGGGCGTGACAAAGAGTTATACGTCATGAGTTATGATGGGTCGGCCCTAGTGAATCAGGGAGGTGGAGCCTGTAGCGCTACTGTATGGAAATTAACTAATTGGACCATAGTCAAGGCTGCCTCAAAGTTTCTCGTTACATCAACTGTGAATGAGGCCGTGTATGAGGGTATGCTACTGGGTTTTGACCTGTTAGAGCCTATAGAACGACGGCGAATGATTAATCTGTGGAGATTTCAACTTGGTGGTACGATGAATGCGGGGAGAGATCGAGTGTAACGCTTCAAGATTGTCCCCTCTGCGCGCAAGAGCTTTGAATAGGGTGTTGTCATGACCCAACCAAGCAATCGTGCATGTAAAATGTGATTGAAATTAGAGCGCCGACCAATTGGCCAGCACAGCTCTGCGTCAGAAGGAAGCGATCAAGTTGATATTGGAAGGGGAATGGCCGAATTGTTTTTTGGAAACGATTAATCGATTGCCAGAGTTACTAGTTCCCAAGGACCAAAGTACATCGGCCAAGGTGCTTGCAGTTACTCGATCTCGAGCTTCCATCAAGATGTCAGGGGAAATCCGGCAAGAGGGTGTAATACAAAGACTCCGGACAGATAGAATCAGGGAGGGCCAAGAGCAAGAGGACTGCGTGCAGGATTTGAAGGCCTACTTGAGGGGATATTGGGTCGACCTGTCCATGGAGTCCGCCCGATCGTGCAGTAAGATGGCCAGGGACTGCGAGATGAGTGATATTTAGGGGCTACTATTGTATTGTCCCATTCAGAGGGTCGAGGGAGACGACCGAGAATTAGTAACGGCCAGACTAGTGACACCCAAAAGTCTCCAAGCTGACGTTCTGCATCACTACCACACCAGTCTGGAAGGAGGTCACCAAGGGGTTGGACGTACCTACCACCGAATCCGACGGTACTGCCATTGGAGAGGTTTATTCCAAAGCGTACAGAGGTGTGTGGGGACATGCGTGGATTGCGAGACTGGGAAAGGAGGACCTACCCTGCAGAGCAACGCTCCAGGAAATGTCGAAGCAACATACCCTTTCCAGATTATAGAGATGGATCATATTCCCTCTCTGTCCAGGTCGCATAGAGGGAATACCGAGTTACTAATTTGGATCGACCTGTTCACGGGGTATGTGATGGCCAAGGCTAGTGCGTTGCGAACGGCCCATACGATAGCTAAAGGGTACGAAGAATGCGTTCTTTTCGCCGTTTTGGTGCTAGCGAGGCAATCCGCCACGATCGAGAGCCAGGGTTTACGTCGGATTTCTGTCGGGCGTTTAGTCGCATGTTGGGCCAGCGTCAACAGGCTACCATGGCCTGTCGACCTCAGGAAAAAAAACGGTACCGCGAAAAGGATGTTTCAGACCCTGGCTAGGTCCATCAAGATGTATGTCTCTGATGTCGGACAGCAGTATTGGGACGAGTATGCAGAACGGCTGACGTTTGCGATGAACACCGCGCAAGACCGAGTCCGGAAGGAGACGCCGTTCTATCTGGTCCATGATTGGGATGATAGAACCACCCTCGAAGCTACATTACATGTAATAAATACGCGACGTCGAGAATTTGGGCCGCGCAGATGGAGATATCACATTCAGCAACACTATCAGCGGGTGATAGCCCAGGTGAATGAGAATCTACGAGCGGCCAGTCAAGCTCGGATCCTAGCTCATAACGAAGGGGTGGTTGACCACAAGATCCAGCCGGGAGCTCAAGTGCGGCTATACCTGGACCGCGTGAAAGAAGGGTACGCCAAGAAACTGGCCCACCTCTGGCATTGATCTTTTCGAGTACTAGAGTTGGTGGGAGAGCATGAGCACGTTTGTAAACTCGAGGCACGGAGTACAGGTTGTTCCCTGTGGTACATCTATCCAAACTCAAGAGGATTAGAGAGTTTTTCGACAGACCGAGTACCGCGTTAGAGACGGACGAAATAGGTCGGGTCGACTTCGATGAATACCTGTTGCCGGAGGACACTTGGGCAAGAGAGCTGGAAGAAGGAGAGTACGAGGTCGAGGAAATTTTGGAAGCCTGCACTGGAAAGAGAACACTCTACGAAAGACAACAACGAAAGCTCCTCGTCCGATGGAAAGGGTATGCAGACCCCTACTGAGTGAATGGATTCGAATTGTAGAGACTTACTTAAGATTTCAAAAGCAAGGAGAAAAGGAGGAATCGCTTCGAAGCGATGCAAAGCCATGAGGACTAGAGGCAGAAGCCGAGGTCTTTGGTTGGTCGACCATAGTCTATAGTGGGTAGACCTCGGCCTTCTGAGGTGGACTTTTGGTCTTTCGAGGTTGAACCTGGTCTATCATTGGTAGACCTTGGTCTTTTTGAGGTTGACCCTGGTCTATCATCAGTTTATCATGGTCTTCTAAGGTCGACCCTGGTCCATCATCGATAAACCTTGGTCTTTTGAGGTGGCCCTGGTCTTTGGTATGATAAAGAAAACGAAGTGACATAAGGTTCGAAGGTAGAGGGAAAAAAGATACAAGACAAAGACTTAGAGGAGGACGAACGCAAGTATATTCAGGTGGAAATGCCTACGGAGTGAGGACAAAATTGTTCTGGAGACGTGGTACCGAGTACCCAGGATGGGGCTCTGACGTAAGCTGATACTAAGTGATCCAAGGGTAGGTGGAGTCGGAGATCTTCAGGGCTTCCAGCAAGTTGACGGGTTCCAACCCTTCCGCACAACCTGGAAACCAGTACACCACGCAGCGAGGCCGAGGAAGGTGTCGGAAGAAGTTGTCAAACAGAATGTCGATATCGCATCGACCGTCACTCATTCCTTTAAAAATCATGTCGACGACCCCTCGCTACGCCCGAATCACACGACCACGACGATTCTATTGCGCATTATAATACGACGAGAGGAAGGTGCTGGCGCGCGCTTGATCTCCAGAGATCTATAGGCAGTCCGTGGCCTCCCAAATTGCTTGGCTGTGATCTTCGTCGAAACGTATATAGGCCGCCTCCAGCTCCGTAAACCATCCCACTGGTTGGAAAGATAAAGGTGGGGTCAAGACTCGTGCTGAAAGCTACGGTCGGGAGACAAGGAGGCTCTTGCGCATTGATAATGATGACCAGCGACGGTTTCCACTTCAAATGTCGATCGACCTCTAAGGGCCAAGAGCAATCTTTTCGAATGACCGAGGACTACCAATAATAGAGCAGGGCGACCTTGAAACACCGGGGTCCACCTTGAGGAAAAGTTGTTCATCGGGCCAATCGCGGTTAACTCCTTTGAATGGTGGCTAACTTGCACGCTTTGACCGTACATTCTTCTCATCCAATGGTCGCTTTCCGTTCCTTTAGCGCCCCGGCCCCTCTGTCTCTTACCCAACGATCGCTCCTTCTTGGCAAGTCCCTTTTTCGCTGCCCACTGGTCCGTTGGCCTCCCAGCTCTTGAAACGCTTCACCACAGCCGTCCTCCGCTCTTGGTCAACGGTACAGCCGCTTGAGCACGCGCATGTCTTCGTCTTCTGCATTCCGTAAGTACTCCTAGTTTGTTTGGCGTTTCGATACCCGTTGTCTGACTTGATGTACCTCAGCTGTTCCTTCCACTGGGGTTGATTCAACGACCGAGGGGCCGGTCTTTGACGCTACCCCGCTCACAGCTGACCCAAAGGCTCAGGTTCCCTCCCGAACGCCGATCGACACTCTTCTCCGGGTGCCCGGGCCAAGGGAGTCCACGACGGTTTCTTCCGAAGCCGTAGGTGAAGAGGGTCTCCAGACGTGGATCACCATCGGTCTTCCTCCAGCACCTCTGCTGTGGTGGACCCAATGGGGACGGTCACCTATGTCTCGCCCATTACCCCGTCGAGAGATCCCCCGACTGCGATGGGTGGGCCCATAGATGTACATTAGGTGCTGCGCGACCTACACGTACGCCTAAGCACGTATGACCGCAGCCTTGAGGCGTGCGATCGTCGACCAGCTCCTGTCTCCTCCCCGAAGCCTCCTAGACCGCCAGGTGTGAGCGCCTCGAGAGAGAGCTGCTAGACACCAACAATCTCGTGGTCCAGTTGCGAGAGGCGCTCCAGCACGAGAGGGCGCTAGTAGATCACTTGCGGTGGAGAATGGACTACCGCCAGAGCCGATACGCTCTCATGGTGGCGGAGTTGGAGCACAAGAATTGCAGCACGAATCCAGTCAAGGATCCCGTATCTCCTCCCGTGAATACTCCCACAGTGCCTCTACACCGGTGACGGGTAAGCGACCTCGGCGCTCATCGGCCAAGACGACCGCTAAGGTCTCTAAGTCTACCAAGTCAAGTGCGACCAGAACTCCCGCTTCGCCAACTCATAAGTCAGAGACCTTCCGTGATCTACCTTCGGCTTCTTCTTCTGACCCAGACGACGACACGGCAAGCGACGACAGCGAGGCGGTCCGAGCGACCTTAGCTCGGTCGCGATCTTCAAGGCGACGCTTCGCGCCAACCAATCAATCAATCCCAGCTATCTAAGCCGCTTATTTTTGCACAACCTGTTGCTCCTCCGGGTCCAGCAGTGTTCCATCCCATTTTCGGATCTTCTGACTCAGATGCCGAGTCGGTTTCGGAAAAAAAGACCCCCGGCACAGTTGTGAAGGCGGACTCCGCCCCAGGTGGGTCACCTACACTTCCGAAAGGAAACTTCATCCCTGGGTATATGCAGGTGAAAGCGTTCACTGCTGCGGAGGTAGCACCTTGCTCGGTTGACCTGGTCAACTCGTTGATTATCGTGACGATGACCCCTAGCGGCTTAATCGACCGCCTGGAGCTGCCTTGGGGCTGGTTCGGTCCGCCAAACGGGAAAGGTTGATTAACCTTCGAAGTGGAAACCGTCGCTGGTCATCATTTCAATGCGCAAGAGCCTCCTTGTCTCCCGACCGTAGCTTTCAGCACGAGTCTTGACCCCACCTTTATCTTTCCAACCAGTGGGATGGTTTACGGAGCTGGAGGCGGCCTATATACGTTTCGACGAAGATCACAGCCAAGCAATTTGGGAGGCCACGGACTGCCTATAGATCTCTGGAGATCAAGCGCGCGCCAGCACCTTCCTCTCGTCGTATTATAATGCGCAATAGAATCGTCGTGGTCGTGTGATTCGGGCGTAGCGAGGGGTCGTCGACATGATTTTTAAAGGAATGAGTGACGGTCGATGCGATATCGACATTCTGTTTGACAACTTCTTCCGACACCTTCCTCGGCCTCGCTGCGTGGTGTACTGGTTTCCAGGTTGTGCGGAAGGGTTGGAACCCGTCAACTTGCTGGAAGCCCTGAAGATCTCCGACTCCACCTACCCTTGGATCACTTAGTATCAGCTTACGTCAGAGCCCCATCCTGGGTACTCGGTACCACGTCTCCAGAACAATTTTGTCCCCACTCCGTAGGCATTTCCACCTGAATATACTTGCGTTCGTCCTCCTCTAAGTCTTTGTCTTGTATCTTTTTTCCCTCTACCTTCGAACCTTATGTCACTTCGTTTTCTTTATCATACCAAAGACCAGGGCCACCTCAAAAGACCAAGGTTTATCGATGATGGACCAGGGTCGACCTTAGAAGACCATGATAAACTGATGATAGACCAGGGTCAACCTCAAAAAGACCAAGGTCTACCAATGATAGACCAGGTTCAACCTCGAAAGACCAAAAGTCCACCTCAGAAGGCCGAGGTCTACCCACTATAGACTATGGTCGACCAACCAAAGACCTCGGCTTCTGCCTCTAGTCCTCATGGCTTTGCATCGCTTCGAAGCGATTCCTCCTTTTCTCCTTGCTTTTGAAATCTTAAGTAAGTCTCTACAATTCGAATCCATTCACTCAGTAGGGGTCTGCATACCCTTTCCATCGGACGAGGAGCTTTCGTTGTTGTCTTTCGTAGAGTGTTCTCTTTCCAGTGCAGGCTTCCAAAATTTCCTCGACCTCGTACTCTCCTTCTTCCAGCTCTCTTGCCCAAGTGTCCTCCGGCAACAGGTATTCATCGAAGTCGACCCGACCTATTTCGTCCGTCTCTAACGCGGTACTCGGTCTGTCGAAAAACTCTCTAATCCTCTTGAGTTTGGATAGATGTACCACAGGGAACAACCTGTACTCCGTGCCTCGAGTTTACAAACGTGCTCATGCTCTCCCACCAACTCTAGTACTCGAAAAGATCAATGCCAGAGGTGGGCCAGTTTCTTGGCGTACCCTTCTTTCACGCGGTCCAGGTATAGCCGCACTTGAGCTCCCGGCTGGATCTTGTGGTCAACCACCCCTTCGTTATGAGCTAGGATCCGAGCTTGACTGGCCGCTCGTAGATTCTCATTCACCTGGGCTATCACCCGCTGATAGTGTTGCTGAATGTGATATCTCCATCTGCGCGGCCCAAATTCTCGACGTCGCGTATTTATTACATGTAATGTAGCTTCGAGGGTGGTTCTATCATCCCAATCATGGACCAGATAGAACGGCGTCTCCTTCCGGACTCGGTCTTGCGCGGTGTTCATCGCAAACGTCAGCCGTTCTGCATACTCGTCCCAATACTGCTGTCCGACATCAGAGACATACATCTTGATGGACCTAGCCAGGGTCTGAAACATCCTTTTCGCGGTACCGTTTTTTTTTCCTGAGGTCGACAGGCCATGGTAGCCTGTTGACGCTGGCCCAACATGCGACTAAACGCCCGACAGAAATCCGACGTAAACCCTGGCTCTCGATCGTGGCGGATTGCCTCGCTAGCACCAAAACGGCGAAAAGAACGCATTCTTCGTACCCTTTAGCTATCGTATGGGCCGTTCGCAACGCACTAGCCTTGGCCATCACATACCCCGTGAACAGGTCGATCCAAATTAGTAACTCGGTATTCCCTCTATGCGACCTGGACAGAGAGGGAATATGATCCATCTCTATAATCTGGAAAGGGTATGTTGCTTCGACATTTCCTGGAGCGTTGCTCTGCAGGGTAGGTCCTCCTTTCCCAGTCTCGCAATCCACGCATGTCCCCACACACCTCTGTACGCTTTGGAATAAACCTCTCCAATGGCAGTACCGTCGGATTCGGTGGTAGGTACGTCCAACCCCTTGGTGACCTCCTTCCAGACTGGTGTGGTAGTGATGCAGAACGTCAGCTTGGAGACTTTTGGGTGTCACTAGTCTGGCCGTTACTAATTCTCGGTCGTCTCCCTCGACCCTCTGAATGGGACAATACAATAGTAGCCCCTAAATATCACTCATCTCGCAGTCCCTGGCCATCTTACTGCACGATCGGGCGGACTCCATGGACAGGTCGACCCAATATCCCCTCAAGTAGGCCTTCAAATCCTGCACGCAGTCCTCTTGCTCTTGGCCCTCCCTGATTCTATCTGTCCGGAGTCTTTGTATTACACCCTCTTGCCGGATTTCCCCTGACATCTTGATGGAAGCTCGAGATCGAGTAACTGCAAGCACCTTGGCCGATGTACTTTGGTCCTTGGGAACTAGTAACTCTGGCAATCGATTAATCGTTTCCAAAAAACAATTCGGCCATTCCCCTTCCAATATCAACTTGATCGCTTCCTTCTGACGCAGAGCTGTGCTGGCCAATTGGTCGGCGCTCTAATTTCAATCACATTTTACATGCACGATTGCTTGGTTGGGTCATGACAACACCCTATTCAAAGCTCTTGCGCGCAGAGGGGACAATCTTGAAGCGTTACACTCGATCTCTCCCCGCATTCATCGTACCACCAAGTTGAAATCTCCACAGATTAATCATTCGCCGTCGTTCTATAGGCTCTAACAGGTCAAAACCCAGTAGCATACCCTCATACACGGCCTCATTCACAGTTGATGTAACGAGAAACTTTGAGGCAGCCTTGACTATGGTCCAATTAGTTAATTTCCATACAGTAGCGCTACAGGCTCCACCTCCCTGATTCACTAGGGCCGACCCATCATAACTCATGACGTATAACTCTTTGTCACGCCCCACAGTTGGTGTAGGTAGGTCGACCACTTGCCGCACATATTTCTTGGGGGCAATGGACGACAAAATCGAGTCCACACTTTTGCGAGGAGTCATGCTGGCTGCGAGCGCCCCCCAGTACTTAGTTCTTGCCCTTCCTGCACTTTGCAATCTCCATAGTCCATTGGGACAGGAGAGGGCAGCCCACTTACCGAGACGTCCCTGTAACCCCGTAAACCTGACTAGCCACGCCAATGTAGAATGCCTCGTCAGGACCTTGAGGGGTCGAGTGACCTACATCGTAAAACAAGTTTCCATTATCCGTAATAATGGAAACTTGTTTTACAGGTCCGACTCGTAAAGTCACCGGCATTAGGATATACCATGGTCTTGTACGAACGACGCGGATATGGCCCATTCACTTGCATAAACGATAACTACTGCTTCCTTGGACGGGTCAAAGTGTCGCAAGATAGGTGCACTGACAATCTTATTCTTGAGCATAGCGAAAGCTACTTGAGCCCTAGACCACTTCTCCTCGTCTTCTTTCTTAGCCACGACACCATCACCCGTCCTCAACTTACATCGCCAAGCGTGAAACTCCACCTCCCGTAACTCATAGAGGATCGATGCATACACTGCATAATCTTCAATGAATCTAAGGTAGTTATTCAGACTTCCGAGAAACGATTGCATGGCTTTGAGTGTCGATGGCAACGGTAGGTTGACCAGGGAATGGAGGTCCTTTGGGTGGGCCTCTAGTCCTTGGTCCGAGATCCGGTGCCCAAGGTAGCCTAGCTTCCGGCACCCCCATGAGCTCTTGACCGCGCTGATCGATAAATTCCAATTGTCACACACATCTAACGACCACTCTACCTTTTCGCACAACACATCCCACGAGGCGGCCGGTATCAGAATGTTATCTATGTAGAACCACGGCCAATACCGAGGGACCCCACTTTACATCAGGCATTACCATCGCAAACAAGTCTTTGGTCTCTTCTGTACCAGCCCTTTAAGAGATACGTAAACACCCATATAAAGCATTATCCAAAAGTCTCTGATATATCTGAGGCGCATTCTTGAGTCCAAAAGGCATCCGCAGTTATTCGAACAACCCCAATGGGGTGACAAAAGCTGAGATCCTTCTTGCCCTTTCGGTCATGACAAAGACCCAAAACCCACTTTTTATATCCAGGGAGTAGTACCACAATGCTCCGTGCATGTCCTCCAACAATTCGTTGATTAGAGGCATAGGGTAGACCATAAGATGGTTCAAGTCGCTCACCAGCCGATAATCAATACACAGCCTGATATCCACCCCATTTTTCTTCACAATAATGACGATTGGGCTGGCTCACGGCGAGGTAGAGGGCTGGATAATCTTCGCAGATAATAGTCCCTTGATCAGATCGGCCAGCTTTTTTTTGAACTGAGGGGCCACCTTCCGTACACGTTGTGCAATCAACCTCGCACTACCCACATCAATGTCACAGATAGCTCCTTGAGCAGACGGCGATAAGGCGTTACCCTTCCCCATGAGTATATGTTGTCTTCTCCATATAATTTGTCTGAGTCGGTCCACCTCATCTGGGGTGTTTCCGTCAGAGTCAGTAATCTGTATAGCTTCAAGATTGATACTCGTGGGTGAAAGGTCTACCTCTGGTATGATAGCCCGCCCTTGTCTTACGTCCTCGGCCCAGAGCTCCCCACTTTCGAACGTGCACACTTGGTCATCTTCTTGTGTCGACTCTACCAGCGGCCCTTCAACTTCTCCCATCTGGTCTACCTGGTCAACCAGAAGGTCAACTCGATCGACCAAAAGGTCAACCCGATCGACCTGGGGGGGGGGCGCCGGCCCGGGTGGGGGGTTTCCCGGGCCTCCCCGGTCTACCTGTTTGACCTGTCAGCCTGAGGGTCTACCTGATCAACCTGAGGGTCTACCGGACCGGATTGAGGGTCTACCTGGCCTACCCGGTCTACCTGATCGACCTTCGGCTGGAATGACATAGTCATTACTGGAGCAAGCACCCTTGGTCGCTGAAGTATTCTAGATGGATTACTGTACTATCGTACCTCCGCCAATGGCCTTTCATCCTTCCCCGTCATGTCCTTCTGATAGTCGACTTGTTGTCGGTGGTGGATTATACACCAGGTTTAGCCATTTGACATATCTTCGAGACCCCACCGGCACAAACCCTGCGCCCTTGGTACTTGGTCCTTCGTCAGATATATACCTATCTGGTGTCCTCGTGTAATATCAGTGATTGGGCACTGACATTGGTTACCTTTAGGAACTTCCGACTTCCTACCCCTTGATTCATGGTCGTGATCCATCGTATTTTCCTTGTGACCCACAACTTCCATTGGTGTGAGGTCGATCTTTTAGAGGCACGTCTCGTATTGACCCAGCTTCACGTGTGATACCCGGTTATCGTACAGGGTCCTTCGTCCTTATAACTGGACTCGAACCTCATCAGGAAGACATAGTGTCCCATCCGCCAGGTCTAGTCAAACACCGACTGGGACTATGAAGTCCATGCCTAAAATTGCAGCCTGACCCACCATCGGGCCCACCCACACCTTAAAAATGTATACCAAGTTCCCGTTCAGGGTGACCTTGATGCGGGTACGTCTTTCCGTGGTATACACGGACTCCCCCGCTACCAACACATTCTTGGCGCTCGCTTTCGTCAATCTGGCAGCCTATCTTACGAGCAAAGGCGATATCCAAAATAGATATCTCGGCGCCAGTATCGAACAACAAGTTAGCTCGATCGTTGTTAATCTTCTCAGAGGCCTTGGCTTGTCCAAACCATTTTGTTGGAGCATGGTAGTTCCAATACCCCCTCGACTCGCCCAGCAGTAGGTCCAGCTCCATCACTGCACTTTCCCGAACAAAACCGTTAGACGCACCGAAGAAGCAACATGGACCCTAGGGTAACTTTCAAACTTCAATATATTTTCCATCAAGTTATCCTTAATGTCCCTTTCTCCCTTGGGTCGCTTTTCCTCATATGCAAATATTCAACAATTAGAACGCTCGGCTCGTACCAGATTCAAACCTGGCGAGCGTCCTAATTTAGCATCTTCTCGACCTTCTCCGGCAACATCCCAACGCGCTTGGTCGGGTTGCACTGTACCACTGACGGATCAAGTTATAAAACTCTTCCATCGGGCACTTCCCGACCTCGTGAGTTTCTCCACAACCTTGGCATACGAACAGGAAACGATCTGATGGATGGCCCTTCTTCCCACAGCGATCGCAGGTCAGCCTCTTCCAACAACCCAAGTATCCATGCTTCCTGGACCCACAATGGGCGCATCTTGCACTTGGGGTCGCCGACGCCGTGCGGGGTCCAATGTCCTTGGTTGAGGGTCGGGGCTGGTCAACCTCTCTGAATGTTTGGTCCCTCGGGGTCCTTGACCCTAGGTCTTTCTCCGTCTCCGTAGCGTAGGTCACCGTCACTATCCGAACTGCCTAAACTAGAGACTTCGGAGCTTGATCCTTCCTGGGTCGCTCGAACTGCATGGACAGAGCGGCGATTAAGCTCGCTTGGCCGATCAGGGAGGAATCGGTGCTTTCTGGCGAAATTTGCTCGACCGAACAACAAATTGCCCCGTCGAGCATTCGTCCGTTGACGCGCCCTCAGTACATCCTCCCGCTCTTCCACATCAGCCAAAAGTAACACGGTCAACTGGTCTGCCAAGTCAGGGTCGTCTCAATATAGTGTTCGGCATGTTCCTTTTGAATCTTGGACGGCCCATCCTTGATCGTGGTCTTCGCTCAAAGTCCAATGACATTCAGACGGTATAGGTAGTCCAGCGGAGATTCGTCCAACCTTTTCTTCGCGTGGTAATATTGGCCACTGGCATCCCCAAACCACAGAACGGCATCTGGAATTCCTGTAACAAATCCTTCCAATTTCCACGGACAGAGCGACCTAGTTAATGATACCAGTTCTGGGCAGGTCCAGTCAAAAATCCTCCAAAAACGAGACACTTTTCCCCATCTGGCGCTTAGTCCCTCGTGAACGCGGTCTTCACAGTGGTCACCCAGCTTCGTGCTCGGTCCTCATCTTGGTCTTTACCATGACACTCCTTGAGATCCAACGTCGCTTAGAGCTTGATACGAGGGACCATGTTGGGCACCTGTCCCAGGTGACACTGGCCATTCTCGCCAGAGGTCCATCGAGGTCCATGTCATCTGGGTCGTATTCACACGAACCGACCATTTCTATCTCCACGTAGTTCATCCCTTGGCCCTTGCAGCTTGCATACCTGCACTTGGGCCCAGCTGGGCCATTGACCTCTGCGCCCTCTGTCGTCCTCTGGCCGCACTTCCATCGATGTGTGTTTGTGGTACTTGTCGTTCCTGTAAGTATTTCTCCATCGCCACGTCAAAGTATGCCTGTAAATTACCCCCGGGCAACTTCGTCACGTGACGAGGTAAAATTCGGTACTGGTCTTGGCTCATTTCTGATTGGTTAAAAATCTGACCTATCAAAGCCCGACTTTCTCTTGGCTGTACACACGTGGCCTTTTCGTGAGCTCGCTGCTCGTCGTCCGCGCTCTCCGCTCGGGCCTGCAGCAGCGGCATGCCAGTCGGTTCTAGTGGCAATCGGCCCGCGTGACTAGCGACGGGCGACCCTCGCGATGATTGCCTTGCAGGGACCTGAAGACCCTGAGTCAAGGTGGTTTGTGATCGACCTCGCATAGACCATGGGTCCTCGGTCCCAATGCTCTCGATGGTGGACCTCGATGGCTTGCAGGGTCATGTGGCTTTGTCAGACAGTTCTTTTGCGGCAGTCGCAGGAGGTGAGTCGAGCGAGTAGTACTGGCGTTGTTCCCACCAGGATACCCAGACGTTTGTGTCGGATTTCTAACGTGGTCTTGATACTGTTGAACCCCAGGTAAATCAAGTCTTCAGGCTTGAACCACTGTGCCGGACTGCCGACAGCCGGAGGAGGTACCCCGATGCCGCGTATAATCTTCTCTCACCTTGTGTACTCGTCGGCTGGCGGGTTGCACGCTTCGGCAGACTTGGTTGAGATGTGGTGTCGGCCTTGAGAGAGGTCGACCTTGGGTGCCTCGAGTGGATATACTTCACCCGGTAGACGGGTAGGTGGCCACTTGGTCGACTAGGTCGAGGGTGGGCTTATAACCAAATACTTCAGGGAGATTCTCAACCCTGGCCTTTTCCTTGATATCTCAGGGGTGTTAACCTCCTGGCCTTTACCTGCTTTCGAACGACTAATGTACGGAGACCACTTCCGATAGCGGGTCGATTGGGGGGTGCTACTCAGAAGAACCCACAGGCCAAATGTATCCTGAGGCTCTATTCACACTTGGGTCTTACCACAAAACTGTCTTCGACGGGGGGGCCAAAATGTATTCCTTCCCGAAACAGGTGGGTAGACTTAGTCAAGTTCATTGTAAGCCCGACGGAGGCGTGCTATGTAGATCGCAAATAGAGTAGTACTTTACCCCTATCTTTTAACTCCTTTACTCTATCTTTACCCCCGAGACCTGATTCTTGATTCCGCTTGGCTAGGGTAGATCGACCGAGGGGCCGAGAGGCCAGGGACCGAGAGGCCTGAAACCGAGAGGCCTGGGACCGAAGGGCTAACGCCTTTCGACCGAGGACCGAGGTCCCTTTGATGCAGGACAAGGTTTACCTTTAGGGACAGGGGCCGATGGTCCACCGACCGAAAAGCCAAGGTCTATCTCTACGAAAGACCGAGGTCTACCAATAATAGAGCAGGGTCGACCTTAAAGCACCGGGGGCCACCTTGAGGAACCGTGGTCCATCGGTCTAACCGCGGTTAACTTCTTTGAATGGCAGCTAACTAGCACGTTTTGACCGTACATTCTTCTCATCCAACGGTCGCTTTCCGTTCCTTTAGCGCCCCGTCTCTTTGTCCCTTCCCAACGGTCGCCCCTCTTTGCAAGTCCCTCTCTCTTTGACTCACTGGTCCTCTGGCCTACCGGTTCTTGAAACATTTCGACCACACATACATACATTTTGCACTTTGAGATTCGGTGAGAGCGAATGTCCTGCGGACAAGACTGCTGTTAGATCACCAATGAAGTTGGTGCATTTTTGACTACAAAAAATTCACCAACATGCAAGATGCTTCGGGCACAAGGCCGAATCGAGAAATGCCACTCCGACGGCTTTGCCCACGTATCTTCCCATCTTTTGAAAAACACGCGAGTGCAAGCCTCAAGAACGACCCTGGGCTTACCTTGATATGGTGCAGTGTCGTCGGGAGAATGGACATCGATGAGATGGTAGTGATTGGTCTATCACAGGCATAACAGGAAGGGTTGCAGAACTGCTCCCTATACTTGGACCTAAGGGCGTGGAATACCTCATCGCCCAGAGCGAAGAAGAGGTTAACAAGCGTAATCATATGCTTGATGAATATAATAAAGCTCTAGTCGAGCATGTAAAGGCACAGATGCCTTCTTCTGCGCCTTCGCCCATGGCGACTATAGCGCAAGAAGTGGCCCGCAGACCAAAACCCATACAAATGGAAGTCGATAAGTTTGACGGCAAAGAAGGTGACAACCTTATGCTTTGGTTCCGGCAGGTTAAGTCAGCTATATTTATAGCCGACATCACCTATTAACCGTACCGTGTGGGCTTTGCCAAGGGCAAGTTAGGTGGTTTAGCCAAACAGTGGTCATTCACATGTGGTGCATCATTGCAAGATGCTTTTCCCACACGGGCCGATCTGAAAGTTCAGATGACCCGGCATTATGCACCGTCAAACCAAACACACCGTAATCGGTAGCGGTTTTTGGCGTGTCGTCAAGGCAAACGTGAGCTTGCGGCATATGTGCAAGAGTTGAGAACTCTCATTGCTGCCATGGTCATAGACCCTTTACCTGAGGCAGTTACTGTCACGGTCTTAATGGAGGGCCTCCTAGTTGGCGTTGCCAGAACGGAAGTCTTCCGGATAAACCCGTCCTCATTTGAGAAAGATGTTGGAGTGGCATGGAATGCCGAGACCAACTATAAGGCCGCTAGGCCTGCCACTTATAACTACTCGTCTGATGGGTCTGTACCCATGAACTGTAGTCAAGTTAGAGATGAAGAAGCTGAGCTTCAAGCTGCGGAGCAGCACTTTATGCGCAAATATTATATCTGCAAAATTTCCTGCAAGAAAGGCATATTTGACCTCGAAGGGCCGACGGCCCGTGGGTAAACCCTCAGGTTTGCCGCGGGGAAACGGCGGAACCCAGTATGCGCGGGGTACCCTACTGGGGAAGAACTGAGTTCTGTTGAACCGCTAGGAGGTCGAATTAAACAAGGCCCAGCCCCAAAGAAATCCGTACTCTCAGAAACGGAACGAGAATGCAAGCCAGGCTTGCTAGTCGTCGAAGGGACGATTAAGGGCTATGATAAGCCATGGATTATTTTGTTCGATTCGGGGGCATCGGGCAATTTTGTGCGCCGTGCCACCGTGAAAGATAGTCAGCAGTATGCTGAAGCGCTTGTAGAGCGTGAGAGTGACACAGTGACAGTTCGCTTAGCGACTGGTACGCGTGTTACGGTACCCAAAGTCCCGATGGAATTAAATGTAATGGTCTTGGATTTTAACAGCATGGAACGCTGTTTGGTCTTAGACCTAGATGCAAGGTATGACCTTATCCCAGGCATGGCATGGCTAGAACGTCATGAGACATGGATTGATTGGAGGTCAAAGACCTTAGGCGAAACGCGCAATGCTTCTGGCGGGGCTCTGGAGAGTCATGAACCCACCTCTGCTAGAAAGCAAAAGCTTTTTTGGCGCGGATATTGGACCGAGTTGGTCAATATGTTGGATGTCAAAATATCCGACTTTGTAGACACTGTAAGTTTCGAGGACAACAGTCCTGGGCGAGGCCCAGTGACTGTCGATAGTGTGGTTGAGAACCCACTAGATGGCACATATGACATGTGTCATGAGAATGATGTTACATCATTAAACACCGTGAGTGGTGTTGGTGGCTTCAAACCAAGATGTCAGGACATGAGTCCAAGTGACATGAGTGACGAGGAACTGACCGTGGAGGGCCGGGTGAAGTCCCAAATGGATGTTGTCTTTGAGGATAACAAAGTCAATCACCTAGTGACGAGGTACTGGACCAAGAGGGTCGGGCGAAGTCAAAAATGACGGTTGTCTTTGAGGACAACGAGGTTCGAACACCTCATGACGAAGCATTGACCCAGAGGGTGGGGTGCAGTCAGTAAACGAAGTGGTCTTCGACCTTGAGGTGTGTGCACCTGTGGACGCTGATGCGTTGGATGCTGAGGGTATCATGAGTAGCGATGATGATATCGCGAGCTACGGTGATAGCAAACAGCTACATACACTCGTCAAATAGTTTGACTGGGAATGTTGAAGAGTCGGTGGCTCTTTCGGCTATGCCCGCAGTAAGTGCTCTATTAGAGCTGGACGAGTTGTCCTTTGCCGAGATTGGCATTGCCTTACAGGCAGGCGCCATCGCTGAAGTGGTCGCCATACGACCTAAGGAGGAGTTAAATTCCTCATTGCTTTTTGATAAAGCAGCTTTTGAAGATACTAAGAAGGCGCTGAACTCGCGCAGTGGATCGCAGATCCTGAAGGACCTATCAGATCATTGCTTTCCTTTGTTGAAGGAATATGGAGATGTTGTCTCCAGAGAACCTCCTACGAGGTTACCTCCGGATAGAGGTATACGTCATGAGATTGACTTGGTTCCGGGAACCAAATACTGTGTGACGCGACAGTGGCCACTGCCACGAAAACAATGTGACGTCATTGACGAGTTCCTTTGTGCGAAGCACGCGGCTGGCATGGTGCGTGAGAGTCAGTCTCCTCACTCAACGTGTAAGGAAGCCTAATGGGAAGTGGCGAACAGTGCATGCTTACAATAAGCTAAATGCAGCCACTATCCCGGCTCAAACACCGATTCATCGCAAGGATGTTCTTCAGAACAATATGGTGGGATGTACGATGTACAATGCCCTCGACCTAGTCGATGGATATTACCAACTGCTTATGCGATCTAGTGATATCCCGCTGACAGCGGTCAGTAATCCGAGCGGTATGCTCTGGAAGTGCTTAGTGGTGCCCCAAAAGGTATCTAACGCACCTGCAACGTTCAATCGTCTAGTAACGCAGTTGTTTCGGGCCCATAGGCGTATGCACAAACATACTTTGACGATATTTTCGTCCAAAGTCGAGCCTAAAATGGCAAGACTGATGTGGAGAATCATATCGAACACCTGCGAGCTGTGCTCAGTTGCATGAGAATGCATAACATATGCCAATATTGACAAATACAACTTCGGTGCGGAAGAGATTCCCTTTTTGGGATGCTTCATTGGGAAGCGAGGAATCTGGGCAGACCCTGTTAAGGTCAAAGCCATAGTGGATTGGCCGGTTCCGAGGAACCAGAAGGACCTCCGCAAGTGGTTGGGTTTGGCAAATTACTTGCACAAGTATAGCCATAACTATGCGGAAGTGGCTAGACCTTTGTCGAATCTCCTTAAAAAGGATGTGGAATGGTGTTGGAAACACCGAGCACCACGAGGCTTTTGAAGCCATTAAGAAGAGTCTACTTCAGGCGCCAATTCTGGATCATCATGATTCTGATCGCCCGTTTAGCGCCGTATTTGACGCTTCGGACTTTGCCATTGGCAGTGCTCTCTTGCAAGTCGACTCTGAGAGCGAGAACGCGTCATCGCGTTTGAGTCTCGCCAGCTGAAATCTGCAGAGAAAAACTATCCAGTTCATGACAAGGAGCTACTTGCGATGAAGTATGCCCTTAATAAGTTCAAGGTACGCTTGTTGGGCTCAAAGCCATTTGTGATCTATACCGATCATGCGTCGTTACGCACAGTGACACAGTCGCCTCATCTCTCACCGAGAATGGCTCGTTGGCTCTCCTTCTTTGCGGAGTATAACTTCGAGGTGAAGCATAAGCCGGGAAAACAGAATGTTTTGGCTGACGCTTTATCGCGTAGACCTGACTATGAGCTTGCTCATCTCACTGTTGTGAGTTCGTCAGTAACGGATCGTATCCGTGTGGCGTATGCACGCGACGAGGCATGTGTTGCCATTATGCAAGCGCTGGGTAGCGCAGAGTTTGTAAACTCTAAGGTGAAGCTTTCACTACGTTATCGTGTGAGATTACATCGTTATGCACTGACTGATGGTCTGTTGTACTATAGTACAGGGTCGGATGACTAGCCTTGTGTTTGGTGCACGAACTGAGCCTCCAGCAGGTGCCTTTGTCGTTGACATCACAGGTGCATACAACACAAGCTACCAGACTATTGCAGAGGCTGTAGTATATCTGCCCAACACATGTGAGCCGCACACCATCTTCTTGTTTCCAGGCGTCTACCAGGAAATTGTATTGATCCCGAAGCTGGCTGGACCACTGGTGCTGCAAGGATATACGTGCACTACGATGTCTTATGATGAGAACACGGTGACAATTCGCATACGATGGCGCAAAAGGACCTTGCTCCCGAAATTACTAAACAACGCAACTTTCTGACTAGCACGATGCGTCTCAAGTCAGGCGGTGGCGTGAAAGTGTACAACATACACGTCGCCAATCCGACTGGCAGAATTGACGAACTTGGTCAAGCGATAGCCGTTTATGTCGATGCTACTGACCACGGGTTCTATGGATGCCAAGTTATCGGCTACCAGGACACGCTATGTGCCCACAAGGGCTTTCAGCTCTATTCTCGATGTTACATCAGCGGCACCGTTGACTTTGCGTTTGGCACGCGGGCGAAAGCGTGGTTTGAGTCTTGCGACCTTGAGTCCATCGGAAAAGGATGGATCACCGCTAATGGCAACGACGACAGCTCGAACTTGTCCGAGTACGTCTTTAGCCGTGCACGTGTGTTGGGGTCCAGTGGTAAGGGCTCAACGTTCCTTGGTCGTCCATGGTTTCCATATGCTCGTGTAGTGTGTCAGAATAGCAACCTGAGTGATGTCGTTAATCCTGCAGGGTAGAATACCTGGGACAAAAGTACCAACGCGTCTAACGTCTATTTCAAGGAGTACATGAACAGTGGTCCCGGTGCGGACACGAGCAAGCGAGTTTCCTTCAGTGGCTAGCTGGATGCTCCAGTGAACATCACGGATATTCTGGGTGAAGGTTACGAATCCAAGTGGTGGGTTGACATGACCTTTCTGTAGTCGTGTGTGTTGACATTGCAATGTTCAGAAACAAGCAAGGTGAAGGCGCTTGGGATTCATTACAGCTGTGTTGTAGCAATCATTGGTCTGTGGGTTTAGTTGTAGGTTACACCATAAAACGAACTTCAGCCGACAATTACAATTCCAGTGTGTTGCATGCTTACGTATTTGATAATGCATGCATGACTGCCCACACCGGGGCTGCTTATCTCCTTCAAGTAATTTGAGATAGGGATCGTTGCAGGTGCAGTAGACCGGCACAACAACAGTAAGCTGGGCCCAAACGATCGTAAACTGTGGGATATACAGTAAAAGACCGACCACTTAAAGCCAAGAGTATTGAAATGGATGATGATGAGCTTGCCAAGCTTGCACGAGATCGAGCGAAGCTGGTGCAGGCTGTTACGGCTATTTGTTTCGCTCGAAGGGCAAGTTGCATGCATTCGGTGGATGGCAAAGCTTTAAGAAGTCGACAGCGCCCTTAGTATTCTAACAGCAAGTGTAGCTGAAGACACAGTGTAGCCACGCACCGTCTTGACAGACGGTGCGTGGCCTACAGAACTATGCTGGTCAAAGAGATTTATGTGAGTAACGTGAAGGAAAGCAAATTCTGCTCACATAACCTTAACGCCTGGGGAGTTAAAGAAAAGAAACATGAAGTGGATAAGTGCCTTGACCGTAAGTGGTTTAAGCGCAAGGAAGGTGGTTGGTTCCTGCGCAGGCAGTCATGTATGTTAATGTTGCAACGTTAAAAGTCGGGGATGATACTGTTCCAATGAAATTGTATCATCAATTCGAGTTGACGTCGTGACAGTTCTACGACATATGTAAGTAAAAGGCTATTCAAGCAAGTTGCGAGTGACACCAATTTGCTTGGTCGGAGCCAGTTCACTATGGCCATACCGTTTCCATTATCTACGAAATTGGTCATCTATTGTAGACGTTCGTCGGTTTCTGTAAAGAATATGCGCCGTCAAACTTGCCACGCCACAACTGCTGTCATTATCATAAACACCTACGAGTCACCAAGTTTTTCCACAATCTCAGTGTTGATCCTTTAAGTAACGATTTAGATGCTCATCGGTGGGCTGCAGACGCTGAATGACTTCAACCAGTTTGCCTTTTATAACGAGTTGTGTAATCATGTGGGCCTGACATACACCTACTGTCAAACAGGAAAGCCACTACACGTCATTGATGTGGTCTGAAACACAAATACGTTGGCATCATTCAAGTGATCACCAATCGTGAAAGCGATAAAGCGAATCTCGCTGTCAGCAGGTGTGGACACCTCAAAGTCATCTCCCCCCTTACCCCCGCACGTGATCGAACGCCCCAAATTGGTATGCAACGTAATGCCATCGATCCAAGCGCCCTTACGGCCACTCATTCGTGCGACAATCTCGTTTGGTAACAAACCAAAACTGACTGTTGGTTGTGATGCTTGACGTTTTGCGTGAGCATTTCCCACCAACGAGCCTAAAACGGTGGCAGGTGCTGAGTTTGCGTTGTCTAGCTTGTCGTAGGCAAATTGAAGACCGTCAAAAAAGTCATTTCCCCACACTTTACATGATCACAAAGTCATACACAATGTTTAATACACACACCTACAAGCTCACCAGATATCGATACAAGTAAAATGGCAGTATTCGTATAAATCAACTTACTCAAGATTCGCGCGACGCGATAGCCTGATTGAGCTTCAGCAATAACATCGTAACACCTCTCGCCGACACGCTCTCCGTTGCACCCGAATGCCTTAAGAGGTGTAGCAGATATAAACGTCTTCATACCAGCGCAAAACATTTTAGTCCATTCCGAGGATTGTGCCGGTATTAAAGCTACATGGCTTATTACAGCAGCAACGCTTGGAGAATCGCTACCAGGTCCCTGGATAATAATATCGCTTTTATTCAACTGACACTCTCCATTAAGCACCAATATTTTCGTTCCGTTGATGTACATTTCGACAGCATTTTTGCCTTGTTCAATAGCGACATGCGCATACTGACCAAAGGCCAATAACGAAGTCGTGCATGTAATCGTCTCTGGATTCTCATTTTCGATTTGAAGCTCACCCAAGAATTGCCGCTCTAACTTGCTCCAGTATATGCCAAACCTTACGAGCGACAAAAGGTTAGAAGATCCTATTCGACCAGCTAGAACGCTTACCGTGTCTTTTGTTTTATCTGTGAGTGCATTGTTCAGATCAAAGCGAACAAGAAATGACAACACGATGTTTTCGGGAGGCAGCGACTTTCCACTTATGATTGACAAAACCTTTCCCCCAAGTAACTGCATACCAAACGTCCCATTCTTCCTTTGGCTTCCAGCTCCATCATTGTAATCGTTTGTCGGGCCAGAATTTGGAATCTTGAATGGCTTACGCAAGCCACAACGCTGCGAATTATCTCCGTGGTTGTTATGGCCTGATATGTCAAGAAGCGGCACGCTTCTGTCGCTACATGTAGAAGGGACGTCTTGAAGTGGTAAATACAGCACAGGTCGATTCTTCCACAAGAAATTACGAAGGTCTGTCGATGTCAGCGGACATAAAAGTATCACTAGTGATTGTGACGAGAATCCTGTAGAGCTCAAAGTTGATGCCACTTGAATAGCTTCGACAGCTCGTTCGTTTACCTCGGATTGCACCGCTGTGTGATCCAACCGCATTCGACCGGTGCAGCAAAAGGGATTGTAGCATTCCAAAAACTGACAACCGACCACCAAATTTCTGCATATATCTTGCAAGACCTCTGCAATTGGCACGAACGTTGATGTTATCGCAGAAGATGATACAACTGAAGTACTGACAGGCACTTCGTCTTGCTTTCCAGTTTCATTACGATGGCTTTTCCATTCACCCGATCCTGAAACTCGTCCCTTCACTTCAGAGTTTCGAACATAGCGTCTAGAATAAAGCTCGTCGCGCTCAGCAGTTGCACGTGCCGACAAAATCGCTACCCTTTCAGGATTTTGCTGTTCCCAGAGGCCGTGGTTGATTTGATTAATGATCGTTTCCAGCCACTTTTCACTTACATCTTGTCGTCGTGCAAGCATTTCGGACCAGTTGCGGGTGTATCGCTTAGCCGTGTCAACCACTTCGTCATGACCAAACGAAAATATGTATGATAATTTCTTTCCCCATCCGACCTCATATGTCAAAGGACAATCCAGTTGGCCTTCGCATGGATCACAGTGCAGCCATCGCTTAAAGTGCTCGGAATATACCTCAGTCCACACGTGGTCCGTCACATCAAGAACATAACGAGCCTCAAATCCCATTGCGCGACAGCAGAGTGTAAAGCAGTTTGCCCATTCTCCACATCGACCAGTGCGTGTTTCCAACAATTTTACTGGATCATTGTAACGAGGAAATCGAGCAAAAGCTTCACATACGGGACACTGATACACCTCAACACGGCTGGCCTGACCAGCTATCTCTTCAGCAGTGGTGGGGCCTTCTGTCCGTACCAATCGTGCTTTTTCATATGTACACACTGAGCAATGAGGTTGATCCATCCAGGTGAAAAACTCACACTTGAACCAGTGAAGCAATTGCTTAATTAATTCGTCCTGTAAGAGTGGCATCGGTGACACGTTAGATCGAGCACGTTCATGGAGCTTGTCCACTGGGATACGCTTAAGTGCTTCCTCCTGCATCGTTTTATTTTCGTACGACTGTGCACGTTGCAACCCGCTTTGTAGTCGCTTTAACATACCGGGTTGATGTTGGCGATAGTGCTCTTCCATAATATTTACATCTGCACGCCTTCGTTCGGCTGCAAGAGTAGTGTGAGCAATAGTCAGCCGTCGCTCTTCCAAATCAAGACCGCTTTTCACTCTAATCAAATGACGGGTTGCAAAAAGGCATTGTCCAAACTCGCTATGCTCTCTGCCTGAATTACACGCGAATCCGCCCAGAGGGACTAAACGATAGTACAAGTAGACAGGTAAAGAGCCTGTTGCACGATCATTCAGATTTCGTGAAAGCTTGACGTACTCAGATAAAGCAACAGATTGATCACCAACAACAATGGCAATATCAGTGATAGCTAGTGTTTCGAGCTGCTCCATATTGAGTTGCACCGAGTCATATCCAATACAAATTTCTGTATCGGATCCATCACTACCAGTGGTACCGTTATTGGAACAAACTTTAACAGTTTTTTCTGGTTTGTAAGAAATGACACTATCTACGTTGCATGGAACATTTTCAGCGCCTGCTGGATCCAAACGAATGTAAATCTGAGTCAATGCACGCGATCCACCGCGCTTTACACACAGATATATATAGTCACCCGACGCCGAGTAATTTAAATCCACTGGCAACTTCGTATATCCAGGCGGCGGAGCGACATCCACATCTCCGGCAATAACAGTAATATCGGAGATGAACTGCGATGTCATCATCTGTGACGCGTTCCACTCCATAGGACTCACCGGTCGGAAACCTGCAGCCATCAAAACACTTTTAAGCAATTGTTTATACACTGTTTAAGATTCGATTACAAGGTTTACCTGTCGTGCAAGTCCTCGCACACGGCCCACAGATTAAGTTGACCAACGGATCATCCCCATCCGAAGCAATTTTACGAAAAGCTGGCTGCACCATTGCGGCATCTCCAAATGTTGCTTTAGTGCAAATCTGTCTCCAATCATTCGCAAGTTCCGGTAAAGTCGAGGTGGTGTTAGTGCTGGAAAAGAGAAAGAAGCGAGGGCGGCTCTCTGTCGATGATAATGCAACTGTCTCTACGTTGCTCTTGCTAAGGGCACACAGCACTTCGCCAGTCCTCGAAGAGACCAGAATTTGCTCGTTTGGCATTACTCCCATGAGCGAAAACAGCTGACATTGCAGTAAATCTAGAAAAAGCGTCTTCCGATCTAGAGAAGTTTGGGTCGACACGTAATACCTGCACGTTATAATGAACAAGACTGACATTAGTATTACACCCATTATGACATATGCTATTACAGTTGCTATGATTTGACGTACTCCTGTCGCTCATAGACCACTACGATATCAACCGTCATTGTCATATCCTTCTTTATTCTGGCAACGTCTAATCTTGCCAATCAAACGACCGTTTTTTCAAAAGAGCGTTTTGTTACCAAAATAACAAACGGTTGATGGTCAATCGAACGTTTCTTTCAAAATACTTGACCTTCACTCCTACATTCCGGTGCACGTGTATCAGTTGATGCTCTTTACGTCCTCTCTGCATTGGCATCTCGGACGTCTGCGCTGAATTACAGGCGGATTGATTTTATTGGGAGGTATCTATAGGTATCTAATAGCGCAATGGATGCGTGATCACCGTGGGTTGTAACGTTGAAGCAATAATGGCAAAGGGAACAAGAATCAGTGGATAAATAGCCTGGGTCGTCATAGGAATATGACATGGTGGATTGAGTATGCTGACTCAATGAGGTAGCTCTTCGTTCAGTGACAGGAGGACCATATTGCTGTACCGATGACAGGAGAAGTTACAAATCTCCTTGGTTGTTGACGTATCATTCAATGTGATATGGATTGAAGGAAAGCTTATTGATTGATGCTTTTAGAATTACTGTTTATGCGCAAAGGTGAAATGCGTAAGACCTCAACAGGTTTATCATTGGCTTTTACCTTACCCTGGACCGTATAGTCTTGACGAAAGTGTCAAACGGCTAGGCAAATCGAATTCGAATTCTTGATGCCGCGGATGTGACAATAAGTGCGGTACTGAATCAACCACGACCTCCAAAAATGACTTGGAAAAGAAAATGTCAATAGGCACAGACTCGGTGAAAAAACAGCACCTGATGTAAAGTGCCAATAGCTTTGAGCACGTACCGATGCAGTTCCAGCTTGAAGAGACATATTGGAGCACTGTGGACGAACTTAGACATGACATCAAATTAAGAAACTGAATAGATTAATACAACTGATACTACTCAGGACGCGGGATTATGCTCGGGGCAGCCGTCGCACTTGCAACTATCTCCGCATGTACATTCACCACCAGAATACATCCCACAGCCAGGTACAGCCCAGCCAACAGCTAATGCTGCAGTATGAGCAACATTTGTCATGTATCTCTCACAACCAATCTGTGAACAAATAGGCGAAGTACAGTTGTGAGCCTGCTGGTACCCTGTAGTATTGGCCTCCTCGTAATCTGACGATACAAAAGGCGGTGGCACCACTTCCACCGGTATTCCCCAGGCTTCTTCCGATAGCTCAACCATCTTAAAGCCTACACGGCCCCCAGCTTCCACAAGTGGAGTTGGATCCAACAGCATAGCTATTACCAGAAGTTCAACGCGATCTGTGAGTAGCACGATATTCTCAACGCCTTCCACAGCCGTCAATGCTTCTTTAAGCTTTACGCCATTCAATCCGACATCACTCATATCATCAACGCGGAAACGGAATCGCCGAGGAAGCGGATTTTCCGCATCAACTTCCGAGTCGAATCCAACGTCTTGCACGGCCGCACGGAGAGCATCAACGTTCATATCTCCGCGAATAACGACTTGACGATGCTCAAAGCGTAACCTGGCGGCCTCAACCCCGTCTACTACGCGTACCGCGTTGAGCACTGATGAACCGCAGTTTCCAGGACACATCATATCAGGCACCCGTAGCACCACTTCTTTTCGCGTCCATTCCATTGACGCTTGCTCGATCACATCGATTTCGGCAACATCAAGATTTTTCAGCGGTGTCAAAAAGCTGCCTGTGCCCAGCAATTTTTCACCACGCACTCTAACGAGGCGCAACGATGACGTTACTTCCAAGCATTCTCCGGGTGCTGTTGTCCTGCTTTTTGACTCGTGTTCGGCAGAAGAGGAAAGTAAGGAGCTATCTGGTAACAAGTGTACACTCCTAACTCCAGACATTGTCGCTAATATCGCCACAATTGCCTCGACACCTATTGATCTTGAATATGGTTTGATCTGTAGCACAACACGAGACATTATGATGGCTCTCGACGTTGATGTGCTACCGGTATGAAACACAGATTTGACGTCGCTAGTGGTAGAGCAAATATTCTGGCAGGGGGACGAGGCAGTGCTGGTTATGGTATAACCACTCGTCAGCATTGGAGCCATTCGCGGCGTGGTTAGCGAAGTTGGAGTACTGCACGCACAGTCATTAACACAATTGCATTTGCCCCCAAAACTGCGAGCACAACCGTTGTCCAAGCAATTCGCAATGTGTGAGCCATCGCACCGAGTGTTTACTAAAATTGGAGAGAGCAGCGGAAGCAACGAAAGCATGGACTTATTCATGCTTTGTGTGGTTGGCATGACGTTACTACGCGGGCTGCCATCCGTATGATCACTGTTTGTGTAATTCTCGTCAAGTTCAAGCTGCGTGGGTTTTATTGCTGTCTGCTTTTGACTCCTCAAACACGTTGAGCACATCGTTCCAGTATCGTTGGGCAAGCGCACAAGTCTTCTGCAGCTTAAAACAGAGCACACACGCAAGCCACCATGCTCAGTGCATAATCCCGTGGTACCTCGAGCCGGCTGCTGACAGTTCCGTCGGCGGCAGCGTCTCGCACCGCCGTGAGCTCGACATTTGCCTCCCCCCTGATCGATCTTGGTACATCCTGGCTCCAAACAGCGCCTACCACCTCCGTGAGACGTGCATAATCCTCCACCAACATCAGCTTTAGGACATCCAGCAATCTGACAGCGCTTACCACCGCCATGACCTCGACACATGCCTCTACCAGCGTCCACTTTCCCGCATCCATCTACTTGACAGCGCGCACCACCGCCGTGTCGTCTGCAAAAACCTCCCGTTTGATAGCCTTTCATACATCCTGGAAATGAACACTTTCTACCACCTCCATGGGCTACGCAAGAGCCTCCACCAGCGTCCACCTTAGTGCAATCGGGATGAGAACATTGTCGTCGCGTACGCTTCTTGCCACTTGTTTTCCGACAAGAAGAAGACGGAGCTGTCAGTGCAGCGGATGTAGATCCAGTAGCTGTCAAGCCACGCACGTTTAATGGACGCATTGTCCGACTGTCGGCATTGACATTTGTCGCTTGCCGTGTTTGCATCCGTCAGCAATTGGCGTCCTAATGCAGAAAAAAACTGCAGGTAAACAAGCATTTCTTGTTCGCTATATTGTTGTCTTAAGTACGGTCTGCAATGTAAGTTAATTTTTTAATTAGAATGGATACAGTCTTCATACATCCTACTAAGGTATTACTAGTAAAGAGTAAGATACGACGTTGTCAATTCTCTCCGACATACTAATAACATCAGTCAAGTGCAGTCAGATGATGTCAAATCCCCACGATATGCAGTTAATCTTTTTCCACAATACCGAGGCAAAAGCTGTCCTGCATTTCTTTTACTAAAGATGGTCGTTGCAAAAAAAAAAAAGAACATTACAAGTTATGACTGCATCGCTCTCTCTCTCTAATTAGAACCACTAACATCGCACCTTCATCAAGATTGAGACAAAAATTACGATTCTCAAGCTCACGAATCTTAGCATCCAGTTGCTTCTCGCTCAGTAGTGCCAGATCTGTCCATGCAAGTATGTTTAGTTATCTACACAGACATCTTGCAACATCCGACATCCAACCATTATATTCGCGGTCGTTTGCCACTGGTAAAGGTTTCTGGTGCGTCAGAAACTCAAGTAATGACTCTAATTCCTCTATCAATGGAACTGTTGGCGCAATCGTCTACTAGTTGTCAACAAAACAGTAAATCATTGTGACATGATTAGACTTTACAGAATCTAAACACATGACATCGAACTACTTAACCTCCGGCACCAAGTTTGACATTTTTTCAATAAATCTGAAATTGATGCATCGAAATATTGAAAAAAGACCAAAATAAATATGACGATTTCATTGGCTAAAAAATAGGGCAATAAAAACCTACGGAGATACCATGTCGATGCTGATGCGCCGATCGCTCGTAGCGCGTCGCCTTTGCGTCCCGACAGTGTCATCTCCGTATGTACATCGTCGTGCTTTCTTCTTCTCCTTCCCTTCGGCATCACGACCATTGGTGAAATCGCACACTGAGATGCGCATCGTGCCTTTCACGTGTACGCAGATGTTTGATGTGGTGGCGGATGTGAATCGCTACAGCGAGTTTCTGCCATTTTGTGTCGAGTCGCGCGTACTTCGAAGACCAAACGATAATGTGATAGAAGCAGCATTACGTGTAGGTTTTAACATCTTTACAGAGTCATATACATCCCGTGTGCTTATGATCAGGTGAGTTCATTCGTTAGGATTTATGTAGGAGTGACAAGTCTCATGAGTTTTGTGGTATGAATGAATGCGGCTTTAGACCTGACAAGATTGTCACAAAAGCAATTGATTCACCAACATTCAAGCGAATTGAAAGGTAGTTGATGCTGTCTCTGGAATACCTCGAAAGGGATGGACTATGTCACTAAGCGCTGTATTGTTTTATATATGCGGGTGATAGCGAGTGGTTGTTCAAACCCTGCGATACACCTGGAAGCTGTGAGATTGAATTCAAGGTGACGTTTGAGGTGTCGTCGTTCCTTCACGCAAACGCTATCCAGCTTTTTTTCGACGATGTCGCTCTCACTCAGCTCAACGCGTTCATTGGAAGAGCTCGGAAGATGTACAAGCCGACCGCTCGGTCAATTTTGCAAGCTTCTACCAAGGATTCACCTACTCCGTTGGAGCAAGGGTCTACGATAGAGACTGCTAACACTGAAGCGACTGAAAGGACTGATTTGACTTCGCTATCCAAAAACGACGAAGCGTCCATACAAGAGGGGAAAGCAAGGGCATCACGCCGCATCGAAGGTTCCATTTCCACTCAAAATTACAAAGATCTGGCTGCTGTTTTCGACGATTACGCCGACAAGAACGGCAAGCTATATTATGGAGGGTTTACAGCAGCGTGTATGGCACTCAGTGGTGAGTATGAAGATATGAAGGACGTCAGCGAAAATGCTACACTTGCAGGGGCAGTGTTTTCCAGTTTTGAGACGCATGCCACACCGAAAGATTGGCTGACGCTGGATGAGTTTGTAGTTGGTGTGTATTTGATGACAAAGGGCACATTCGAGCAGAAAGCACACAATCTTTTTGAGGTTGTGAATTCGACTGGGGACGGCAAAATCACTCGCGAGGAGCTCACACGAGCGATGCAACGCCGGATTCGTGCTGTGAAGAAACTATTTCCAAAGTTGCTGCGGGACCAAATACAGATACAAATGGCGAACGAGCAGGTGAATGAGCTGTCATCCGTCCAAGATGCAGCCGTGGCAAATGGTGTTCATGCTATTGAGCAACTGATGGAAGCAGTCGAGGAGGAGATTCCACTGGCCGTGAATCAGATATTCCGTGAAGCCGACCTCGACCAGGACGACTACATCCGTGAGCAAGAATGGATGTTTGCGTGGCAGGCGCACCCAGAGTTTGTCGAGCTACTGACCATCGACGGCATGAAAAAAATGGCTCAATGGGCTTCGGTTGTTCAAGATGTCAATAGTAAAGATGGCCACGACGATGACGACAGGACGAACCCTTCTAAACAAAGCCTTGACACAAGGCTAACGTATGTGGACTGAATGATATCTCGATGATGTTTCTGAAGCTATTGCTCGACCATGACGAACTCGACGCACTGCCAGTTGCCATTGTATGTACCAGGTAGCAGAAGGAAAGCTAGAGGAGTTGTAGGATAATTGCAATGAACTTTATGCCTGCTTATGCCTGCACAATTGCGTTTTCATCCCTATTTAAGATGGAAGCATCGATACTGTACGTTATTGTCCCAGCAAACCATACATCGATTGAATTGCTCTGTAGACTAGTCGTCACTCTCGTCATAATTACCAAACATAACGCAACAAACAATGTTGAGAGCGCTTTGTGTAGCAAGCATTTCTCAATCACTAGTAGGAATGTAGGCGCAGCAATTAGCTTTTCTAGCCACAGCAGTTCTCAAAACGACAGAATCGAAGCACTGAAGAGCTCCAACACAGCAAAGTTGTCTTCGGCATGAAAAGACTTGTTTGCAGCAGAGAGCCTTTACCACGATTGAAACCTTCCATAGTTTAGATAGTAGGGACCCATTCCAAAGTTAGTAGCTATCATTTACACCGCGCTTTCTGACTGCGTGTCACAGTCGTTCACTAATCGTTGTATTGATGAAAAGTTGTATCATTGAGGTCTTTATTTAGATTCAATGAATGCGATTAAGTACTTAATTTGCCAAGAGGTCGCAGTCGTAAGGATTGATTACATGATCAAGTCAATATAAAAACAGACAAGAAAATATCCAAGTAGCCGTAAATAATATCCATTGGATATTTTTCTTCCCCCGAGAAGCCAAAAAAATGAGTCGACTAACGCCAGGAGTTCGCGGCCGCTATAGCCGCCACGGCACTGCTACGTCAGGATCTACATCAGAGATAGAGACATTAGTACTGCGTGCAACGCCGTCCATTAAACGCTACAATATCGCGCGCTTTGATGTGCCTGAACTACCGCGCTTTAGTTCGTGTGCGCAGCCCGTTATGATGTACCGCGAGCCAGAGCGAGTAGACGAAGAGGAAGAAAAGGAGGAAGAACCCGTGGGTTATAACCCGGCACTACGAAAACGCCGTCGTCGTCGACGTAAAGATACGCGCACAGCCGGTTGGGTGATTGAAGATAGCGAAGGGAAGAATAAATTCAACGGCACGTTTGAGGGAGGTCAGTCGTCGACGTACATGCTATTGGTAAAGAACCGACACAATGACGAGTTTAGTGTGATGCCTGTGGAGCAGTGGTTTCGCTTTAAAAAGCCTTTGAATTACCGTACGCTGACGCTAGAGGAGGCCGAGGAGATGAACAATGAGAAGAAACGTGCAGTTGAACGCTGGCTTATGAAACACAAGCTGGCAGGTGACGACAAGTCCGATGCCACCGGAGAGACGGTTAGTGTACCGCGTGTACGCACGGGTGCGTTGGCTACATCTTCTATATCGTCTGCTTCCAAGGCGAAGACAGAAGTTGACGACATCTTTGGCGCCTCGGAGATGGCACGTCCTCGGCATGCACCGCGTCCAAAAGCTCGCGGAGAAGGAGCTACGGGAGAAGATGGAGGAGACTTTGAAGAAAAGTTTGATGATGACGAAAGTGACGCGGAGATTCATCATGATGAACCGCAAGGACTCGAGTCCGACTCGGACGAAGACGAGTTTGAAGTGGATCCGGAAGGCACTGGTAAACTGACCGAGACGGGCCAAGCTATGAAAGACTTACTGAAACGTGCGCAGAACGGAGAGATGTTGGAAAACAATAAGGAAAATGAAGATGAGGACGAAGAAGAAGACGATGACAATTTTACGGCCAATGACATGGATGTCATTAAGCGTGACCTAGGAGGCAATATTATTCGCGATCGTTCCATCGCGCCGGGAGATGGTGCTGCCGTGGGTGATGTTAAGGCTGGAGCAACTACTGCAGCTGCTGGTTTTGTCCTGGACTCGAACGGCAAGACGAAGGGCGCAGCGACCGCCGGAGTGGATGGTGGCAATGGCAAGAGGAAGTCGGACGACAGTCGCATGAAGGAGGAGACACCTCAGAAATTGGCGAAGACATCGGCAGCTGCATCCGCAAACAAGCTTACGGAAGCTGGTGTACAGCAGGAGCTTATTCGTTACGGCGGACGCATGCGCACGCGTGACCTGCTGCGGAAGCTGAAGAAGCTGATTGTTACGGACAATGACAAGGCACTTCTTAAGGACATTCTGCGCACCATTTGTGACGTGGAAGTGGATGCAATTGACGGTCGATTGCTTGTGTTGAAGTCTCAGTTTCGCTAAGAAAACCATTTTACGAGCTTACACAAAACTTGACCGCATCAATTGCAATCGAAAAAACAATACGAGGTTAGCCAGATGCATCTAGTTTTCATGCAACGAACGAAACACTCGTTTCTCACCCGTCTCTTCATGCTGTTCTATTCTCGTTCATCCTAACATCATATGACGCTTGACACATTCCTTGGATCGGTAGTTTCTCAAATAGTAAGCAAATAATGTCGTTCTTGTCCACGAAGGATTTGCTGCTTGTGATGACCACGACAGGAAGTCTCAGTGACTAGCCAAATAGACCGCAGCTACGACAGATTGATCCTCATTCCGTTGATCTCAATAATCCACAAAGCAGTGCAGCACATCGATTAAAAAGCTGCTTTGAGCAATCTGAAGACGAAAAACCGACGATCACAGCCAGACCTACGAACGCATATTCAGATCATTGGCGATTGGCAAACGCAAAAGCCTACTAGCCAACATCCCCAAATGATCATCAATAATGATCATTGGCACCAAAGATGTTGATGGTCGATTCTATAGTTATTGTCAAGGTCATGGATCGAGGTGCTGCACTACCGTTGAGCAGCATGTTGTAAGTAGCGTCACCAATACTTTACTTGATGATAGTCCACAGTAGCAAGACTTGCTAAACCATTCATTGACTATTACATCGAAGCTAAGCCATTTGGCTCATAAGATAGATAGATGTACATACAACCCAGTCTTTTTTGCATGGCGGTCTTTTCAATCCATTTATATTATAATCTGTATGTATGTGTACTGAAAAGATAGTTCAAAAAATAGATTAAGCCATCTCCGTGGTTTTTCAAAAGTCCATTAAGTTCGAAAACCCAATCGATATCGAACATGGCACAGCGAGTGAAAGTGTTATGGTCCGAGGCCCTGGATGAACCAATGGCATTGAATGAACATGATACAAACGAGGAAATGATTAGGACAAATGGTACGAGTCAAAGCAAAAAAAAGGTGAAATCCAAGCACGAGAAAAGGAAGAAAAGGCATCCAAATGATGTCAAGACGAAGCACGATATGGATGCGACTGTGAGCTTTGACGACAGCTCGAGCAGCCACGAGTTGGACGATGAGAACGATACGTTTGGTGGTGCACGTTTTATCATGAATGATCTGGAGCGTGGGCTAGAGGAGATCGCAGTCGAGGCTACGACAAAAGGGTTTACCAGTGTGCGAACGGATATCGCTCGAAAAGAAGAGAAGAAAGAGATGAGAAAGAGTAAAAATAGGAAAGAGAGAAGGAGTGAGAATCAGGAGTCTGGTGCTGTTATGGTCAAGGAGAGAAAGGAAAAGACGAGGAAAGTGAAGAAAACGTTGCAAGTACTGGAGACAATGGACGTTGTTGCAGTCAAGAAATCGGCGGGAAAAGCTCAGAAGAGTAAAAAGAAGCAGAGACAGGTGGACATGAAGGCTGTTGTTGCTGAGGAAAGGTTGGATCAAGATAAGACAAAGGGTGATAGATTGACACAGGATGAAAAGAAACACGAGAAGGTGCAGAGTGCAGTGAAAGAAGGAAAGGTTGGTGGTGGTATTAAAGACGACAAGAAAATGACAAGAAAGACTGGCACGAACCATCAAAAGCAATTGAAGCAGAAAAAACTTGTGCCATCAAATTGTGGGATTGATGCAAAATTGAAAACACCACCGAAGAACGATGCTTGTAGAAATGGTTCTATCAAATATGCTGAATACTTGGATCTCGACGTGGTGCTTCGAGGGCTCGAGACCGGTGGCCTTTTTCAAGGCAAACTTCGTGTGAACGCGATGTACCGTATGGATGGCTACATCAGTGTAGATGGCTTTTCAATGGATGTGCTGATGAAGGGGATGCAAGATCGTAATCGTGCACTTGACGGTGATTTAGTAGCAATTAGATTGCGTCCAGTATCTGAATGGAAACCTTTGAATGACGACAGTAAGTTGGGAACACATGCTGCTGAATCGAAGCCAATGTCTTCAAGTGCTGGAGTAGACCAGAACGCGTTGCATTCGCTATGGCTCCCTAACGTGCAGACAGACCAGTGTTTTATCAAGACATCGTCAGACAAGGAAGACTATGTTAATATGCTAGAACAGACTAAAGCTTGCGTGAACGAGCGCATTAAAGAGTCTCGCCGCCGTCCGACTGCGACTGTAGTGTACGTTCTGACTAGAGGCAACGCGAACGGTTTTGTCGGATCCTTAGAAGCCAAAACCAAAGTGAAAGATACGAATGTGCCACTCGCAAGCGATGACAACTACGCCTACTTCAATGCCGATGATCTTCGTCTGCCACGACTTATCCGCATTCCGAGGCTGCAACTTCCAGACGAGTTCATTAGCCACCCTATGCTATATTCGAAGACAATGCTTTGCTTTTGCCGAATCAAAGCGTGGCCAACGAGGCAACAAAGTCCGACGGGCGAATTTGTAAAGACAGTCGGAGAGTACACAGGAATTGAAACTGGCATATCGGCAATTTTGTCTAAGCACGGCCTGCAAGAGCACACGCTGGATTTTGGCAGCTCGATTTTGAACGAGTTGGATGAAAAGTATGGAACGAGCGGTGAGAAGTGGGAGATACCGGAAGACGAGCTTCAGAAGAGACGGGACTTTCGTGAGACTCAAATCTTCAGCATCGATCCGTATAATGCACGCGATTTAGACGACGCGCTGCATATTCGTGCACTCAACGACGGTCGCACGAAATTTGAGATTGGTGTCCATATTGCAGATGTGACCCACTTTATCGAGCACAATTCATTATTAGATCTTGAAGCTCGATCTAGAGGCACCAGCGTCTATCTCGTCAACCGTGTGCTGCCGATGCTGCCTCGTATCCTATGTGAGAAACTATGTTCGCTGCAACCGCAAGTGGATCGGCTGGCGTTTTCAGTAGTGTGGCAGATGAACCTAGATGGCACCCTCGTCGAGGGCGTGGATCCGTGGTTTGGAAAGTCCGTGATTCGCTCATGCTGCAAGCTTGACTACGGATCGGCGCAAAAGATGCTCGATGGAGTTATTACTGGTGAGAATGTGGAGGAGTGGGAAGAGGAAAGGCGTCCAATTATGGGTGCAAACCCTAATATCACTAATGCTACCGTGGTCCAGGGCGTAAAGGACTTGTGGAGCATTGGGAAAAATCGTCGCGCGATGCGTTTCGAGACAGGAGCGGTGAGCTTGAACGACGTGAAGCTTGTCTTTTCGTTGGATGCAAAGGGGAATCCAATTCGATACGGATCGTACGAGCTGAAGAACAGCAATCGGCTGGTAGAAGAGTACATGCTGTTGGCCAACTACCTCGTTGCTCAGCAATTACTACGTGCGCATGGTCCACTAGCGTTCTTGCGGCACCATCCTCCGCCGGTTTTGCGGTCAATGGATCAAACACTGGCAAGATTAGAGAAGAGCGACATAAAGTTGGATGGGAGCTCGACGAAGCAACTGACAGAGTCACTAGAGCGCATTCGTCAAGATTGTGGTGAAACAACATTTGTCATCGTGCAAGCGTTGATTATTAAACCTATGAAGCCAGCAGAGTACATGGTGGCAGGCAATGGTGCATGTCCAGATTCCTGGCGCCATTACGCACTGAACATTCCGTACTACACACATTTCACATCTCCCATTCGCCGATATGCCGATGTGGTCGTACATCGGCTTTTGCAGGAGAGTTTAGTGGGTGCATTATCTTCAAACAAGGACGCATCCGATTGCTCAGTGACTGAGTCTAGGATGGTGGAGCTTACGTCAGTTGCTCAGAACTGTAACGAGAAGAAGATGACGTCCGAGAATGCGGAAAAGGAATGTGACAATGTGTTTTTGTGTGCATTTATGCGGCATAATGGGGATACTGAAGTAACTGGTATTGTGGTGAGTATGGGTCAAAAGAGTTTTACAGTGTACATTATGGAATTAGGAATCGAGCAGCGTCTCTTTCTTCAAGAACTTGATTTGACTGGTTCCTGGAATGACAAAACTTTGGAGCTCTCAATTGAATTACCAAGTATGCAAAAGATGATGGGCAAGAAAGAGGACAGTGCAAAGAATAGGAATCATGATGCTATGGACATGAAGATGTCATCACAATTGATTGTCTTGTCATTTATGAAACAACTTCGATTGCGCATGTCAACTACTAAGAAAATGCCATTGATGCTGACATTTTCAGTTCTTGGCGTCAAAAAGAACTAGGTTTTACTATGTGGCTAAGAACCTCGAGATCAGACTAACGAAGTCTGTAGTTGGGCTAAGAAAATGTCATTTGAAAAAAACGACTCGAACTTTTGTCATGGACGAAATGTTTTGTCTTATCTTTTTTTACAAACCATAACTTTTGTCTCGACACTATTCCAATGAACGTTTTGACCACAATTGACTTAAGTACCGATGGAGCGCCACTCCTACGAACGGGCGTCGATAATGACGAAGAATTCTTGATTGCCAGTTTTACTGACGTACAGATGTATGCTTTATTAAGTACCATAAGTCATAATAATAATAATGAAGAAGAAGAAGAAGCAACAATGTTACTACATAGTGGATCAACTGGTGTCTTGTATGTGACCACTAGCCGTGTGATTTGGCTTAGCACATTATCTGAACAACAACAGCCTTTGGGTTATGCATGGAAGATGAATTATGTGACACTTCATGCCATATCTAGAGATCCTTGTGCTTTTCCAAGACCGTGTTTATACTGCCAGATTAGTAATCAGGATGTCTCGGAAGTGCGCTTTGTTCCAATGGATGACAAGACGCGTACGTATGATGTGATGTGCTATCGATTACGATGGTGGGCTATGATCACTGTTGATATCTTGTGTTGATCGTTTCTTTTTGTATTCAATTTTGTATGTATGTTTGTCAATAGTCCAAGCAGTATTTGACGCCTTTTGCAAGTCAGCAGAAATGAATCCTGATGATGATAGTGACGACGGTAACGACGATGATGAGGGATGGATCTGTGATGAGGATGAAGTAGCTGATGGAGCTCGAGCTGCTTACTTGGCTGCGCACTTTGATTCGATGCTACAAGTATCACCAGAGTTTGACAATCCAATCGCAGAGTCAGGACAGTTTGACGACGCAGATGAGGACAGTCTGCTGTAAAGCAGTGAGCAGTGATAGGATTTTTTGATCAGGCTGCAAACGGGTATTTGATTATGACGAGAGCTATCATTCACACACGTGATCATGAGCTGCATGAGCCACAAACAATTATCTTTGGTGCTGTACTTTTCTCTTATGGTTCAACTGTCTAGTCGCTGCACATATTCGTCACGGCGCTGTGCTACCAGCAAGCTAGATTTTGTGAATCATGTTTTCTTTGTTGACCAAGTGACACGTAGTCTCGACTAGGCGAAGCAGCTGAGATATATCCGCTGCGACGTAAATGCACACAGATGCAAGTAAGGTAACCACACACATTGAGCAAGAAGTAGATACTTGTGTGGACATGACAACGTACCCGACCAGTTCGAAAGCTGCTCTTCCGGTGATAGTGGTCTGTGAAACGACACGACCTTGGCAGGGCGATCGATTTTGGCATAAATGGAACCGTCGCTCACCAAGGTCGAGATAGAGCTCTCCGTTAGCTGCCCACGCGCAGAAAAAAACGTTAGATCAGTTAGTAACATACCTGCAAGCACAATGTCGACGTACATCTTCCGTGAGTCCAATCATGTTGGCCAAGTGAGGCAGACGAATACGGTCGTAATGTACTGCTACCACACGAATGTTGTGCTCAATGACGCGAGTGTGCAAGGTCTTCCACCACTCAGCACCACGTTCACAGTGCTTGAAGATCGGGTGTTCCTTTAGCACTGCGTCCTGTTCCATAGGAAATCCAATAATCTCCTTGGTCGTAAACTGTTTGAGCACCGCTGCAAAGTTCGGAGTCTTCTCAGCCAGTTTCTCACTCGCCAACTTGTGTAGCAAATCGTTCTGCAAGTTTGAGTAAGCCGACAGCACGATGAAGACCGTGGCGTGTTCGAGGGCTTTCTTCCACATCTCATCCTTTTCCTTGACCATCTTTGTGTTAAAGATCGCCATCCAATGGCGACACAATTCCAGCGTATTGTTCTCATGCGTATCATACTCAATCATCAAATGATAAAACTTGAGTTTGCACTCCTCAAAGTCCTTTTCTTCTAGCGTACGACGCAGAATCTTCTTGGCTAGAATATTAGCTCTCACATAGTCCTTTTTGGCCAGTGTGAGTCTCACTTGTTCCAAGATATACTCTGTCTTTTCGAGCTTCGTCATAGCACCATATGTCTCGACATGAACCTCCTGTAAGATAGTTGCTGCTTCACCAATTTCTCCACGAGCTTCCTTCATTCTCGACAACATTTGAGTCAATGTAGCTCTCTCTTTCTCTAAAAAGATCTTGCCTTCTACTACATTACGTAATACGTTAATAAGCTCCATCTTGACCGTATCCGACGGCGTCTCAGCCAAGTATTCCATCGCCCGTTGTACTACAACAGTAATAGCTCCTGATTTCTGTGCACGACGCTTTGCTAATAGTGCAGCATGATCCTTTAGTAAATCCCAGCGTTTATGCTGTGCGCATAGAGTGAGGATCGCGCCCACCGCTTCTTTTAATGTAGCCACGTCATTTGCCAGTCGTGCCTGTTTCTCTATCGATAACATCATTTCACATGCACGTTCTACATCACCACTGGCAGCTACAGTCTCTGCCTGAGGTAATAGACGCTGATATTCAGGTCCTAAATCCGCCTTCTTTCCAATCTCCTCAGTGCTCATACTTGCGCAAAAGAATCTTTTTCTTTTATGGGGTTATTGATACAGTCAAATCTATTATAGAGTACACTTGATCAAGTGATGATGGAAAGCATATACAGTACTCTATCATATAATGATATTCCCTGCTCACTATTTTAATGCATCGACTTTATTCAGTCGCTAGACTTGTTGCAACTATTTTGGTATTCATGGAGCTATTTGAACGGTATTGCGTCTTGACAAGTCGATTAAGATGGTAGTAGAAGAGAGATTGATTGACCTTATACCTTCTGTACTTGCACACACACGCACTTATTAGTTGAAAATGGGGTTGTGCTTGATGACAATGCGAATCTTTATGTCATACTTGTCGACGGTCTACGGCCCAGGAGGATGTAATGAAGGAAGAGGAAGTCATGAATGAAGGAACACTGAGTCGAGGCATATATGTCTTTGTTTACATGCCGGCTATACAGACTAAGCATTAGACAGAACAATCTAGCATCATGCCACTGCAGGCTAAGATCAACCATATCTTTCTAAAATTGTCCAAGACACGTCTATAGTTGAGCGTGTCCAAGCTGTCATGTCATTCAGTATTGTTGGCATGACTGACAATGTCTGCAACGCCGTTATAAGATGTGCAGACCACTTGTCATGACGACTTTTGCAAGCATTGTCAGCATTAGAATAGGAACGATAACCGTCAGACTATTGTCTTAGCTGTAAAACAAACATTTTGGCAATAGAGCGTCATGACATTCGGAGCTGCATCGCCATGTTTGAAGCTGTAAGACGTGTGCGTTTTCATGAGCGGTAGATGCTGGAGGGATGTCAATCAATCTGGTCCAAGTGATATCGCCTGGAACATGTACATGTACAAACTATAGCACCGACATATGACAATTGACCTTTTGCGTAACGTGGCCGGTGCCAGCGGTGTGCGTATCCAAGGTGAGGAGGTAGTGTAAAGTCAAGGCGCCTTTTATCCTCAAGCCGGCAATTCTGGTGCTGGACTGAACACTACGATTGCACGAACCGATTCAAGATTTAAGAGACGTTCGCGGATGCTGTGCGAACAGCCGATGGTAGTCAGCTTTATGATAAGCGAACAATTGCAAAGCCCGTATCATGATGGATGGACGGTTATGTGACCAGCCAGGCCCTGGTCCGTGGACGGCGAGTAGGGAATGCCACAACACATTATAACCTGTGTTTCCCGCGAGCATGCAATCTCTGTCTAGTGCTATGACTGCGTCCAAAAAATCACCGCTTTGGCTTTGCTGGAATCAGATCCGAGCCAAAAAGCTTTGAATCGGGTCCGTCCGCCTTCACACACACTATACTACCCCGTACACTGCTCTTTTACGCTTTCCACACTAAGCTCAGTGCGCGGTGCTTAGCTGCTGAATTGTAGTCGTACGAAGGATCAGATGTTGGATGATTTCATATACTCTCCACCTTTGACAGTGCAATCGGGCAATGCCTTGTGTATCAGTGTGACAAGGGCACCTGACTGAATGTCAGCCGCGACTAACGCTTCACAATGACTGATCAACATATTGCAGTGAAAAGTTCTCATCGGTCTTATGTTCTTGCTTGCCTTTTTCATGTTACGTGTCGATTCATCGATCCTTCTTGAAAGGCGTTGTAGACGTTACAGGTACATCAAGACACCACTGTCGGTGTCTGCATGGCGTACAACAAGCACGAGACATCGTCATGCACGGGCGATCTAGAGTAGGTGTAGTTTGCTGGTGAGAATTGCATGCTGGAAGTGTCTTGAACTATCCCATTTCATTGGGTCTTGACAGCGATTGAAGTCGCCGCAGAAGCTTGCACCGTTAACAAACAAGTAAAGCGCTCAGCGAATGCTTGGATTGTCTCTTGTGCATCGCTGCTGTCAGCGAGCTTCTTCTCTCTGCATCGGCGCTCTCGCGATCAGCCGGTCACCAGAACTGAGCGCCCCCAGTTCTTTGCACATCGATGTCTATCGCCATCGTACGCAGCCCTGGCTCAGTCTTCAGCATCACCTCGGTGAGGAACCAACTACGTATCACATATCGACATACACAATATTGCAAAACGCGTCAAACAAGCAGACACCATTTCATCATTGCATGGCCACCTACCTACCCACCCAAGCGACACTGTCTACGAAACCTGCTTCCAAATTATTGCAACCCAACCGCAACAGAGACACCGGTGCGTTTGACAAACACTCTGGGTGTGACCAGTATTGCCAGCACCCGCACAGATTTTACTTTGCAATCGGGCACCAACTTCATAGGCTTCAAGATGGACATCCGACGTCTGCTTCACAACCCGGATGATGGCGGCTGGTACATCATTGGCGAGACCAAGAGCGAGGCTGAGATGAACGAGCTGCACCGCTCACTCAAGCGCAATGCCATCATTAATATAAACCTTGTGAACTGCACCTTGAACCACGAGAATGACGTTGATACTGCGAGTACCGAGCACAAGATGAAAGTACAGTGGACGAAATGCACCTCTGCATTGTGTCACCCCAAGGACATCAATCCGAGCAATGGGTCACTGGATGAGCAGGGAAAGCCCCGTGCATGCCCTGTGCAGATGCGCATGTCCACATGCCAGCTTACTTTCTCGGGCATTATATGCCAGGCCTACCAGCACCTAAGCAAAGAGCACGACTCCGCCGAGCCTCTGCAGCAATCGGTGACTGAGGAAATGAAAACATGCATTATATGTATGCTTCACGACAACCCTGAGGAAAAACCCATGACCACTTACAAGAAGCTTACGGCACTGCACGAGCAAGGTGCATTTGGAGCAGACTTCATGCCAATGAAGATTCAGCTACGCAATGCGCTGACATATTTAAGAAGCCGCAAGCTCAAGCTATCCAGCGGAAGTGGGGATTTGGTAGACGGTACTCCACGAAAGCGACAATTTGACTCGTTCTTGGATGGTAGCGAGTTTCCTCCTCTGGAAGAACACCGCCAGCCGGAATAGTAACATTGTAATACTTTCTTTGTCATTTCGACGGATGCTTATCATAGGGGCTGCAGAAGGCGTCCCAAACCGTACATCTATCACATTTGGCCAAAATATCACATTTGGCCAAAATATCACATTTGGCCAAAATATCACATTTGGCCAAAATATCACATTTGGCCAAAATATCACATCTGGCCAAAATATCATATCTGCGTAATGAAGCACATCTCGAAATCATTTAGACTCAGAATCCGAGCTAGTGTGCTAGCTAAACTGGTCTGCTTCGTGACCAAGGTGAAGCTCAATGAACACAATTCGATTTGAAGAATAAACAACACGTATGCGTCTTACCTGTATTATCGCAGTGGTTCTTGCAGCTACTTTAGACGTCAGCAGTAGTGCAGTTGCCACGATGAAGCATTCCGACAAGGCGATTTTGACTGAGAACATGGTATTTCCTGATACTGCTATCCATTCCAATGCTCAGCGACGGCGTCTACGTCGTGTTAAGGAGCAAAATGCTGACAACACTACAGCTAGCGAGGAAAGATTTCCAGTGACACAGATGATAAAGGCTGCGGGGAGGAACTTGAAAAGGGCTTTTTTAGCAATCTTCAATAGAATACTTCATCGTTTTATGAGAGCAAGCATTAACGCGACGATCTAACTACTGCGTACTTGTCAAACATCCAAGACAGTTCAGAGTAGAATGGCCTAATATACTCACCTTTTTACTAAATCTGTTTACCCCTGTTTTGGACAACTAGCAGTAGGAATTACTACCATTCAAACGTCTCTCGAGCCACACAAGTACGTTAGAAATAACAAAACACAATTATAGCATGGAACCAACTCAATTTAGCGGCACAATAGCTACTAGTTTAGCCTAGAGGATACTCTACTTGCTTTAGTAAGACTACAATAATGCTTGAATACACGGAAACCTACACGTAAGATTGGAGCTCAAACAACTTGCTTGCCTTGGCAACGAAACGAAAACCTCAAGATCATTTTCGTTTGTTTTCATACTGGCTCACTCGATTTGATTAGCGTGTTTAACCTTAGCACGACATCGATTTTGGGTATGCAAAAGAAAAAATAATATGATATTTTGATCTTGTGCAGGTCACACTATCCATGAGCAGCGCCCGCATCTGCGATGCAGTAGAAACCTTGTGTTACCATAGCCTGCTTGCCCCATAGGCATACACCAAAACTACAACAAGAATGGTGCTATGGATAATAAGGTTTGGCACCTGAACTAGCATAAGGACGCATCTATCACGCTGGTTTGCTACTTCTACGTAAAGCTTTGGGAAACCTACAAGAACGGATGCTTCAGCACAAATACTGCCGTTGACAAGTTTTCGAGATATGCAGTATCGAATACCATTGAAAGAAAGACCAAATTTGGCCTTAGTAGTAAAATTTGTATCAGCTAATGAATGATACAACAGTTCCGTTTCGTCTGATCTAGCTGGAGCTTATGCTTGATAGTTCTAGCTATGAATTACTGGATACGTTAACTACCTAAACTAGAGTAAAGAACTCAAAGTACGGTCGGACAATGGTGGTCGCATTACGAGCAATTAGCTGTAATTATCTCGCTCGTCGCTCCATCGTAAAGTTTATCACGAAGCATCTGTCAAAAGCTTTCACCAGCTAGCTATCCAGCCATTGCCACTTACTCATCACACGAGATCATACGCTCTTATCTTTATTATCATTACGATCAACTATGTGTATTGCAGCAGTTTCTTCCAAGATTCATTAAAGCGCAAGTATTATTGGTTGCTCGATACGCACGCAAGCATGATACAAAATAAAGTCGTTTTGTTGATGGCTCATCCCCCTTGATCCGCATTCTTTTTAAGCTTGAGTCATCTTGATAGGTTCCCCGATTACTCGAAGACCTTTTGTTAATAATATTGAGACGTGTTTGCCGGATTTTATTCCTTCAAAAAAACTATCAAATACCGGTTAATACAGTATTCATTCCAGTCAACCACGTCAACGTTGTCATTATACATTTTACACTCAAGTACTCACGTAGGAAAAGTTTGCTTTTTAGCCAATCAAGTCAAATCAAATACCAACCTATGCGTGTATTTCGCTTTGCTATTGATCGTGGTGGTACTTTTACCGATGTTTACGCTGAAATGGACGTATTAAATGCACAAGGAAAAGTTGTAGATGTACAGACACACGTCATCAAGTTATTATCAGAAGATCCAGCGAATTATCCAGACGCACCTCGGTACGTTGTATACGAAAAGAAATGAACGTGTTTTCCATCATTTCATACGGGACTAAAGCTAATGTTTACGAATCATGTGTTTCTATCGATTGTTATTGATCTCTATCAGAGAAGGTATTCGTCGTGTTTTGGAACTAATGACTGGTCTTCCACATCCACGTGAGAAACCTGTGGATACATTCAAGATTCAAAGTATAAGAATGGGAACAACTGTTGCAACAAATGCTTTACTTGAAAGAAATGGAGAACGTATGGTCCTTGTAACTACAAAAGGATTTCATGATCTTTTATACATTGGGAATCAATCTCGTCCTAAGATCTTTGATCTTGAAATCCAAATGCCCGATGTAAGTTGATTAAGTACGGCGGTGTTGACAGTTGACCTTTGGTATTTGATTATATGGTTTGGTATTGAAGTTGGATGGTCGTGTTGTTGTTGTTTGATATATATATATATATGTATAGACGCTGTATGACTCGGTGATTGAAGTGGATGAACGTCTACAGCTTATAAATAACGAGAAGGAACGTCTTGAAACAGATGAGAAGGGGATTAGTGGTGATTACATTCGAGTGATGAAGGATTTAGATGTTGACGACATTACAAAAAAACTCCAAATCGTACATGATGATGGAGTGAAAAGTGTGGCGATTGTGTTGCTACATTCGTACACGTTTCCACGACACGAAGAGATGGTTCGCGATATTGCTATGAAACTAGGCTTTACACAAGTATCATTGTCTTCTGAGGTGATGCCCATGATAAAAGCGGTACCGCGTGGATTCACGACTTGCGCTGATGCTTACCTCACGCCGGTGATTAAGAAATACGTGGCTTCGTTTTGTGCTGGCTTTGGGGAAGGATTGGATCAGGTAAATATTAGTTTTATGCAGAGTGATGGTGGACTAGCACGAATGAAACATTTTCATGGACATCGAGCGATCCTTTCTGGCCCTGCCGGTGGTGTGGTAGGCTATGCACGGACGACGCGACCGCCCGAGTCGGATGCTGCGTTTGAGCAACCTGCAGTTATCGGTTTTGACATGGGTGGCACGTCCACAGATGTGTCTCGTTTTGACGGCAAGTTCGAACATGTTCTTGAAAGCGTGACAGCCAACGTCACTGTTCGTGCGCCACAACTGGACATTCAGACCGTGGCTGCTGGAGGTGGTTCGCGACTATTTTACAAGAATGGACTCTTCCTGGTTGGTCCAGAATCCGTACGAGCGCACCCGGGTCCTGTTTGTTACCGAAAAAATGGTTATCTTAGTGTTACCGATGCGAACCTTGTCACCGGACGCATTCTGCCAGAATTTTTTCCTAAGATCTTTGGAGCGAACGAGGATGAACCGCTGGACGTGGCTGGGTCAAAGCGGGCGTTTGAAGATCTTACAAAAGAGATAAATGCATTGTCAGGAACTGATGGAGCGAAGTACACGATGGAAGAGGTGGCGTCGGGTTTTCTGCGTGTTGCAAACGAAGCCATGTGTCGCCCGATTCGAAACCTTACGCAAAACAAAGGTTACGATATCAGTACACACATTGTGGCATGTTTCGGAGGTGCAGGACCACAGCATGCTTGTTCTATCGCAAAAGCGTTGGGTATGTCGAGGGTCTACATACACCGTTATAGCGGCATTCTATCGGCATATGGCTTGAGCGTAGCAGATAGTGTCGTGGACAAACAATTGCCTTCCTCAGCAGAATACTGTGCTGACGCTAAAGCTGATTTGATTTGCAGTTTAACGAGGATTGCCAACAAAGCCGTAAATGAGCTTATTGGTGATGGATTTCAACGCGAAGATGTGCAAGTGCAGTACTTTCTCAATATGCGGTATGAAGGCACAGACAATGCTGTTATGACACGCGGCCCGGTGGGTGCTAAGGGTGAATCCCCCACGATAACCGCGGCCGCCCTCGCAGAATTTGATTTTGCTAGCACCTTTGTGAAGAAGTATCAGCGGGAATTTGGTTTTGTTTTACAGAATCGGGCCATTCTTATTGACGACGTCCGTGTACGCGCTACAGTGTCGCCTGACCTAAGGGACGCTGCGTCGTGTGCTGATGCCAGCGCAGTTGATGCTGACGTCGAGCCATGCCCGCCCCATTCAACGACACAGTTCTACTTTGAAAAAGAAAAGGCTTGGAAGCATATTCCTGTCTATCTACATGAAAATCTCCTCGAAAGGCGTGGTGCGAAGTACAGCGGACCGGCAATCATTATGCAAGGCACTGCTACGGTGGTCGTGGAGCCTGGTTGGGTTGTGCAAATTATGCCAAGCGGCGATCTATTTCTAGTTAGCAGTGGAGAGGCTACGGGACAACAGCACGATAGTCTACCTTTGCGCTCTGAAGATGTCCTGCTCGACCCCATTCAGCTCTCGGTATTCTCGCACCGATTCATGGGAATTGCTGAACAAATGGGCCGTACATTGGCACGTACGTCAGTCTCTGTAAACATTAAAGAGCGTTTGGATTTCTCGTGCGCTTTGTTTGGTCCCGATGGTGGACTTGTCGCAAATGCACCGCATCTTCCTGTCCACCTTGGGGCTATGCAGCAAGCTGTGCGTCATCAACTCAAGTTTTGGGGCGATGATCTTAATGACGGAGACGTTTTGGTCTCGAACCACCCACAGCTTGCGGGTGGCTCGCATCTACCCGACATTACTGTCATAACTCCTGTTTTTGACCAAACGAGCGGGAAAATTGAGTTTTTTGTGGCTAGTCGTGGGCATCACGCTGATATCGGTGGCATTTCGCCTGGATCAATGCCTCCATTGTCAAAGACGCTGTCTGAAGAAGGCGCGGCTATTGTGGCTTTCAAGCTGGTTGAAGGCAAGGTTGGTGAGTTTCGTGAGAAGGGTATTACAGACATTCTGTTGCAAAAGGGACGTGTGGATGATCAGGGTCGACCTTGCATTGGTACACGCAACTTGCGCGACAATCTATCTGACCTTCGCGCACAGGTGGCAGCCAACCAGCGCGGTGTGGTGCTGATGCAAAGCCTTTGTGCCGAATATTCCTTGCCAGTTGTTACCGCCTACATGAACTATATCCAGCACGCAGCAGAGATCGCGGTGCGCAATATGCTGCATGAATTTTCGCTGCAGAAAGAGCTGCCTGAAGTTGGCGTAGTGTGCGCTGAAGACTTCATGGATGATGGCACGAGAATTGCTCTAAAGATCTCGATTGATCGCCGCTCCGACTCGGCTGTGTTCGATTTTAATGGTACTGGACCAGAAGTGTTTGGGAACGTAAACACGCCTCCTGCAGTTACTTACTCTGCTATCATCTATTGTCTGCGCTGTTTGCTTCCTGGCGAAGACCTTCCGCTCAACCAAGGCTGCTTAACGCCAATTGAGGTGCGTTTCCCGCGCGACGGCAGCATACTTAACCCAAGTGACAATGCTGCTGTCGTTGGTGGGAACGTACTTACTAGTCAACGTATCACCGATGTGATTCTCAAGGCGTTTGGTGCATGTGCGGCTTCTCAAGGCTGCATGAACAATCTCACATTTGGCAGCGCTGCATTAGGCGGCTACTATGAGACAATTGCTGGTGGCGCTGGTGCTGGCCCGTCTTGGAATGGCCGCAGTGGAATTCATACGCATATGACTAACACGCGTATTACGGACCCTGAAATTCTGGAGAAGCGCTTCCCTGTTCTTCTTCGTGCGTTTCACCTTCGCAAAGGATCGGGTGGGGCTGGCAAGTTCTATGGTGGCGACGGTGTGGTGCGTCAGCTGGAATTTCTGGAGGCTATGACTGTTAGTATTCTTTCGGAACGCCGTGCCTTCCAGCCCTATGGTCTGGAGGGTGGTGAACCTGGTGCTCGTGGCCTCAACTTGCTCTTGCGCCATGGTCGAATTGTTAATCTTGGTGGCAAGAACACGGTGGACGTAGTGCCAGGTGAGATCTTGACGCTGTACACGCCTGGCGGTGGCGGTTTTGGGGTTGCCAACGAAGCGGCTGTGCGGCTTAGAGAGAGCAGTTGATTCAATTAAGTTCATCGATGGTACAAGAGAATTAGTTGTACGTTCAAGATCTAACAATGGTTTTCTTTTCCCTCTCTTCATCATCTACTTCTCGGACAGCTTCGCGTTTTCTCGCTGTGCTTCCTTCTTTTCCTTCAGCTCTCGACGCTTTCGAGCCTGTTCCTCTAATATATCGGCGTAGGCATCAAGTTCTTCCTCCAGCTCCTTACGGAGACTCTCGTTACGCTTGTTGAGTTCACTTGTGGGTACCTCCTTGGGCAGTGGCATGCCTGGATTCTTCACTGCTTTAGCCGCTGTCTCTTTCAGCTTCCGCTTTTTCTTCTTCTTCATTTGAATATCTAATTCCTGCATGAGGAACTCATCGACCGTGTCTGGATTCTGTCTAAATCTACACTGACGAGCTGCGTGGCCCAAGTTACCACAATTGGAGCAGATCCGTGGCACAAGACAATTGCGTGCACGATGACCACGTTCTCCACAATTCGTGCACACATGATCCTTGTCATGTTCTCGACGCAGCGCACGATGAAACTTGCGTTGTTTCACTTGTTCTTCCTCCCAGACGTTTTCCAACTCTGCATCATAGTTAATCTCGTCCATGTCCTTTTCGACTAGCCGGTCTACCGCCATCTTCCCCAACTTTCCATGATGTACAGCGTTCCCACGACGACGAGGTTCATTGAAATTTGAGACGTCTGTAGCATGATGACTAATTAGACTGTTGTTGCGTCTTCTTCGATTGTCCATCTGCCAAGAACTGATGAGTGGTTGACTACTACCATCACTGTCAGTCTCATCTCCTTGCTTATTTTTGCTCTCCTTGTCCTTATATAATCGAAATTCCTTCGAGTGATGCAGTAAACGTTCCAGTGGATTCATACCACTATCAATCGTTTGCTCTGTCGCATTCCTTGCGTTCAATCCAGTGCCATATTTATCTTGATCCGATTTGTCCTTTGAGCGGAGAAACGTCGAGAATACACACGATTTTGACGCTTGTAAACGGTTCAAATGAACAAAATTCACATTCACATTGTTGCCAAGAGAATGAGATGCAAGAATATTGCAAGGAGAACGTACACGGCTACATAGAAGCTGAGAACGGACGGTCAAGAATGACAGCATTTTCATGGTCGTTTTACGGCAAATGTATGGCACGATGTTCCAATAGTTCACCGATCATGGATTGGTTGAAATTGATACATTATATCATTGGGTATAATGATAAAATAGACTGTACTTTCACTGGTCGAAATCCTACCACTTGATACTGATCCATTAAGTACGACTAGTAAACAAAACTACAATAAAGCCACAAGACGAGCTTCTTGACCACGTGACGGGTTACTTTAGAGACGTGTGTAGCTCTTATTGTGGTCATTATCGATTGTTTCACCCGTCTATCTTCTTCTCCATACATTTTTTCAGTTGTTTTTGCTGTATTCTAGTCGTCTGTAGACGTCTACTCGTCTTGCTAGCGACTTTTAAAGCTCCGATCAGTCAGTCACGTCATTCATTCTTCAAGTCGGACAATGTTATCAGCTCGTTCATTGCCTACTGAGGTAGAGATTCGAGATGTATGGGAACATAATCTGGACGAGACAATGAAGGCAATTCGAGAGATTGTAACAAAAGGTTGTTACGTGGCAATGGATACGGAATATCCTGGAGTTGTTGCACGTCCTATTGGCTCCTTCACTACATCGACTGATTATCAGTATCAGACACTGCGTTGTAATGTTGATTTGCTACGTATTATTCAACTGGGTATTGCTTTTTTCAATGAAGATGGCTCATACATGGAAGATCAGCCAGTATGGCAGTTTAACTTCAAGTTTAGTCTCAGTGAAGACATGTATGCTCAGGATTCAATTGAGATACTGAAGCAAGCAGGGATTGATTTTGCAAAACATGAAGAAAAGGGTATTGAAGTGGCCAGGTTTGGAGAACTATTGGTTCCTTCTGGTCTTGTGCTGGGTGACCATGTAAAGTGGGTCTCATTCCATGGCTCGTCGGATTTTGGCTATCTTCTCAAAGTCCTGACGTGTGCACCACTACCAGCGGAAGAAGAGACGTTTTTTGACTTGCTACACACATACTTTCCGGCAACATATGACCTGAAGCATGTGGCGATGGACTTTGACAAAGTTGGAGGACTTAGTCGCTTGGCTGAAGACCTTAAGGTGGAGAGAATAGGCATAATGCATCAAGCTGGGTCAGATGCACTACTTACGGCCGCTACTTTCTTCAAGATGGTCGAGGTCTTTTTTGAAGGTAATGTTAAGAACGCAGCCAAGTACTCTGGTCAGCTTTATGGTCTGGGCAACAGCATTACCAATATGGGTCAGGCATAAGACTAACATAACAGTAAGGCGAGCCAAACGAAAAGCACAGACAAATAGCACCACGAACGAAACGCAACAACTACCGAATACAGACATGTGTATTTACCCGTCTTTTGTCGTAACTAATCTGTGTGAAGCAAAATGACAACGTCACTCTTGTCCTTGCATACTTGTCCTCAATCACATAGTCTTGATACTTGTCCAGGTCGCCTAATTTTGCTGAATAAAGCGCACTACTTCATAAATATCGGCGTTCTTGACGCTGCACTTGACAAACGAGATGTCACACGGCGCGTCTACATCAAACTGGAACGGAGCTTCATCCCGTCCGACTGGTACTTGAGACAGGTCCTGCTCATAATCATCTCCCTCTGTTTCCAAGGACGAGCGCGTCGTCTTTAATTGAGTCAGTTCTTTCTCCAACGCGTCACGCACTACCTGCGGAGTGGCCGCTCCAGATTTCTCGCTCTTGTTACAGACCACGAGGATCGGAGGCATTTGGTCGTTTACCTTCTTGTTCGCAAAAATGTCATAGAGAAACCTACACAGAGACAACAAGTTGACATACAATCCATCACCAATTGTTTCATCTCAACAATGCATAGATTTGCATTTGCAGCGTACTCTGCAGCATTGCGAAACGACGGTACGTCGCTGGCATCTACGAAGAAAACAATGCTTCCTGCTACAGGGTAAAAGTCTACTATCCGTCTACAACATATACACAACAGCAAAATTACAGGATGAATACACACACAAGTCAATCGTCTTTTCCTAGTGCATTGTATCAATATGTCGTGTCGTACGAGCGGAGACGTTCATGACCAGGGTAATCGATGACTGTGAGTTCAGCATCAAACTTGTCTGGATTGTACTTTGGATGCACAATGAATTGATAACTCTGCTCTTTCATTGAACTGACAGTATCAACGTGTTCTCCATCACGAATGAGATGGAAAAAGCTCGTCTTTCCAGTGTATCGTGGGCCTAACAACAATACCCCCTTCTTCTTCTTGCCCGTAAAGCTCACGTTAAGACTACGCATATGAATGAGAAAGCGTACCATAAGTACTACATATAGAACCATAAGAGCTACTAATGGGATCACCATATAGAATGGTACTCCATAGATCTTGTACATCAGTAGCTCCTCCATCAACGTGACTCGGAAGATGATTACGCGATCCAAAAATATGACAGCACACGATGAACCACGTATTAACGAGACAGTTTTTTTTATAAGTGCGAAAAAAGAGACAGGAATAAGAAATGTCTCAGACTAGAACTGAATCTATATCTCATATACGTTACACAAATTGTTTCAGTCAGTAGTAACAAGTGCTTTACCATGTCGACGGTTAAAGAGTCAAAGCCTAGTGAAGAAATGAATATTGTATGGAAATCTGCGCATGTAACGGGAGGATTGATACTCCTGTTAACCTACGTCGACGATTCATCTGTCGTACGTTTTGTGCGCATGATGCTTTTTCTCTATTTTATTCTGGCGAGTCTCGACTTGGCACTTCTTCGTTACCATTATTGGAATTTCGAGCCAACGAAACCTGAGCTGAAACGGTATGCATTGATCACTGGTGCATCGTATGGCATTGGAAGAGAAATGAGCTACTTGCTATCGGAGCAAAAGTACTCACTTGTGTTAGCTGCACGATCCGAAACACTGTTGGAACGAATGCGAGCGGAAATTGAGCTCGTGAATCGACCGACGGAAGTCCTAGTGTGTGTATGTGACTTGGCGACGACTGAAGGTATTGCCAAGCTCATCAAGTTTGTCAAGGACAAGCAACTTGTCATTGATATTCTTGTGAACAATGTGGGGGCGAGTTTTAATCGGGACTTTACAATGCTAAAGGAAAAGGAAGTGGATGAACTCATGACTCTCAACATGCAAGTGATGGTCAAGTTGACGCACTCGATATTACCGCAAATGGTGGACCGCAAGATTGGTCGTATTTTGAACATCAGCTCTATGGCAGGAGCCGCTCCAATACCCACCGCGGCGCTATACAGCAGCAGTAAAGCTTTCGTGACCAGCTTTAGCCAGGCGTTAAGCTACGAATTACGCTCGACGGGTGTTACGGTCTTGTGCTTATGTCCAGGTCCCGTGGCAACCAACTTTTCCAAGACTGCAAGCATAGATAAAGCATGCATGACGTTGCCCGGACTCACTGCGGATGCCAAGGAAACAGCCAAGATTGCGCTGAAGGCCATGTTTAACGGCGAAGTGCTGATCTACGATACGTGGTTTGCCTACTTGTCTGCAAACCTAGCGCAATCTATCCTTCCCGGTCGCCTGGCAACTTTAGCCTATGGCGCTGGCATGCACGATTTCAAGAACATATGGCAGCTGGTCAAAAGATAAGCTGGCACGGAGCGTGAGGAGACATGTGATGGGAAGCACAGAAGCTTGTGGAGGTCGTTTGTCGTCCGTCAAGATGTTGGTCTTAGCCAATTGCGTAAAGTGGTCACATTTAGACTTATGACTGCAGCATTGCATATATACTTGATGTAGTGCATGTGTCATCATAAGCTCATTGTGGTGGCTGCAACCCAATCCGGGGATAAGCAAGGGCTTTCACCTTGTCAATTACTTGTAGCAAAGGTATATTCTGTTCCACCGCAATTGCCTGTACAACAAAGATGTTTGAGTAAGATTGACGACTTCACACGATAGTTTAGATGAAGCGACTTGCCTTGCAGTGTTCAAACTCTGGGTGCACATTCACAGCCTTATTATCCAAGTATGCAACTTTTACGTTCACGGATCTCCCAAAAGCGGAAACAGATACAAAGTTGCGAGATAAGTAGACGCGTTCTAGCACAGTGCTGATCATGTGTGTATTTATTCAAGCAGTTACAAAAGCACGAGTTAGTATGGTGCGCTAGCTCATCACGTGCAGTGCTCACATAAAACAGGCAAACGAGTGAACTAACAGCAAATGCAAAACCTTGCACATACCGACGGACACCGAGTGTCGTAGTTTCGCAAAACAGTGTCTCCAAAATTTCTTGTTCGTGTTCAGGACGGGACAAAATGCTACGTAAACATGTTAGAAAAGCTGTCACAAAACTAGGAGCAAACATGCAAAGAGTGTGCGGCAAGTACCTGAGGCACACAGCCGGACGATTTTTCTTCATCTGAATGGACTGCTTCCATACGTCAAGCGCGTGATGTACAGACAACAACCTTTCCGAGACATAGCCGATTACCTGTGGGTTCAAATCATCCAGGTTGGTTTCAAGCACGACGAGTTTCTCTGTGATATAAGGATGACACATGTGCTCGGCAGACCTTGAGGTGGCGACAGCAGAGTTGACATAGCTCTTCTCGAAAGACGTGGGGTCAATCTTTGTTCCAATGGCAACGCGGACAATATTGGCATGCTGCGGGAAGTCCTTTGTGCCAGCACCAACACCAGTGTGCGTTGGAATGAAAGCGGGAGGCTCACCAAACGTAGACGCTAGCGCCTTGACGAGGCTAATCCCCGTAGGCGTCACTAGCTCACCCTTTGCTCTGGAATTACAAGTTTGTTAGTGCATGTAACGTACCAGAATGTTAAATAAGCGTAAGAACTGACCCCATCGGTGCAGGGCACACAGGTACACCAATCATCAATCGGAACGTAGCTGGCGGTGGAACAGGCAAAACTCCGTGCATGCATTTGACAGTTCCCGAGGAGAAAGGCAGGAATGATGCATGTACCTCTCGTACACCAAGCAAATCAAGTGCAAGCACAGAGCCAATCGTGTCGATAATACTGTCAATCGCCCCCACTTCGTGAAAATGGATCGCATCTAGTGACGTCCCGTGAGTATGTGCCTCTGCTTCCGCTAGCAACGTAAAAACTGCAACACTCTTGCCCTTCACCCAATCTGACAGCTCACTCTCAGCAATAAGAGCCTTAATATCACTCAAGTCTCGCATGGGCTCTTCTTGTTTTCCAGTTTGAGTGTGGTCATGTTCATGGTCATGATTGTGGTCACGGTCATGGTTATCAATCAAGACATCATCCGCTTCCTTTGCCTCACTAGCATTATAAGTAAAATTGTCCTCGTGGCCATGACTGTGACTATGATCATGACTGTGATTATGATCATGGCTATGACTGTGATTATGGCTGTGATCGTGGCTGTGATCGTGGCTATGATCATGATTATGTTGACGCGCATGGCCTGGTGTAGGTGGGGCAGCCTCCTTATGGTTATATATCGAGTCTACATTTGCTTTGATTCCTGCAATACTCCCAGGTCCTTTCCACACTCGATCAATGCTCAGCTTCCACTCGCCTTTAATTCCATGGAGAGATTCAAGACCGCGTTTAATCTCATCAAGCGAAGCGCCCTGCAGGACACGAATGATATACATTAAACTATATAGAGACAATAAATACATGAGAAACAAAGAGCATTCAAACGCACTGCATCAATTAGTGCACCAAGGAGCATGTCGCCCGCGATACCGGTAGAACAATCGATATACGCAATCGTGATCGGATCGCTCATGGTAGTATAGGAATGAGTATGTGGGGTTGGTAATTTAAAATTTCGAAAAAAGGACGAAATTGTTCAAATTTATCACTTGAAAAAATGTCATCTTCATGTAAGCTATTACCTTATTTTGGGTATCTACTCAAATAGTTTACCTAAAATTGCGTCATTTATTGTTTCAATGCTGGTGAGACTGTGGAGACGACCGTCGCTGGTCTTGTCGAGGGGCATTGCAACAGCTGCATTACGACCTGTGGAAGAAGCAAAAGCTGTAAAGGATAAGCATCGTATCTACTATGCACGTATTGCGCGCAAGTTTCGTGCGGAGACGATGCCGTGGGAATCAATGAACCGTACAACGCGCTTTTTACAGAGCCGAGGGCTGAGCCAGACACAAGCGCTGAGAGTGATATCTCAACATGTTATGGTATGTTAGATGCTAGGATATATCGTTTTATATATGGTAGGGAGGATATGATATTAATAGTTGACTATGATAACCAATAGATTATCTGCTACTCGGATGAATTGATTGCTAGCAAGGTACGATACAAAAAACGGCATTCGGAAGAAGTGAACCATCATGTGAATCAACTGAATCTTCATGAATGTGACTAGATTCCGTGGCTAAGTGACTTGGGACTTAGTCACGAAAAGATCAATAATATTATCATGCGTCATCCGAACATCTTGGGGATCACCATTGACAAGTATGAAGCACTTGTTAATTGGTATCTTTCGTATGGGGTCTCAAGAGATAAGGTGAGTCCACTATGAAATGAAAGTTGCTGATTGTGCACGGAAGACGGATGTTTAGCTAACGCATTCTTGCTGAAAGATCCCTTACCTGTTCAACATATTTCCGCAAGGAGTGTCGTACAGTATCCGAGACAATTTGGACCCAAAAGTAGAGCTTTTGAAAGAATTTGGATGCAATGATAGGCAAGTTGCACGAGTTTTGACGCGATCTCCGCAAATCTTCACCCATAGTGTCGAGCGACTTCGTGCCAAAGCAAACTATTTGATCGAGTTGGGTGTACCACATGAGCGATTGGCATTCATCGTTTCGACAGTACCTGAATGTGTTGCATTGACTTCATCTCGAGTCAAGGAAACAGTGGATGCAATGGATGAATTGTTTGGTGATGGCGCTGGTTTGCGGACTCTGCTGCGGAACTGTCGTATCGTTATGAGCAGCATTAGTGGTATGCGTGAATCCTTTGACTACTTGACTTCCATAGGCTTTACGAAGGAAAGACTGGAGAAAAACACGAGGTATCTCACACGAAATGTCGATCGCTGTCTCCGGCCACGTGCACAATTTTTGATGATGAAGAGCGTTGATGTGGTAAGCGATATCACGTGGATATTGACGCCAGAAAGTCGGTTCATTGAGAACTATCCAGATTATGCAGCATATCTGAAGGAATTTGAGCTGACTCGAAGCAAGGATGTAAAGGACAATATGCTGTCATAGACACAGTACGTTAATGTCGCTATCTAGCTGGAAACTGCATGGACATTTTTCAAAGTGAGGACACATTGATTGATTAATACCCAATCACGTTGTTTTAAATCAATCAATACCGTCTGTTTGTCATGTTGATCCTGGTTGATTATAGCCAATAAGAAGACCGTCATGCACCGCATAATGACAAATAGTGTGCCTAAACGACCTAGATACAGTACGCGTTCTGACTATATACAAACGCATTAATAGCAAAAATGACCACATCATCGTTAGAGACTGCACCAAAACTCGTGAAGGGAATGCGATTTAAAGATAGTAAAACTGCTTTCTATGCAGTGCAGGATTATGCACTTTATCATAATAAACAAGTAAAAGTAGACCGACGTGGAGGTAAACATCGTAAAATGGTATGCGTTTCAACGGAGCCGTGTCCATTCTTCGTACGGCTTTATCTGCATAATTCCAAGATGGATAATACATGGTACGTCTCAAGCGTTGAATTAAAGCACTCTCCCGAGTGTACATCAACTGCAAAACCCACACAACGTCAATTGGTCGAGAGCTCTAGTTTTCAGCATGCACTGGCATCTACACCCAATGGAACTGCTGCTCAATTGTTGCAACAACTTCAGGGTCGAACAAATTTACGTACAATATATCGTGCCAAGCAGATTATGAAACAAAAACAACGTGCTCAAGTGGGAAATTCATTTCGAAAGATTCCATCGCTCTTACGGAATTTCTCCAACTTGAATCCAGGCTCGTTGACGAAATATGAAGTCTCGGGTCCTCAGAGTCCAGAGCCTGGAGTTTTCTTACGAGCTTTTGTAAGCTGCAATGTGTTTACGGGATCCACGGCTTTTAATCAGCAGATTTACGGATTTGAGGTCCTACCTTGTAACAACAATGAAGCAAACTATCAAGGCGTACAGATATTTCTGCTCGGAAAAGATGGCAACATGTGCAATGTCACGATTGCAGTAGCTTTTTGCAATGCACCATCAAGCGAGAACTATCGATGGTTTTTTCGGTGTGTAGAAGAGTGTGGCGTAAATTTACGATACTGTCCGGTTTTGTGTGCGATTGATGCCGAGTTGTTGGCGGTGGAAAGTGAGCTAGGGCTCACTTTGCGTTACTGCACAAGGTACATTATCGAGCACGAGTTGGCGCAAATGAGATCATTCAGTAGACATCATCATGCGTTGGTGTGGGGATTGCAAGGATCGGAGACTGAGGTGGAGTACAACAACCGTCTCGAGTGGATCGGTACGACTTGTGGACCTGGAGTGGAAAGCTACCTAAGACAGTTTCCCATGGAGCGTTGGGTCGTGGCGGGCAATATTGGAAAAGTAGCATTGTATGGGTGGCGAAGTCGAACATTTTTTGAGACGTCGGACCAAGAACAGCAAGCAAGTGCTGGCACAGGACACGGACAAAGTGGCACTGGTTTGGGTCTTGAAAGGAGTTGTGGCATCGAAAGCGATGAGACCAACGTAACCACAGCGACTGCCACTCATAGCTTAGACGCTAATCGAAGTGCTAGTGACTCTGCGGTTTTCAATGTCAAGGGACATGATCGGTACCGGGAAATGCTACCGTTTACGTTTCTTGAAGCAATTGTGACATCTTTCGTGCAAGATGTATTTGAGCGCAGCATGCTAGCAGCAAAATGGAAGCAACAGAAACGACTGGTGACCCAACGTGCACAAGATCTCTACGACGCACAGTGCAAGCGCATTGGTGAGTACAAAGTTAGCCGAGCCTCGGAAACTGTATCATTTGTAGCGAAAATGAACAAAGACTCGGGTCATCGCCGTCGCGTGGACTTGCAGGCCAGCACTTGCACGTGTGATTTCATCGACCAGTATGCTATTCCGTGTCGCCACCTTATTGCCGTGCTCCTATTTTGTGAGCAGATGGACTCGGTCGTTGAACGCTTTGCCCCCGGCTACCTTGTGGAAAACTACGTAATGGCTTTTAGTGGAAAAGTTGTTGAACTACCCATTGATTCAGCCGTCAGTGAGGATCTTGCTTGTATCCGCTCCACATCGCGTTGCACGAAAACTACAGTCAATGAAACCGATCAAAACCTCAGCACAGCACTTCGTCCGAGGCTCAAACGTTCTGCGCCAGCAATCAAAACTGTGACTACCACCATTGAACGTGACAGTCAAGTTGATACGACAAAACCAAATACGGTACCACATCGTGTTCGACTGTGCAAAAAATGCCGCGGTCCAGGACACAATTCTCGGAGCTGTTCATTGGTAACTCCGACTGTGGACTAGCGAATCATCTGAACTGATCGAATTGGAGGTTAATGCACGTGGTAATTATATAGACTGAATGAGACCTGGACGACGAATTTGGTCCCTAACTAGTTGGAGACTGTGGAGGAAAAGACCGGACGTTAATTTCCGCTTAACATTGAAACCTGCTTATCACAGCTCATGGATAATGTTACAACTCGCAACATGAGACTGCAGATGTACCGGCATATGATAATGGCAAGTGACGATCGTCTACAGGTCTTTGTGACGATGACCACGGTCATTCGATGATCACAGCAAGGTGATGATAATGCGGTTGCAGTGCTGATCGGGCAGCTGCGCTCGGTGCATGTGCACATCACATGAGAAACGCGGTTGCCCAATTGAAGATTCCTTCCGCTTAATGGATAGTACATGCAATGAGCCGGAGCAGGAGAGGTGAGTGCTCGCATGTATGACCGTCGAAGGAAGTAATCGCGAGTGGGCTCAACAGATGCGATTACTATGGGCTGATCGACATTATATCAGATTAAGGCAGAACGCATGGATAACCAAACCCTTGGCGCTTTTGCACTTAGACGAGAATGCCACGAAGTGAAAGCACTTGGCATTAAAGCGAGTGCTTGAAGGGCGCCAATGCCACGCGTGAAAAACTGTGCTTTGTATTTGCTGGTACAAATATTATTATGTAGTGTAAACATGCAGAGTGTAAATTGAACTTTTAAACGTCTTCAACATGTTCTAGCTGTTACGAACAGCTGGGACTGACTTGGTGATCCCACGGTACCCATACAGGTGCGTTGAAGCTTTCTACACTAGTACCCTGTACCATCCATGGTATAGTCGTGCTAGTATTTAAATCTTCCTAGGCGATTGTGTAGAGTATGGTAGTGCTTTACCAGCAAGAGAGACATTTCGTGTTGGAAAAAGATGGCGCTAAGCACATTGCGCGTTCGTGTCCATGTGCATATGAGGTCTGTTCGAAAATCTGATGTGTACGAGAAAAGAGATGCACCGTCGATGCAATGTCGCAGCATACGTGCTGTGACACCTCGTCATTAACTTTGCCGCCTCAGAACAATGGATACGCTTCACATGCAGCGTAAGAACTTGGCAAACATACACTGTTCAAGCTTTCATGTCTTTGCAAGAAGCCTTTGCAGTAGTTTCTTTATGGAATAAGCACGAACACCCTGACGCTGACATTGACATTCGATATGAACTTTAAGATATAAACCTCCGATTCCAATCAAAGCTACTACATTAGAAAGCAAGCAGACGTCGCTATGCAAGTCAGGTAGCGTTGCACTCTGTTATCTTGGAAGATTTGCACATGGAATCTACGCCAGTCACCATATCAGTAAAGAAATTTCGCGGTACCGCATAAAAGGGCCTAAAAAAGACTGTAATAGACACTAAACCGTGTTAATTTTGTCCATAAGTAACAGGGACTTACCCGGAAAAAGATACTTCTATATATCAGTCTTTTTTTTTCAACGGGGTCCGTTCAAGAAAGAGTGAAGGTCCCGTCCAGCGAAACTCATCGATTAAAAATCTGTCCATCTCCTTTTCCTTTAATCTCGCACGTGCGCTTCGCAGGCTGCGCATTGAAGTGCGCGCATCCATCATTACATCAACTTATCATAAAAAAGACACTAACACCGTTAGAACTTGTCCTCATTATCAAATTTGCATTGTAAGGCTCGCATCTCTCTCTCAGTGCAAAACAAATTGAATCAAGAGCCAACGACTTTCAATATCTTTCGCTAGAACCCCATAACTTATAATTTACGATATCTATCATTGTCATGTCTGGATACGAAAGTGAGGCTTCCTTACCCTCACGCTCATTTAAAGACCATAGTAACTATATTACATTAGAATCACCACGAGCTTTGTCTCAATCATTTGAGATACCGTCAAATCACGTCGTGGATGTACCTAATAATAGTGTCACGCGTACCTTCTCTGCTACTGATCTATACGACGTGAGTGCTATGATAGCAACAAATGCAAATTCGTCCATGGTCAAACCGGCTACGACGTTACCGGACCATCGGTCACGGTTTTTGAATGATAGTGAGCTATTACTTGCGGCAAATCCTGTACCGACACGTGAATCCTTTGCAACGCTCAATGAAACGGATGAAAAGACATGGCACCAACGCTCAACCGAGTTGATCTCGAAGATGCTTAATACGAATTTTGAACGAGGACTTCATGGTATGGACGTTGAGAGACGGATACTACGTTATGGGTTAAATGCTCTGGAAGAAGAAGCACGGACGCCTGTTATTGTGGTCTTTTTACTGCAATTTTACAACCTCATTATTGCCATGCTGCTGTTTGCAGCAATAGCGTCCTTGGCCTTACAAGAGTGGGTTGAGGGAATTGCTATACTTGCTATTGTGACGCTAAATGCCGCAGTGGCGACTTTCCAAGAACACTCGGCCAGTAATGCGCTGGCTGCGCTGGCGAGTCTATCAAGTCCACAGTCTCTTGTCATTCGTGATGGCATGCAGCAAGTGGTAGACAGCAAACAGCTGGTTCCTGGTGACATTGTCGTACTTGTCACTGGTGATGTTGTGCCTGCGGATATTCGCCTATTCACAAGCGTGGATTTGAAATGCAACGAAATGCTTCTCACAGGCGAGTCAGAAGATGTACACAAGAAGTACAATGCAGTACTCTCTGGTGTAGATAAACCTGCTAAACTGACAGCTAGTAACATGGTGTTTTCGTCAACGACGATCACTGCAGGTAATGCACGAGGCATTGTAGTGGAGACTGGTATGAATACTCGTGTAGGCTCCATCGCAGCACTCTTGCAAGCTCAAAGCGATTCCCCAGACGCAGAAACAAAGAAAAAATGGATTCGCAATCCAGTTGGTGACTGCATCGCCAAACACCGGCCCAAACTTACTCCGTTGCAAAGAGCCTTGCACCACATGGGCTTTATTATGGGTATGATTGCACTGAGTGTGGCCTTGCTCGTCTTCATTGTTGGCATGTTACGCGGCACCGAAGATCCGAGACATCCCAACCGACCTACCTACCTTACAATGATCATGACAGCGGTGTCGATTGCTGTCAGCGCTGTGCCTGAAGGCTTACCGATGGTGGTGACAATTTGTCTATCGTCTGGTACAGCCGAGATGATCAGAAAGAACGTACTCGTGCGTAAGCTTGCTGCCGTGGAAACTCTGGGCGCAGCTTCAGTTATTTGTACCGACAAGACGGGCACTTTGACAGAGGGAAAAATGACTGCAGTAAAACTCTGGGGCGATTTCCGAGAGTATACTATCACCGGCAAGGGTTTCAACCCCGATGGCTTCATTCTCTCGCCTGACGGCATGAACCAAGCGGAGCCAGAGGCTGGAAACGTCCAGCTTCGAGCTACTCTCATGGCCTCCGTGCTCTGCAGCAATACTCAACTTAAACAAGTAGAAGGCGACGACGGCGAAACTCCACGATGGCTGCCATTTGGCAACTCGTCTGAGGCGCCTTTGGTCGTTGCTGCTGCAAAAGCGGGTATCTGGGAAGACAATCTCCTGGACGACTACCCGCGCCTCGTTGAAGTGCCATTCAGCTCGTCACGTAAGATGATGATTACTGTCAACGCGGTTCCGGTTGTAAGCGGCTTCGCGATGTTTGATACGCTAGCGCTTCCTGGTGACGTACCGCCGAAGCTTGTGGCCAACGTCAAAGGGGCTCCAAATTACATTCTGCGTAATTGCACGCAGTATTGCCAAAGAGATGGCACGTTCCAGACTCTAGACACCGCTCAGCGCAATAAGATTTCGGAGGCTGTGGAGGCACTGTCATCGCAGGCACTGCGTGTGCTCGCGGTAGCAATCCAGCCAATGCAGGAGCTACCATACGCCAAGGACTGCGATGATGTCGATGAGAAGTTTGCTGCCTTGGCCAAGCCGCTAGTATTTCTGGGACTTGTTGCCTCCATTGACCCAGAGCGCGACGGAGTGCGCGATGCTATCGCGACTGCACGGGCAGCCTCTATCCGCACTGTGATGATCACGGGAGACTATCTTGCCACAGCCGTCGCAATTGCCAAAAATATTGATCTGTTACAAATCGGTACTGATCTTGAGGCTCAAGCAACGGACTGCACTAAACTCCGGATGAACGGTGATGTGTATCTACCACCTGCTGACATCGATGAGATTACCTCTCGTACCCTCGTGTTTGCCCGTGCAAAGCCCGAAGATAAGATCGAAATCGTGAAGTCACTTCAACGCCAGGGCCTCATCGCTGCGATGACTGGTGATGGTGTTAACGATGCGCCTGCACTAAAGGAAGCTGATATTGGTGTGGCCATGGGCATTTCAGGGACAGAGGTCGCCAAAGGCGCTTCTGACATGATCCTGACGGACGACAATTTTTGCAGCATCGTGGCCGCAGTAGAGAAGGGTCGTGTCATTTACGCCAACATTCAGAAGTTCGTCATGTTCTTGCTGTCAACTAACATCGGTGAGATCATTTTGATCTTCCTGTCCGTAGCCGGAGGGTTCCCGCTTCCGCTGGAGGCGTTGCATATTCTTCTTCTCAACCTGTTCACTGACGGTATGCCTGCTGTGGCCCTGAGCTTGGAGAAAGGTGAGCCCCATATCATGAACGACAAGCCGCGCCACAAGGGTGCTCCGCTGATAGTTGGACGGCTATGGCTGCTCGTGCTGTTCAATGCCTTCTTACTTCTGGCGGGTGCCATGACTACTTTTTTGTTGGGGCTCTACTGGAATTTTGGTGAGCTACTGGTGAATGACATTTACAATGCTGGCGGTGGTTCGAATGGAACGGACTACACGGACGTGACGTGTCGTCGCTGGGAGGGAACAAACGACGGATGGAAGGTGTACGGCAACTGCGCAGCACAGTTCACCGACGGTACCTACATCTTCGGCGAGGAAGTGGCGGCAATGACTTTATTTGAGAACGCAACTGTCTACTGCGAAGGTGGCAACTACGACTGCGTTCCAGCGGGTTTAGGTCGCACACAGACTATGGTGTTTCTAGGATTGGCCTTCACGGAGGTATTGCGAGCCTACACAGTGCGTCACTTTACGGAGCCTGTTTTCACGCGGATGCTGTCAAATGGATATATGCAGCTTGCGGCGTGTATGTCGCTGGTGCTGACCATCCTTGTGTCGAACGTCCCTGTTGTCATGGACGACGTTTTCGGTTTTGAGTACATTTCGTGGTTCCAGTGGATCGTGGTCGTTGCTGTCGCATTCAACAGCGCATTCTGGGGTGAGATGCTCAAAACAATTTTGAGACGACAGGACTGCGCCGAAGCTCGTTGGGATCACATGAGGTCTGGTTTCGAAGAGATTTTGCTTGAAATCCGGCATGTGCGCCATCACGTCGAGCGACTTGGGGCTGGAGGTGGTGGTCTCAAGTTTGAGTAAGGACGAAGCAGTTGTGTTAAGCTCTTGATCCCGCGCAGAACAAAGTGTGTGTTACCTGTATTTGTCCGGCTTGCTTCAACTGCCGAGTCAATTCGCTCTGTACAGAAAAAGCAGATACCAAGTGCAGTGTTTCGTGGCGATAATGAATATATATTAACATCATGTTTCTTTTCCTTCATCATTCCAACGATCAAATGTATACTTCAGGTATGATGGATCAGCACGGTATTTTCAAGCTACACAGAAAGTTACACATAAGTTCAATGCACTCGGCTCCTTTAACACACCGTCTGAAGCCTCAGCCAACCAAAAATGTATCCATCGCGCAAAAACAAGCAGAGTAGTGACATCTGTCTCAGACAACAAGTCAAACGTTACATAAGACACTTGACTTGTCTCATAAGTATCTTCAAGTACCACTTGCATTTGTCCAATAGCTTTTGACTTCATGCGACCGTTTGTAGCTAACTGATACGTTGATACGTTGCGCTATTTTGATAACCTATTCCAAGCTCTATACTGGAGTTTCTAAGGTCGTGACTGCCTTCGTCCCTGCCATTGAATGAGTCATCGAACAATTCTTGGGTGTTCACTTGGTCATTGCACGAGTGCTGAGGTGTTACAGAGATTAAATACCAAGGACATTCAGAAATGCCCCAACTCATCGTGACCTTACTACGTGCTAATAATTTGCCTGTAGCTGACACTTTCATCCAAGGAAGTGCAAGTGACCCATTTGTAACATTTCAGATCGATGATGAATACGTACGTTCATCATGTGTAAGTGGAACACTAAATCCCGTGTGGCAACCGGCCGAGACGTTTGAGTTTGAAGTACCGTATACATCGCGAAACAGTGAGCGTCACTTGGTGATTCAAGTTGTTGATAACGATAGCTTTAAGACGGATGAGTTGATTGGAGTATTGAGTCTTCCATTATCGATTTTTGAAGCACGACCTAATGAAGCAGTTGTCGAGACATATGACCTTCAAGTGCCAGAATCATTCAATCCACAAGAATCGAAATCATCCGACGAAATGAAACAGAAGACAACGATTCAATTGGATATTTGCTATGAAAAGGAGACAGATGGCCAAAAGACACTGTATGTGTGGGAGAATGAAGACTATCGAGATGGTAAGTGGACACCTTCGCATAATAACGAACGTCGTCATTGGAGTTCTTTTGACTTGCAGACATCATCCGACAATTTTGAACATGTGGCACCACAAATACCTCAAGGACTGGAAGGAGCTGGATGGGCCTATTCGACCAAAAAAGGCGACGAACATGGATGGGTCTATGCCAGCACTTATACGGGACCTTGGGCGTCCATGTCATCGACTGGGTGCTACGCCCGTCGCCGTTTATGGCAAAACAACTGCCGCCCTGCAGTTGCGTGCGAGTAGAAGCTACATAGCTGAGTTTTTACCAGATTTTACGGTGAGAAGAGGGCAAGCGTGTGGGTATGGTGAACAAGCATTGCAATATCGCGGTGGAATGAAAGTTATGCGATTACTGTTCGTTGAAAGTCTTGTCTCATACTGCAGCATCTCTCTTGGTCTACATCTTTCTTGCACTAGAACACGTCCACAGCGAATTATCTGTCTCATATCTTAGGTGGTGTGTAAGAGCAAAACCAGACTAGTGGTTTTCCTTCCAACAAGGCGCCGACGCATCAACTTACTAAGCTGCCCCGTTTCGCGTCGTCAACGTGTCAGCAGCGTGATGATAGGCTTACATCCCGACGAGAAGATGCTTTTGGATTGGCGTGTAACGGCGATCCAAAAGCATCTTCTCGTCGTGGTTTCAGGCAACGACATGTCATAAGCCTTCAAAACGTCCAACTTCTTGATTACATCGATTCTCGATCCGCGTTCAAACGGCTCATTGTTGCCGCGCCCTTCGTACGCATTCAACCGTAGCTGATTGAGACGAAGCATAGACGATGGCTTGATAGTACTTCCTCCTCTAAGCACCTGTTCTTGCAGCTTCCGCGCTTGCACCTGCCTGTTGCACTCCGTCTTGTGTTTGTGCCAAACGACCACCATGCACGCCCGACGACATACCGGAAAAAAAAGCCTTGCACCGGCTGCATTGCTTTTGGGAAGGTTGACCCACATGCAGTGATGCCTTGGTGACCCAAATGTATTTGCTGTTATCGACATATCTACCAAACAAAGAGAATGGCCAAAAGTATCACTGTTTACACATTGCTTTGCTACTATGTTGCAGATCCCCTCCCCATCCATCAGTGACGAACAGCGGGACGGGACGATCTCGTCACCGTCTTAATTTGTGTGATCAAGGCAACTGTCTAATGCCTCGTACACATGTGTCTTGACTGCGAAGAAGTGATATCGGCGACGTAGCAGATAACGGAAGACGTAATAGGGAAATCGAACGGATCCTAGGTTGTTCAGGCAGTACAATTCGCGATCAGAGATGTCTACATCATCACTATGGCGATACCGCGGCGTGACAAGTGTAGGATTAACATTAAACATCCGCGAGGGCCAGCGTTCTGCATTTCCACGCAGTCCAAATGGGTACGGCTCTAGCACCGTCTTACCATTGATATGAAGCAGGTCTGGTGGTTCACTCGCATTCTCAGTAGGTAAGAAATGAGTAAAAGTGCCGCACATGGTATCAGGGTGGGCAGCGTCGTTGTTTGGGACTGACTCTGTCAAACTAACTCCCCAGGGCGTGAAAAAATAGTCTTGGTGTGCGAGCTCGAACGCTAACCAGAAGGATTCCTTATCCCCCCCATGAAAACCGCAAGCTTAACCGCGTCTTCAAAAAGAGTTCTTTCAAGACCTCCAGTGCCTTACCTGCTCTATTCTTATCAATCACCACCATAGACGAGTCCATTGTGTGTGCACTGAGACCTCGCCACGAATGCATACGTTTTAATCGGTCGGACGGCTCTGGTCCACTCAGATTATAAGTCTTATACGGAAAAGAGTCGATCAAATAGTGTAGATTCGTTTGTCCACTCTTCCTTTTCTCAGACAGAAACATGTTACTCTTGATAATACGGTCTCGGAAGAATGTCGTTCCTGTACGCACGTATCCAGACATTTGCCGCACCACTGCCGGATCTTTTAGTAAAATCGCATCTGCGTCCAACATAATCACTTGTCGTAGTTTTGTGTGATACATCGCCAAAGGTTTGATCCAATAACTCTGAAACGTTTTTGCAATGTCGACATCACCTTGAAAAAGGTTTTCCACTCCGGTTTTAGCCATAATATCAGTACAAACATCCACAATCTCCACTCGCATGTCATTGCGTGTGAGCAATGCTCGATTCTCATCCGACAACTCCTCGGGGAAGCAATGATAGACCTGGATTAGCTCGAAATTGCCTAAACAGCGAAGCTCCCGAATTAGTGACACACCCATTTCTGCAACATTATTATGAATACAGATGATAATACCACGCTCATAGTCATCTTCCGTGACAATAGGCGAGATACTAGTGTGGGGGGATTATTATCGGTCTACCCTGAACTTGTAGTGCTGACGGTATGGCGCGTAGTACACTGGATTTCACTGGCGGACACTCGTTCTGGACCGAAAAGAGTCGAGGGTTATTGATATTTGATAGAATAACTCCTAATGTAAAGCACGACATGCAGACAAAGACCCATCGCATTGTAGAATTGTCCGGCATCTTAGTCACTCCCTGACTCGAAATTTTTAAAACTAACAGTTACTTAAGGTTGTTGCCACGTGTGTGTGTGTGTGTGGAAGATAAACCAGTACATACCGGTCTCTTGGACTTGCCAAAATGGGCCAATGTGCACTCTCATGATTGGGAACTTTCTTCCAATTTGAAAAACATTATCACAAGACTCAGATCGGAGTCGACCCATTATTGAAAAGAGAGAGAACTGAAGAGAGAATGACTAGCATTGAATTAAGCAGTCTGTGGATATTTCCACGAATGCAACAACAACTCACTCCCTTTTGGTCATTCCATCAAGCATTGTGTATAGCTTTTTCTCTCTTGAGTCAAACACATCGAGCTCTTGTTACTGCTAGTCCTAGAGGTGAATAAAGACATGGAAAAGAAAGATAAAGACGTTGTTGCTTGAGTTTCTCTCTGTATATTTGTATCGTTAACCCCTCTTCTACTATTTCTACGATTGTGCTTCTCAATTGTCTTTCTATTGTCCTGATCCAAGTCACAACTACGAAAACGCGCATGGAAATTAGAGAACAGGATTTTTCCTTCAATGGTAACTAAACGTGTTGTCTTTTTGCCTGCGTATGAGTCAATTGTGTCGTTCTCAACTGACTTTTTGATGCGTTGATTTGCTTGATATACCGCTCTGTTTTCTGTTGCTACTTGGGTCCTTTTCTTTCATTAGACGACACTCGAGAGCAACCACTTATTGAGGTTGTAACAAACGACGTCAGGACAGCAGACATTTTCAACATTATGGAAGGTATGTAAGCTGCTTTATTCGAGTACGAATGGATTTGTGCACTATTTCTTTCTGACGGACAATATGGTATTGCACGATGGTTTTCAGCAGTCAGAGGGGAAGAAGAAGAAGTGCTTGGAGACGAAACCGCGTCGTGGTGGACGGACGCAGTGACAGAAGAATTCACAAGGCAGGATGTTGTGCTGTTGGCATTGATTGGAGTTTGTGCATGTCGACTGCTGTGTTTTGTGGGTCACATAACGTGGAAATTAATGCGACTGATGATCATGCAGTGGTATGATGTCTTTGGAAAAGAAGGTCATGAAGAAGACGAGGGAGAGAACATTGTTGTCAACAGTGAAAGCTTGCGGAAACAATTGGCTATCATTCGCTTTTGCCGTCTGCAATTTTTGCTGGTAATTGAGAAGCTGCAGCATGAAATGCGGGACAGCAAAAATCAAGACACACAGAAAATGTTGGCGTCACTGGTTGTGCTGCAGTGCAAGGACGAAAAGAAGGTAACGCTTGCAGAAATTCTGGCAACGTTGCAAGCGATTCAAGCGCAGGACGCTTGTTTTCTCAAATCGCGTGAGGCAGAAGAGCATTTTGCAGAAATCAAACAAGATGTAGAAGATGAAGAAGCTTTGGATGCAGGACTTGCACAAGCATGGGAACAGTTGCAGCAAACGTATGTTTCATTCCTTCGAATTCAAGCGACACTACTTCATCAGCAAACGCACAGAAAGACGCAGCGATGGCAAGTGCAACAACAGAAAGAAACTGGACGTTGTCGACGTCGACATTTTAGTTGCAAGAAAGATTCTACTAATGAGGTGTTGCATGAACTTGAAAAGCTCACCAAGGAGCTACCTCAAGGTTTCACGGCTGATATGTTCACGTCATTGGGCAAGGCTATCCACGAAAAAGTGATTTTGTCTAGTGCTGATATAAAGACAAGATCGACATGACAAGTGGAGACGGAGAAACGTGACGTCCTAAAATGAGCCTTTTTGACCGACATTTCAGTCGTGTATGCAAAATTTATGGAGCTTACCATGGATAGAGACAGAAACGAGTCTAGGACGATATTGATTTATAAGGTATGAGAGATCAGACTGAGTATGGCTTTTAGCAAAAAAAAGCAGTAGAAATGAACAATAGTAGAACGTTGTTAGGGGATTGTAACATATCAGCTAAGAGCAATTTTTTGAAATTTCTACGAAGGAGTAAAACCAATGAAATCCGTTTTAAATCCGTTTCAGCTGTCAAAATTCTAACCAATTTGCACGAAAGTGCCTTCAACTTCCATTGGTCGTACAACTTAGCTCCCTCTTGATAGTGCCTATACAAAACGCCATATTAATCATATCTCATGGAACTTACTGCGCGTTCCAAGAAACCGCTACTAATCATGGAACAAGAGACTCAGCACTTTGTCTTCGTGTACAAGAGTGACAAAATAAAGACATTACAACGACCAGTTGGAAGTCAAATGGCTACATTATATTGTCTACGAAGTCTAATCGTAGCTACTGTTGTATTACTGAGTGCTAGTGACGCACGTCGTGTCGTTGCTGAACAATCTCATCGTACGTTTTAGAAATCGTCTTTCGAAATGGCTAGGACGTAGTGGTCGCGATAGAAATGAGGGTCCATTGGAATCAGTCGTTTCTATTGATAGAAATATGATTATTATTATTATTATTATTGTTATCATTATTATGTACAATTATTATTAATATTATTATTGATCTCATACTAATACAAGAATTCAATTATTTATTGTAGCACATGGACGAGTAGAAATCCACGTGGAAGATTTTTCATTCTCTGATCAAGCAACAAAGGAAGAAGAATATCAACAAATTGCAATTGAAGCACATGATTTAAAAGGGTCGGAGCTAAAACCGTGGGTCTCAACTCCTGATATTCATTTCATTACATGGGAGATAACAACAAGAGATGAGACTAGAGATTGGAATTATTTGGACAAGAATCAGGTCATGGACCAAGAAGTAATTGCAACAATTGTAGAGATTCAAGAAGATCAACAGGGTGGTACGGTTCATGGTGATAATATCGTTGCTGTACAAACTGGTGATACGACAGAGAGAGAGGGAGATGTGTTGTTGACGAAATACACAGACTACCGTACGGCTGTATGGTGGTGGAGTCAGGAGAAAACACAATTGTCGACGCAGGAACAGGCAGTAGTCTTGGCTGCGGTTGTAACAATCCTACTTGTCTTTGGACTAGCACTTATAGTGCTTTGGAACATGGTGTGGCGTGTATGGCGCTTTTATCGGGAGATACAGACACTTCATAAACTTTTTGGTGAGCAAAATCCGGTAGTATTGGAGCAAGAGTTGTGTAACTTCCCAGTGGAGTTATTGTCATTACGTATCAAGCAGATTGCTTGCGTGAGGCTCCGGCATTTACAAGTGGTATCGAATGCTCGAGACTTTAAAAAACAGATTGAGATGGTCGAGTTCCGTGAAATTGCGATGGAATTAGTAAATCTGCCGCTTCATCCGATAAGTCGAAAGGAAATGACGTTTGCAGAGATTTTAACGACAGTTGAAGAAATAGCGTGCAGGGGGGAACAGGTAGCTGTTGAAATGATGCAGCTAGTGGTTCCTTCGCGCTGGAAAAATTACGTTGATGAGAGCTCGTGGCTGAAGACTCAAGATGAGAGTTTACAAAGCTTACATCTAGAAAATGCGCGTGTCCAGCAGCTGTCGGAACAAATCTCAGAACTTCTTGTAGCGAAAGTCAATTCAAATGAAGCTATCCCAAAGCCAGTGTTTCTTTCGCTGCTCGCGTCGCTCCGTCAGAACTTAGGAACCCCGCCACAGAACTATGCTAACGTGAATGTGGCGTCTAGTGAGTTAGACGCATTCGCACGTTGCTGGAGCGGAAGCATGACAATGAGCGGCAGCGTCGGCAATGCTGGCTGCAATATGAACAAAGATGAGTTCGGTTTCTTGCTTAAAGCATTCGACGAGGTGGCCGAGCAACAAAAGGTTCGACAGGAACTACTAAGCGCTATCGAGAACTTCCAGTCCGTAAATGAGCCAGAGTACGAACAGCTACTATTGCTTGAGAATGCGGACAGTGCGAGCCGCAATCAGATTACTCAACGGACAAAGCAGCTTGGCACCACCGCAGCAGGTAGCAGCGGAGCCACTGCTGCGTCTATGCGTCGTCTAGAACGATTGGTGGACGAAGCCGAGATGATGGAGATGACGTACGTCGAGGAGGTCGAGAGTGCGCAGTTCATGCTGGAGGATGCTCGTCGTGACAGCTTCTGCGCAGCTATTGTCAGCAGTGAGGGTAAGGGTCTTGATAGTGTTCAGTCGCTAGCGACAAACTTTGTTGCGCTTGGTGCCAAACGTGAAGATGCTATCCTGAAAGCTGGTGAAATTTTAGCGAACCGCTCGAACATGATGCTTTTGGTGACCAGCCTAAGAGGCATGTTTGATCAGCTGCGTAAGCGCGACATTATAAAGATGAATGAACGACGAAATCGCGATCGCGCCAAAGCTCAAGATAAGCGCAATCGCATGGCTCAAAAGTTCCATAACAAGCAGCAGCTGGTTATTGAAAAAATTGAGCGAGCACGTGAAGCCCAGCGACAAATGGAAGAGGAAGCACGACTCCAGCGACGGAAGGAGGAATTGAAGCAGGTTCGCGCTCAGAGTGCTCGAAACCGTGCGTCATTTGTTTGGGCAATAACCAAAACCGATGTGTTAGTGGTGTTGGTAATCATGGCTATCGTATTTTTCGAGAATTTGCGGGAGGTGGCTTTTGTAAAACCTTTATGCCAGCCTGACGAGGAGCATCATTGGTGGATGGTATCTTGGTGGGCACCGGCATCACTTCAGGTGTTTGGTTGTGAAGTATCTTACGGGATGAAGATTCTAGGTATCCTTCTGGCGCTTGGTGTGTGTTTTTTTGCTGCTGCTCAGCTCAACCTTGTGGCTGTACTACTACCGGTACTAGGTGCGATCGGCCTCTACTATCTGCGCGCTGAATGGATGAACATGCTCTTCCGCCTACCACTTTTGTTCATCATCTACGGCTTTAATTCAGGTATTCTCTACCTGTTTAATCGCTTTGAAGACCGCAGTAATGACGACCACGTAGTGAAAGAGCAGGACAAGGATGTTGCTGTGAGTTCTACGAGGCGACGGAATATGTTGCTGTACGTTGTGTTCCCGTTCTTCTCGCTTCTTTTGACAGTGGTAACGGGTGTCGGTGTCGCTTGTGATGCCCCTGAGCAGTGCGTCGCATCGGCCTCTACAGCAACTGCGTCTGTACTTGCAGGACTGTGGGAATTTGTACGTAGAGCATATCGATTGTAAACCGTCTGGAAGTTGAGGTGATAGGAACAGCACGAAGGCACGTTCGTATACTATTTTGCTTGACAAGTACCAGGGCGTTAATGCATACTGCTACATAGAGATCCAAGCTGGGGGTTAGTGGCATTCGCCGAAAAGTCGAGTACAGATGATTGGTTATCTCTAGCACAAAAACGCTTGCCTGCCGTAAGCCTGCCACGGTACGTTATGACCAGCCACAAAACTTTGCTGTTTGCGATAGGAAAACGAGCAGGAGAAATGCAATGGACCAGATCAGGTACAGCAGGATCCCACTCATCGCTTGGGACCATAACGAAAGCTTGTTCGTCTGGATTGGTCACTTCTTTCTACAGGAATGCAGACGTGTTAGACCGTATCGTCATTGTTTCCATGTTCGTTGCTACCATACACGTAGCAGCAGCTTCAACAAATTGACCTGTTGAGTTTCAGGTCATTCTTTTGGACCAGTGGTCATTTCTTGAATACTTTATAAATTATACATCTATCAAGTTTTGCAAATAATTCATATATACAAGTTACTCGATCGTACTAGGAGTGATCCTACTTTTAATGTCAATACACAACTAAACCGTATCAGCTCTTGTTACAAAGCCAGTTTTTGCAATCACTCCTCTCTCTCTCTCCCACGTCTCAGTCTCAGGCTCCATTAAGATGAATGCCATACGAGCAGCTGTCTCTGGTTCACGTGTACGCTTTATCCAAGATGGTTATGATCTTGATTTAACATATATAACCCCACAACTTATAGCCATGGGTTATCCTGCTTCTGGTGTTGAAAAAACCTATCGAAATGATATTAATCAAGTCGCTCACTTTCTAAATACGCGTCATCCAAATGCATATCGCGTGTATAATTTAAGTGAACGAACATATGATTATACGAAATTCCATGGACGTGTGTGTGAATATGGTTTTCCCGATCATCATCCACCACCATTACAATTATTACTTGATATACTTAATGATATGACTGAATGGATTGGTACGACCAGCAAGCATACAAAACACCATGTGATTGTAGTGCATTGTCTAGCTGGTAAAGGACGAACAGGTGTTATTTGTTCATGTTATCAATTACTGACGGGAATCGTATGGCAAAAATCTATTGAATTTACAAAAAGAACAAGAACTTCGACAACTTGCGTTTGTTACAACCTCAATAAGTGGTTGCTCTCGAGTGTCGTCTAATGAAAGAAAAGGACCCAAGTAGCAACAGAAAACAGAGCGGTGTATCAAGCAAATCAACGCATCAAAAAGTCAGTTGAGAACGACACAATTGACTCATACGCAGGCAAAAAGACAACACGTTTAGTTACCATTGAAGGAAAAATCCTGTTCTCTAATTTCCATGCGCGTTTTCGTAGTTGTGACTTGGATCAGGACAATAGAAAGACAATTGAGAAGCACAATCGTAGAAATAGTAGAAGAGGGGTTAACGATACAAATATACAGAGAGAAACTCAAGCAACAACGTCTTTATCTTTCTTTTCCATGTCTTTATTCACCTCTAGGACTAGCAGTAACAAGAGCTCGATGTGTTTGACTCAAGAGAGAAAAAGCTATACACAATGCTTGATGGAATGACCAAAAGGGAGTGAGTTGTTGTTGCATTCGTGGAAATATCCACAGACTGCTTAATTCAATGCTAGTCATTCTCTCTTCAGTTCTCTCTCTTTTCAATAATGGGTCGACTCCGATCTGAGTCTTGTGATAATGTTTTTCAAATTGGAAGAAAGTTCCCAATCATGAGAGTGCACATTGGCCCATTTTGGCAAGTCCAAGAGACCGGTATGTACTGGTTTATCTTCCACACACACACACACACACGTGGCAACAACCTTAAGTAACTGTTAGTTTTAAAAATTTCGAGTCAGGGAGTGACTAAGATGCCGGACAATTCTACAATGCGATGGGTCTTTGCCTGCATGTCGTGCTTTACATTAGGAATTATTCTATCAAATATCAATAACCCTCGACTCTTTTCGGTCCAGAACGAGTGTCCGCCAGTGAAATCCAGTGTACTACGCGCCATACCGTCAACACTACAAGTTCAGGATAGACCGATAATAATCCCCCACACTAGTATCTCGCCTATTGTCACGGAAGATGACTATGAGCGTGGTATTATCATCTGTATTCATAATAATGTTGCAGAAATGGGTGTCTCACTAATTCGGGAGCTTCGCTGTTTAGGCAATTTCGAGCTAATCCAGGTCTATCATTGCTTCCCCGAGGAGTTGTCGGATGAGAATCGAGCATTGCTCACACGCAATGACATGCGAGTGGAGATTGTGGATGTTTGTACTGATATTATGGCTAAAACCGGAGTGGAAAACCTTTTTCAAGGTGATGTCGACATTGCAAAAACGTTTCAGAGTTATTGGATCAAACCTATGGCGATGTATCACACAAAACTACGACAAGTGATTATGTTGGACGCAGATGCGATTTTACTAAAAGATCCGGCAGTGGTGCGGCAAATGTCTGGATACGTGCGTACAGGAACGACATTCTTCCGAGACCGTATTATCAAGAGTAACATGTTTCTGTCTGAGAAAAGGAAGAGTGGACAAACGAATCTACACTATTTGATCGACTCTTTTCCGTATAAGACTTATAATCTGAGTGGACCAGAGCCGTCCGACCGATTAAAACGTATGCATTCGTGGCGAGGTCTCAGTGCACACACAATGGACTCGTCTATGGTGATGATTGATAAGAATAGAGCAGGTAAGGCACTGGAGGTCTTGAAAGAACTCTTTTTGAAGACGCGGTTAAGCTTGCGGTTTTCATGGGGGGGATAAGGAATCCTTCTGGTTAGCGTTCGAGCTCGCACACCAAGACTATTTTTTCACGCCCTGGGGAGTTAGTTTGACAGAGTCAGTCCCAAACAACGACGCTGCCCACCCTGATACCATGTGCGGCACTTTTACTCATTTCTTACCTACTGAGAATGCGAGTGAACCACCAGACCTGCTTCATATCAATGGTAAGACGGTGCTAGAGCCGTACCCATTTGGACTGCGTGGAAATGCAAAACGCTGGCCCTCGCGGATGTTTAATGTTAATCCTACACTTGTCACGCCGCGGTATCGCCATAGTGATGATGTAGACATCTCTGATCGCGAAATGTACTGCCTGAACAACCTAGGATCCGTTCGATTTCCCTATTACGTCTTCCGTTATCTGCTACGTCGCCGATATCACTTCTTCGCAGTCAAGACACATGTGTACGAGGCATTAGACAGTTGCCTTGATCACACAAATTAAGACGGTGACGAGATCGTCCCGTCCCGCTGTTCGTCACTGATGGATGGGGAGGGGATCTGCAACATAGTAGCAAAGCAATGTGTAAAAGAAAAAAAAAAAAAAAAAAAAAAAAAAAAAAAAAAAAAAAAAAAAAAAAAAAAAAAAAAAAAAAAAAAAAAAAAAAAAAAAAAAAAAAAAAAAAAAAAAAAAAAAAAAAAAAAAAAAAAAAAAAAAAAAAAAAAAAAAAAAAAAAAAAAAAAAAAAAAAAAAAAAAAAAAAAAAAAAAAAAAAAAAAAAAAAAAAAAAAAAAAAAAAAAAAAAAAAAAAAAAAAAAAAAAAAAAAAAAAAAAAAAAAAAAAAAAAAAAAAAAAAAAAAAAAAAAAAAAAAAAAAAAAAAAAAAAAAAAAAAAAAAAAAAAAAAAAAAAAAAAAAAAAAAAAAAAAAAAAAAAAAAAAAAAAAAAAAAAAAAAAAAAAAAAAAAAAAAAAAAAAAAAAAAAAAAAAAATATTTAATTTTTTTTAAAAAAAAAAAAAAAAAAAAAAAAAAAAAAAAAAAAAAAAAAAAAAAAAAAAAAAAAAAAAAAAAAAAAAAAAAAAAAAAAAAAAAAAAAAAAAAAATAAATAAAAAAAAAAAAAAAAAAAAAAAAAAAAAAAAAAAATTAAAAAAAAAAAAAAAAAAAAATTAAAAATTAATAAAAAAAAAAAAATTTTTAAAATAAAAATAAATTAAAAAATTTTTTAAAAAAAAAAAAAAAAAACAGTGATACTTTTGGCCATTCTCTTTGTTTGGTAGATATGTCGATAACAGCAAATACATTTGGGTCACCAAGGCATCACTGCATGTGGGTCAACCTTCCCAAAAGCAATGCAGCCGGTGCAAGGCTTTTTTTCCGGTATGTCGTCGGGCGTGCATGGTGGTCGTTTGGCACAAACACAAGACGGAGTGCAACAGGCAGGTGCAAGCGCGGAAGCTGCAAGAACAGGTGCTTAGAGGAGGAAGTACTATCAAGCCATCGTCTATGCTTCGTCTCAATCAGCTACGGTTGAATGCGTACGAAGGGCGCGGCAACAATGAGCCGTTTGAACGCGGATCGAGAATCGATGTAATCAAGAAGTTGGACGTTTTGAAGGCTTATGACATGTCGTTGCCTGAAACCACGACGAGAAGATGCTTTTGGATCGCCGTTACACGCCAATCCAAAAGCATCTTCTCGTCGGGATGTAAGCCTATCATCACGCTGCTGACACGTTGACGACGCGAAACGGGGCAGCTTAGTAAGTTGATGCGTCGGCGCCTTGTTGGAAGGAAAACCACTAGTCTGGTTTTGCTCTTACACACCACCTAAGATATGAGACAGATAATTCGCTGTGGACGTGTTCTAGTGCAAGAAAGATGTAGACCAAGAGAGATGCTGCAGTATGAGACAAGACTTTCAACGAACAGTAATCGCATAACTTTCATTCCACCGCGATGCTTGTTCACCATACCCACCCACACGCTTGCCCTCTTCTCACCGTAAAATCTGGTAAAAACTCAGCTATGTAGCTTCTCACTCGCACGCAACTGCAGGGCGGCAGTTGTTTTGCCATAAACGGCGACGGGCGTAGCACCCAGTCGATGACATGGGCGCCCAAGGTCCCGTATAAGTGCTGGCATAGACCCATCCATGTTCGTCGCCTTTTTTGGTCGAATAGGCCCATCCAGCTCCTTCCAGTCCTTGAGGTATTTGTGGTGCCACATGTTCAAAATTGTCGGATGATGTCTGCAAGTCAAAAGAACTCCAATGACGACGTTCGTTATTATGCGAAGGTGTCCACTTACCATCTCGATAGTCTTCATTCTCCCACACATACAGTGTCTTTTGGCCATCTGTCTCCTTTTCATAGCAAATATCCAATTGAATCGTTGTCTTCTGTTTCATTTCGTCGGATGATTTCGATTCTTGTGGATTGAATGATTCTGGCACTTGAAGGTCATATGTCTCGACAACTGCTTCATTAGGTCGTGCTTCAAAAATCGATAATGGAAGACTCAATACTCCAATCAACTCATCCGTCTTAAAGCTATCGTTATCAACAACTTGAATCACCAAGTGACGCTCACTGTTTCGCGATGTATACGGTACTTCAAACTCAAACGTCTCGGCCGGTTGCCACACGGGATTTAGTGTTCCACTTACACATGATGAACGTACGTATTCATCATCGATCTGAAATGTTACAAATGGGTCACTTGCACTTCCTTGGATGAAAGTGTCAGCTACAGGCAAATTATTAGCACGTAGTAAGGTCACGATGAGTTGGGGCATTTCGAATGTCCTTGGTATTATATCTCGCATTCATGGAGTGGTGATTTCTTGAATACTTTATAAATTAAACATCTATCAAGTTTTGCAAATAATTCATATATACAAGTTACTCGATCGTACTAGGAGTGATCCTACTTTTAATGTCAATACACAACTAAACCGTATCAGCTCTTGTTCCAAAGCCAGTTTTTGCAATCACTCCTCTCTCTCTCTCTCCACGTCTCAGTCTCAGGCTCCATTAAGATGAATGCCATACGAGCAGCTGTCTCTGGTTCACGTGTACGCTTTATCCAAGATGGTTATGATCTTGATTTAACATATATAACCCCACAACTTATAGCCATGGGTTATCCTGCTTCTGGTGTTGAAAAAACCTATCGAAATGATATTAATCAAGTCGCTCACTTTCTAAATACGCGTCATCCAAATGCATATCGCGTGTATAATTTAAGTGAACGAACATATGATTATACGAAATTCCATGGACGTGTGTGTGAATATGGTTTTCCCGATCATCATCCGCCACCATTACAATTATTACTTGATATACTTAATGATATGACTGAATGGATTGGTACGACCAGCAAGCATACAAAACACCATGTGATTGTAGTGCATTGTCTAGCTGGTAAAGGACGAACAGGTGTTATTTGTTCATGTTATCAATTACTGACGGGATCGTATGGCAAAAATCTATTGAATTTACAAAAAGAACAAGAACTTCGACAACTTGCAAATGCAAGTATTCGTGACTTTTGGAACATTCGAGGTCAAGGTGTGCGATTTCCAAGTCAAGCTTTGTATATTTATTATTTTATTAAAGTACTTCGAAGAATGGGACGAAAACGACCGACTCGGATTCCACGTTTACCACCAGCAAAAAGAATGATACTTCGAACTATTGGACTGCATGGTGTACCAGATTTTGAAGCGCCACCACGAGGAGGATGTACACCTTTTTTACAAGTACTCCCAGCTCCATCACAACATTATCAACCACATTTATTGTATAATAGTTCATGGCAAAAACCCAACTTTGAAACATACTTGGCAGATCCAGATGGATCGATTCTCTTTGAGGTACGTACATACGTACATGAGAGAAAAAAAAATGTGGTTTGATTTGTGCCTGTGACTTAACAAATGAATGAATGGTGGTTGCTATAGGTGAACACGGAGGTGCAAGGTGATGTTTTGGTGCGATGTTTTCACGCTAATACAACGAATATTGTGGGCAAGCACATGGTCAAGATGTTTCATTTTACGTTCAATACGGATTTCTTTCACAAATACGTACGTATGCAGGCAAAAAGGTTGATGCAGTGTCTTGGTGTCATGACTGGGAAAGGCAATAGTGTCATGAATTGACGAGGAAAATTTGTGCTTGTACTTGTGTAACGAACAGAGTAACATGTATCGACTGCCAAAAGCGGAAGTGGATGAAGCCGCTGGTAATCCACGATACCCTGATGACTTCCAGGTGATTTGTCACGTGGAAATGCTGGACCCGAATGGAAATCCGTTTCCGCCGAAATCATCTTCCGTCTTACAGTCAGAAAGGAGGAACGGTACTCTTGACGATGTAGTTGAGCAAGCAAAGGATGTTTGCTCAAGGTTCACGCCACGACCGCGCCGAATGACTGCGCCGTCTCGTCAGTCTTGCTGCGAGCAAAAAGCACGACCGGAGACCTCTTGCCAACTGGAGGAAACAGCACCTACGATGCAAGGTTGGTTGTACAAGCAAGGTGGCTTTGTCAAGAACTGGAAGAAACGATGGTTTGTCGCGCAGGGTGGAAAAATGATGTATTATCACGGTATCTCGGACGCTACGCCTCTTGGCGTCGTGAATTTGCGGCGCGTGACAGTGCAAATGTGTGAACCCCATGAAGTGAACGCGCGAAACAAGTGTCTTCACTTTTTCAAGGTAGTTCCCCGTAGTGCAGACCAGCGCACATACTTTTTCGGCGCCGAGTCCGAGCAAGACTTGGTGGCTTGGATTCATGTGATTGGCGCTCAGTCCGCTTACTACATCGTAAATGACGTGCTGTCACGACGACCTTTCATGCCGCACAACAATACGTTTGCTACTCGCGCGTCATATCAGCAGGTGCATCAGACGCCCCATCGCGAAGAAGATCGGCATCGTCGCGCCAGCAGCGACCGAAGCCGTAGTTATCATGTGAGTGACACAAGGTCGTCGCTATCATCGATCGCTTTGTCCGCACCCCCCATCCCCATATGGCCATGTTCGTTCGTCGGGGGTATTGAACGCCACCGAGCTTTCGTTCCAACTTCCTCATAGCGAGGACAGTATTCGGTCTGAGGCATCAGACACTGTACGATCAAGCTGGAGCGATAATGGGGGACGCGAAAGCATGCTGAGTAATTTGTCTGGGGACGCCGAGCGTGCGAGGAAGTTCCGTATACAGTCGTTCACGGACTACGATGATCACGAGGAAGACCGATTGTCATCAACCTCAGCTTCTGCTGTGGCTCGATGTTTGCCAGCCGAACCCGTTGGTGATCTGATGAATACGCTTTCGGTGCGAGAGCAGGCTTTGCTTCTTCAAGAAATTAATGGATTTGAGGCGGGGATATACATTTATTCGGCGGACGAGCTCCTGGAGGCTGCACAATTACAGAAATACATGCGCGAGACGCCGAGTACAAGCTTTCACACTGGTTCAGATCCTCACTCGGCTGCTGATGGGCTCAAACATCCAAGCACGCTAAGTCGCCAGCTACGTCACTATGTGGCGCAGAAACAAATGGGATACGCTGAGCAGTTGCTTATCGAGCTTGTGCTTACCAAATTTCCGGGGCTCATTGATGCTATGGACCACGATCCCTTGGCATTTACTCGGCTAATTGCCAGTGGCGACATTGAGCTAGCTGGACATAGACTGCAAGGGTAGGAAGGCGTGGCTTTGACAGGTCAACAAGAGTCGCTGGCGACCATCAAGCTATCTGCCTCTAGAGGCTGCTATTGTGCTGCAATATATGATGATTCCAACGACGCGAAATGAAGATTGAATATCTGAAATTATTGACGTCGGGTCTTGGATATGTAGGAAATCTAGGACTGTAAAGGTCAAGTTCATTGAACAGTGTGAGCATATTTTGCTATTGCACGAATCGCTTCACGTGAACTGCTGGAAGTAGCAAAACGCTACTCAAAGTTGAGGAATTGAAGTTTATTATCAAGTTAATGAGGTTCATATATCACGCTAACGCGAGTTGTAGCGTCGCCGCAACACAAACTACAATCGCGACCACTGCGAGTGCTGACAAGAGAACAAGACGTATCGTTCCGGTACGACTGGAGCGCCATGGCACAAGTTGTACATAAAATATCAATGGAAACAGGTAACACAGTATGAGCAAGATGCTGGAACCAACAAAGGAAAAGACCACTTGAATTCCTGGAACACGTAAGGCACAGAGAATCTGTGCAGTTAGCAGCAGCACCGTCACAGCAGCTTGTACAGTTGGTGATAGTTCTTGGTCTTGCTTCACTTCCTTGTCCAACATTTTGTCAGCTCGGTGAGAAGTACAGACCATGATCATCTCGAGCACTAACGACCGAAGCGGGTGAAATAGCAGTGGAAATGAAAACAAAATTGTCAACAAGACTGCCATGCGAGGGACCGCCATAATTTGATCATTTGTGAGGTTCAGCAAGATGTTGCCCTGTGTTGTGTTTCCATAGATCTGTGCAGCGCAAACGCCAAAAATTGCGTAGAGCAAGACACACGTGCAGACAATTAACATCAGATAACGTCGCAAAGTGTGTCTAGCTCCTTGGAGGATATCAACGACTGCAGGAGCTTCTGCACTGGCAAGTGCTTCAAAATCACTCCCATACACTTTGTGTCTTCTCGTCTTCTCAGCAGCCACAAGTTGTGCAAGCAGCGGAATCACATTCAGGTGAAGCATGAACGTAAAATTGTACATTCCTGCAACTTCAGAGATGCGCCAGAACAAAGGTGCTTGAGTCTCCAAGACGGACGCTGGCAATGCAATACTTTCAGCTTCATTACCCGCGACAATAGCACGGTATGCTACGGCACCGACGAGATATACAGAGAATGCTACACCAAAGTACGACGAAAAGCGCAGGGCCGACATTTTAGTTAGACATCCCAAAGGTAGCGCCACGACCAGCCCCACGATCCAAACTGTAACGACCACAGCATGTTGCTGCATTTCCAATGGTTGATGATCAAATCCAGCAATAACTGCCGATAGCATTATCGGCGCCATGTCCTTTACCACACACACGCAGCCTACACATGCCCCGAACACTGCGAACGCCGTTAACGTTCCAGTGACTCGAGCCAAGACTTTACCACCAGCTCTCCATGCGAGATGCTGGTACGTCTCGCGATTCTCTTGCGGTATATCCTTGCTTTCCATTGCCACCGACACATGAGTCTCCAAAAGTGTATCAGCCGTAAAGCCCATTGCAAGACCAACGCAGCACAACACTAGTATTGCCTGGATAGGCGACAATAGCACAAAAGTATAAGGCACTGCCAGTGTGCCAGCACCAATTGCAGACATTAGCAGTGTGAATGGCACAGCACAATGACGTTCCACCCATTGACAAGGTGACAGACAAGCTGTAGTCCGTTCAGATTTCGTCTCAGATGCTTTAAGCTCCTGTATCGTCATTGTATGGAATTCAATATCTTCGGCAACAACAAGCGGGAACCCCGTCTCGAACGATTCACGACCATAACAATGTCTTCGACCGAGTAAAAGGGGTTCACAAGACAGGGAAAGCAATGGAGACGTCTCGTCTAAGGTGGCCATGACGGTTGGATGTTTTTCAAGGAGATTTCAAAAATGCTACGGTGGACCAACACATTACTTTCGCGTTGGCTTCGTCGCAAATGCGCAATCGTCTTTCTAGCTTTGCTTCGTAACCTTTTGGATAGACGCATGTACAAAAGGCGAGAACCCCTCACATTTCAGTGAGACTTTTATTGAAACTTCTGGATTCTAAGAACTCAACAGAAAGAGCACACCACGTGCTTCGTTCATATCCTCAAGGATCATTGTCTGGTATCAGGATCATAACTAACCAGCTTCAACAGCGTACGACCATTTGTCTCCAATCGGCACCAACGCTTTCAAATTGTGCGTCAATCGATACTTGGTCAATCTGATAGTCTCAGCTTGCTTGGTTACATTGTAAATGCTTTAGGTGGGATACGCGCTTCAACGTGCGATCAGTCTGTCTGCAGAACGTGCAATGTCGTATTCCACAGTCGACTGATTTGTTTTCTTTGCGCAAGGAAGATAGATCTACGGAGCAAAAGCGCCAACTTGATGAGAAGCGGACGACTTTCGACGAGAAATCATTTGATTCTGAACTACGACTGATTCAGAAATCCGCCAAGTGTTTGGTGAAAGACGGGGAAACTGCTGCAATTGAGGAACTAGTAGCTACGTAAAGTACGATAGAAATGTACTGGGCAAAGGCAGCTTCGATAGCGTCGTCAAAATGATACAACGATGTCAATACTACGTTGTAAGGATTTATATAATTTGGTTGGTAAGTGTTTCATTTGACAGACATGATGACCGGATTGTTGTAAACCCCATCAATCGGTTCTAAGAATGTAGAAGAAAGACTACAGAGGTGATTTTCATGTGTTACCGGCGTATCAATGTGCACCTGTTTTAATCTTGTATGACAAAGCTACTGTCGTTCTACTTTCACCCCAGCGAGAGGTCGAAAGGAAAGATCATTGTCTAATCCGATCGGCGCATTCAGGTTTGATGAAAGTCTATCTGCTTATGGTGGAACGTAATTTGTGGAGACATTTGACATTCATTGCAAACGGGTTTGGGAGTGTGGCTGATTGACAAGGTTGTTGTACGATGTTTTGACATGTTGTGGCAGATCCCGATCGAGTTACGTGATCGGAAAGTGTTGGGTCAAAATGTTAGGAGACTGCCACATACACCACTGCGGTGAGACTCTACTGTTGATCAAAGATGTAGCGCACAATCCTTAACTGCAAGGTGACAGAACACGTGCCTTATTTCATACTAGTGTCACGACGGAAGACAAAGCTGTTTTCTTGACAACAGGTGCGTATCAGACGTGGCAACCCACGTATCGACATACCGTGACTAGACAAGATCAAGTGGAAAGGACTCATGTTTCTCGTGAGTGAAAGCACAGCAAATTATGGTGTTGCGTCTTGGCTACTATATCTCGAGTGAAAAGGAAGGATTGTACGAGCTAATTTTGTAGAGACATGGTTGGAGTGTCCATGTTCCGGGAGTTCGTTGGTGCGGGTAAATAAGCGCCGTAGGAAACTGAATGCTGCGTTGAATACCTGCTCCATCTATCGACATTTCCTACAGCACATACAACACCATTCGTAGCATGCGAATATGGTCCACAACACGTGCTTATCGCTTACTATCAAATCGTCTTTACGGAGCAGGGGCTATCTAATTTGATGACTTTGAGGTGATAGTCGACAACGAGGTGAGTAGAAATGCGTGTAAGGTAAAACGATGTGATGATGACGATAATGCGTGCAACCACCACTCGATGATGATAACAATGGAAGAAATCGACAATGACTCGACCAAAAGATTCAGCCGCCTTAGACTCGTTGCCGGAAGTAAACGTTGGGTAAATTGTCATGTCATGTCCGAGTAAACATCTAACAAGCTAACTCATTTTGCAGCAAACTGATCGATGACTAGCGGTTGTGAGATGTAGTGTGCATAAGCATAGACATCACGTGCTGTTCCAGCATCAGAAACACGATAGTGTCATCAAGTATACGACAGGCACGTTGGATGTAATGACTGGTAGGTTTTAGTGCAATACCATTATTACAATCGCTTTCGTAGTTTTGCCTCCTTGACTGCAAGGATTGCCAAAGGTGTCTACTACATCATCAGAGAGCGTCAAGTATGACTTGTACAGAGCAGATGAAGTCCCAGTTAGTACATAACTGTCTCTACTGCAGACAGTTGCTCATAAGCAGTAAACTCACAACCATCCTGTCCAAGACACGTATCATATCGCATGGGCAAGCAGGTTTGTAGCCCAGTTCGTATGTGAACCCCGGATGGCTGATGAAAAAAGGGTTCAACCAAGAGAAATACTGTTCGTTAAAGAGGCAGTCAATAGCCTGTAAACACCCACCAATTCGCCACCAACTTACAACTTGTCGGCCGAGGCGACATGTGCCAGTTATGTGCTCTCATTTCTACGACAAGGTGAAGAAGCTCAAATTGGATGGACGGTGCGCGTCTACTACTTGTCATGATCTTAGGACTTGCAACGTCAATCAATCTTGCATCAGTCACGGCATTGCAATAATTCACATCCATAGTGATATACGCTACAGTAAATGCAGTGAGACCAGTTCTTTGAAGGTCCCTATCAAAACGTTGCAGTACCTCCAGCATCTATGCATTGGCCACAAACACGTTAATAGCTTGTTCAAGCTCATGTAGCGAAATCATCTGACATATCAATTTGCTCCACTGCAAACTGTTTGTAGTCTGTTTAGTCATCTCCCGGCTTCCATGATCAAGCTGCCACGAGTTGCCCAATTTATGATGACATACTCATTCTTCTCATCTGCTAGAGCTTTTGACGAAGAGAAGCTATAGACTGAATAGGTCGCTCTTACGTTTGTATGCTAGAATAAACAACACTTGCACCATTCAAAGGTAAGTCGATATTGTATGCCTCTTCCATGAAAACAACCACATATGCATTCTATTAGATCGTCCGATATATATCAAAATTTTGCCGTTCATAACGCTACAAGAAAAGGTGACTGACTATGCTAGCAACCCATACCGCCTGCAATAAGCAGACACGAGGTACTATCGAAGATGGCCAGAGTGTTGGCCATGAGGGACCACACCAGTGCGAAGGATAGGTAGCCGATGGTAATGCCACCAAAGAGCTTGCTAGAGCCACCAGTACGAGCAAGTTCCTGCGTCTCCTCCTTCTGACGAGGCAGCAAGATTAGGAACGACCAGGAAAAAATCTTCATCGCATACGAAATCAGGATAGTGTACGTAATGTCCGTTCGGACGGAGCGGTCATCCGACTGCACACGTGCGTTCGTGATGTTGAACGGGCCATTAATGAGCAGGGTCATTGTCGTGGCAAACGGCGACGCTAAATTGCCGACCGTCGTCATTAGACCATAAAAGGCGCCTTCATTACCAACGCCGGCAATTTCGACCGTCACGAACAGTGCAATGATCCAGGCGACACCGCTCGGGATCTGGACTGCGATAGGAGGACCAAGCCAGAACCACTGGTTACGGAAAACATCCCAAATTGTGATGAGAGCAACTGAACAGTCAACGGCAATCACAACAACACCCGTGACGACAATCATGAGTCGCCAGTTCCATTGAAGGCCATACTTAGATGTGACCATAATACCACTCATAAAACACAAGTGACCAATAACGTCGTTTAGCATATTGTTGATTGGAGTCACGCCTACGAGATATGACTGCACGGGGGAGGTCGCCGTGAATGAAATACCAGAGAAGATACCGGCGAAAAAATGGTGAGCAATGACCTGGTACACTACACGCTTACACAATAGGTTCCAGAACTCGTCGATATACTTGCGAAAATTTGCACGTTCAGCCTTGTCTTCCCTGATGAAGTACCAGGTAATGGGGACCACAGGGGTCGTAAGTACAACCATAATAATCATTAGTTCTGAGAAGTTCAGCGAGAAGTTGAAGTCACCGCCGTAGTCCTCGCCGTTAAAGCATAAACCCACCAAAAGCTCACCAAGAATCACTAGAGTTGTGCGAACTGTGTAGATCGTTGACTGAGTTTTTCCACGCTTTGCCATGGGCTCCTGCTGGGCAAGCTCGCACACGATGCTGTCTGAGCAAACGTCAGACAAAACGTACCCAAAGGCAGCAAAGAACATGAGAACAACATATTTAGCGCCTTCGCCAGTCGCGCTGTAATTGATGCGTGCCTCAATTTCCGGTGTATAGTCAGCCGTATTGACGTTGCGGTCTGCAGGTACGGTGTAGTATGGCTGTCCTATTGGCAAAACAGCCATGAGCAGCAGCATTGCAATGCAGATAGTCCAACCGAGAACCATGTACGGACGACGACGGTAGCCAAAGATAGGGAAACAATCGGATATGACACCGTAGAAGACCTTGAAACTCCACGGAAGAATGACAAGCTCCTTGGCAGCGGCAACCTGAGCACCGCTACAATTGAGATACTGCTGCATGAACGGGTAAATCGTTTCCGGGAGCATGCCGTAGACAATACCAACAGCAGCATACTGGAAAAGCAGACCTATATGATCTCGGCTGGTCAGCTTAGGCATACCACCTGGACGCAATGCCCCACCCTCAAGCAATTCAGCGGGGCCATCAGGCGTCTTGATACCGTCATAGCTGTCCTTATCGACGCTCACAGCTGACAGACGCGGCAGATCGTGTATATTCCGGCCAGTGGAATTTGGAGCCATTGTGAAAGCTAAACTTGGTGGAAATAAGGAGCTAGTATGCTTTCAATTGAAATGACAATCTGTGTCGTTTGATGCAAAAGGCCGTGTGAGCTTTGGTTGTCTTGATACGTACTGATCGTGAACATGTCCTCCTTTGTCAGGCTGGGCTATGTCTGAAAGCCATCATCTGATTCACTCAGGAATGAAGCAAAAAAGAACCCCATTATCAATTTCTTGCACTGCGCACAGCCCGTACAGCATCCTGTTTGCCTGCAAGCATCAATATTCTTTTCATAATGATGTGTAGACTCTTACCATCACACTTGGCCTTGCCCTTGTGATGACTCTAAAATCTGATGGTCACAGCTCTGGCTCATATTTGTCGCTGTCATTCAAGCACTGGACGCCGCCCAATCAATCAGCGAAATCCATCGACGTCGACGAATTGCCGCGAATAGAGAACGCTGACAGCACTACGATGTCCATTTTCTCAAGCATTGGTGCAGATGGATTGCAGTATGATTGAGCCGGCGCAAGGTCAGGCAAAGTTTTGTGTGGAAACACTGAGGTACAGATCCCGTATGAAACGACAGATTCTGCAACGGATCGTCACACAGAGCACTAGATGTACTTGTGTGTGCATTTAGCTTACACTATACTCATGAACTATGTGGCATATGTGTCTTTTTAGTGTTGTGCGTTGGTTGTGGTATTGTTGGGAAGGAGTGCCTGTCTCTAGGGGTAAACTAAAGAAAAAGAGGTGGACAAGCACAGATTGAAGAGGTGTATGTATGTCGGACAGTACTATCTGCAACGCCATCGCAAACCGTGGCTAGTGACAAAAAGTGGCAGACTAATGAACAGTTGCGTCCCTCTTGACTTGATTAAACGAGCGGAGATCCCAGTGCACAGCAGCAAGAAATCTTTTAATGTCAAGCTACGCCGCCTTTTCTAAAAACTAAACCTGTTCACGTCTTTGAGTTGACAATCGTAATGCATACCTTGATGGTTTCTTCAATCGCTTGAGCATAATCGAGTCGCAAAGCTAGTTGCGATTTGGCGTCAGTATCGTTGGCAGACATACGAGACCATATGACGTTTTATATGTCGTTTGCCACTCTACCAGTGGCAATTTGTGGATGAAAAACTGTAAAACTTGTGGCGACTAGCCTTACCTATTGGTATTCTATGAGCCACCATATTGTAACGTGATGCTCCGCTAACACGTTGCTAATATAGCGATGAGATTTGTCTGGTGTAAAATAAAGCAGCATATGAATACCGAGCAGGGATTTTTATATAAATACGACAGCATTCTATATATTAGAGATTAATATCGTAGTACAATTTAGAGCGACAGTATCTTATCGCGTCGTGCTGTAATCTAATTTAGAGCGCCATTATGTTGTAAAATTCAAATCACGTTTCAAATTACTTCGAATTTGTTTCTATTCTGACTTCCAAGTAGTCGCACTTTTTCCATTTCGTAATTATCTCGCCACCATGCGCAGTCGGTGGGTTGACTCGCTTAAGCGCACCATTTCAGCGTCTCCACGACCAGATGAACGCTCTCCACAGTCTTCAGGAGTCACGTGTACACCTACAACAAGATCTACGCTTTCTTCTGTATCTATTCCAAGTCTAAATGGTGCCGAGAATCCTGCTTTTGTTCATGATACCGACCGATGCGATTGTGTTGGCGCTTGTAGCGTTGCACGTGTGCTAGAGAACTGCGTACTGCAAGGTGGTGTGCACCACACACACATGCATGTGCTCACGTATCATGGTCGACCGTTACGCTTTGATTGCTGCTGTTATCCGGTATCGGTGCAATGGTTTCGAGCTGTGGGAGATCAGGACGATTTTCAAGTGATTCCAGGAGCTTGTGACGAGTGGTACACGCCCACAGCTGATGATATTGGCGCTAGAATATTGGCAAAAGTGATGATTGAGGACGAAGACAAGCTTAAGACCAAGATGCTCGAGTATGGACCTATTAAAGAAGACCCGGAAGTCAGGAACAAGGTGGAGATGTATCTCGAGAGAAAGTCAGTGCTATTCATGGGACTTCGAAGTATCTCGGTGCAAGATGGAAGTGAACATTTGCATGAGGAAGAAATGAGAGTACGACGTGGCGTTTTTAGTAAGACGGAGAAAGAAGAGGGTCTTAGGCTGTTTGATGATGACTACTTGACACTTGCAGGAGAGCTGGACGCTGCTTATTGATGATCGAAGGCTGAGATTGACGTGTGAGTCATCGCTTATTCCACCGTTTGAGAGTCTGTACACTGCAGATATCAAGGTAATAAGTTTGTTGTTTGTGTCCATTGGTGAGAGGCGCATGTTGTTGAATGTGCTGTCTGTTGATGGTCTGATCATGCTATGTTTTGACTGCCAACTGTTGTGACTTTGTCTGTAGCTAGAGATGGTTTGCGGCACATCTAACGAGTTTTTTCTACATCTGGCCGAAGGATGCTACGTTCGGCTTCGTGTCGAGTCTAATACGGTACGCGATATCATCGTGCTCACGCTGCGTGCCTTTTGTAAGACAGCCATATCTGGCGAGACTACCCACGTTGCTGTCGCATGCGGACTGTCGCCGATGCTGGCTGGACGCAAGATTGCGCAGGAAGAAGAAACAAAGAAGCAGCCCTCAGTAGGTGTCAGTGCAAACTTTGGCGGATTACTGGGATTGAGTTGCATGCTGAGGTTGTACACGCCGTCTCTTGATTACGACCAGCAGGCTCAGGCCCCACCCCGACCTCCATCGCCGGCTCTGGCATACGATTTGCCATGGACTCGATTGGCGAGCAGCTCTTTCAGTGTAGATCATCCCGAGTCGACGGCAACGAGCACCGTACTAGAAGAGCTGGACGAGTCCTCAGGGGCAGAAAGCGGGCGACCGAGTGTGACAAGCAGTGGGCGACCAAGTGTGACAAGCAGCGGGCGACCAAGTGTGGCAAGCAGCGGGCGACCAAGTGTGACAAGCAGCATGGATGAAGGTGTTGGAGGTGATACGTGGCAGCATGACGACAGCTTGGATGATTCTTTGTTGTCGGATGCCGAAGCGTTGATCGGCAACGCGCAGAAAATGGGTATTCGGTACAAGGTTCTGCCGCGCGCTCCGAAGCAAATTTCAATCCTAGATATCCCTGACTTGCAGATAATTGAGGTGATGGAAACTTTGGATGACCAGGCCATTCTAGGCAGTGCATACTGTCGACAAGAAGCAGAGAGCACGCGGCAGCAGCAGCAGCAACGAGACCAGTGTCTTCATCAAGGAAGCAATGGCAGTGCAGGTGGCTGCGCTTTGGATGATAGTAATGAGAGAGATGAAAGGAACAATGACGTCAGTGGAAGTATAGCTGCTGGGATACCCGAAATGATCGATGCTAGCTGCATCGATAAAGCTATTGAGGACTTTATGGTTGATGCTACTCTCAAAAAAAGTGTGGACGTAACAGCATTACGAGACCGATACGTTGCAATCTTCTGCTCACTGCAACGCGAGCTCCACACGTACAAACAGCGCGTCGTGACATTGTCAAAGCAGCTTGAGGAAAAGCAGGAGCTCAATGCGAGCTTTCGTAAGGACATTGAATCGTTACATAGCGCCCTCACGTCCATGCAGCTTGCTGACAAAGTATACGATCTCGTGTCCACTGATCTTCAACAGCTTGTAAAGCGCACGCCATTAATGCCAAATATTTCGTTGTAATGATGATAGCTATCATAAGTAAGAAAGAATCGTTTTATAATCAGTTCTACATGATAAAGAAAAAAGAACCTGCTTGTTTCTCACGTGCATAGCAAACCAACTAGAAAAACGGTTTTCAACCGTATACGTTTTCAACCGTATAGTCCTAACCGTATACATTGCCATGATCATGTTCAGTACTTAAATGTCTGACCTCCACTTGTCTTTTCACTGCTTCTTCTCCAATGCTTCAATCCGCTTCGTAAGTGTCGCATTTTGCGCAATCATTTCATCCTTGAGACCATTTACAGAGCTTTGTATCTGTTGACTCGAGTGTTCAACATCCTCTTTCAACACGGAGAGACCATACCCAGCGCCCACAGCCACACCAATACCAAAGGACATGATACGCTGTACGAATGAACTACCATTCTTTTTCACTACAACAGGTGCAGGTGCAGGTGTAGCCATAACTTTCGTACCATCTTCCTTAGCCTCTGACGTTAGATAACGCACAAAACTTCGGGAATGAAGACCCTTTATAACGTGAGAGCGTCGCATTCTTTTTTGTCTTGTTGTTGTTGTCGTTATGATAGAAATTCCAGGGAGTCGAAAAATTTGGATTTAGGCCACGAGAAAACACCAAAATTTGACATTTCGATTTGAAATCGGACCGAATTTTTAATGTACAATGTGTCTGTCGTCTGTGAGTTTAGATTTAGAACGTTCTAAAATAAGAGAGAAAAAGACAAGACTGCTAACTACGTTACACTAAACAACAGCATTCAGATGATCCTGCTACTGCTTATGGCTGCTAATTACTACTTTATCTGCACAGCCAATGGATCTGACTAAGAAGTAGTGGATTAGTAGAAGGCATTCAACGGGTACAAGCTTTATTCTTACACATATGATCATCATTGTTTGAGTCATGCAAATACCATTTCTTTTTTAATCCGAGTTATAGTAAAGGTAGAGCCTCGAGAATGGCACGCGCAGATCAAGGTGCATTGCGCAAAACGGGCAGATTGCCCGGCCATTAGGCATGAGTAACGTTGAGTAGTGATGTGCAAGCTTGCTGCTAATAGCGTGTCCACACGGGTTAAATACGCATTCAGGAATTGCGTGCTGCTCTTCCACTGACTGCAATTGCGAGTTCTCTTTAAACAGCAGCTGCACCAGCGACCCTGGGGTCCTACACAGAGGACATATGTGCACACTAGCAATTCGTTTTTCATAACCCAAAACGTGCCCACATGCTGGAAACACATGAGGAATCGTGTTTAGCGGGACCTCTTCACCCGGAGCCGCACGGGTAAAACGCAGCGAGTCTAGTTGAACGGGACAGTGGACATTAAGCCGCTCGAGCTGCGTTCTAATCGAGGACAGCGTCGTTCGACTGTAGAGCACGGGCGCCTCCAAGAGTTGGCTGTTCTCAGTCTTAGCTTCGAGCTCCGACTGGTAGCTGGTTTGAAATTGTAATTGAACGCCACCCAGGTCAATGATAGTGCCGTCAGTCAATATTGGAGCCAAATTTTCTGCGCTACCAGTTGGACGGTTGAATGCACCACTCCGCGACCGTGGGGCTCTGTCGTCATGGCAACGGCGATCAGTGCCATTTGACCTGGAGCTTAATAAAGAGGCCTTCTCATCCACCGCACGAGATTCAATTGCAAAGAGACTACCATTCACCGATACCTCAAACCACTGCTTTTGTTCAGGAAGCCACATTCGCACCCCATTCTTTGTCAGCCCATCCAGTGGTAATTGACTTGATTTTTGTACAACTAATGCCAAGTGCTCGAGTAATCCATCTTCTCTTGTGTCTTCAATATAATGTACCACGTCATCACCCCTTGATCGGTTGCTACTACTTTTCGTAAGACTCAACATGTCTTGGTCCCTAGTGTCTTCTCTCACGTCTTCCATCAGCTTCTGCATCACACATGTGTGATCGGTGCCTACACTTTTCGACCATAACCCACAACGTGCACAATATTTCAATGCATTGCCTGCAGTGCTCATACGTCGAGCAGCATCAAACCCTCCAGCAAATAGACGACACTCAAACGGCGGATCTCGTGAGCACACAATCCTCGCCGCATACCGCGAGATGGTCCCAGATGCTCCAACTCTCGGTCCTGGGATCACAAAATCGTTATGTCGACAGGGCATCCTACCTATCTGGAACATGTCAGCACTAGTGTCTGCATGGAACTCGGTTACACTAGCAAATGGGTCCTTGTCGTTCATTGGAATGCACATTTGATACGACACGATAGGAGAACTCCCGTTTTTCTGCGTTTGAATATCGTCACTTACGCAGCTTCCTGCTGCCTCAATCCGATCCATAATGCGCGTGGTGACGCTCTTAATATCTCTTGAGCCTCCTTGACGCTGCTTTTGGAACTCGGCGACAGGGACGACGTGATGAAAACGATGCAAACGAACGCCATTGGCCTGTGAGCGTTTTTCAAGCACAAAGTGCGCATTTTGACCACCCAGCGGTTTCCAAAACAAGCGCTTGCGACTTGCAAAAGATGTCGAAGATGAAGATGAAGCTAGTTCAGAGGTCGACAATGCCGCAGCGTCCGATGAAGCAGCCTCTGCAAGTCCAAACGTCGGCGACGATAGCTCGAAATTGCCATTACAAGGACGCTGCACCATGTCCACGCGGTAGCTACTGTAACCAAGCACTACAAGCCGTCCGTATTCCATTAATCTCAATAGAGAAATAATAGCGGACAAGCAGACGTGATGACAAGCTGAACAAGACGAAGAACGAGATGACGGAACGGACGACCGACCGAGTGACTGACTGTTTCTGGGTTTTGATACTCTTAACAAGGTTAATCGTTCAAAACCTTGGATTTTGGCGAAATTGCACAGCGAATGTAATTTGGGCTCAAGTTTCGTCGGTGAAAGGTGGAAAGAGAGACATATTGTGTTTGCATGATGAACTTGGACCAATTGCTCGCCTTAAGTCGATTCGTACAAACTTACAAGAAGATCACCTTCTAAACGTCTTACGATCGGTCTTCCTATGATTACTAGACAACTGTATAGCTATTATGTGCAAGGAGATATTATTTGAACATTGACGATCGCGTCATGCATACTGCATGTCTCTTGTGGTCTGCACTGCATCTTACCTTTAACCAATTTCGTATCAGGGCAATTGTTAGCCATCGTAGCTATAAAATGCTGATTCAGACATCAGCCGCTGCAGGACCGCAAGCTGCTGCTGCTATCAGCGCGGGACGTCCTTCACGCGCACCTCGACCACCATTTACACAAGTTTTTCTTAGCTTTCATACGTTGCAAACTCAGCGAAATCATTTCAGATTCACATTGTCCGTTGAATGTGCTGCCATGTTTGTAACTTTCAGCGCGCGCTGCTGGATACAGGTGAAGAAAACGGTGCCTATGGGTGATCATCACGACTGCTGCTTGCTGAAAACCCGCTTGGGTTTCGATTGACGCATCGTTGCGTTGATCGGAGATGCCTATCACCTTTGTGCATTAGCTTCTCACGAGAGGTTGCATGAAGGCAAGAAGGACTACTATAAACTCGATGACAAGAAACGCATAAGACAAACGTTCAAACAAAATGAATTGCTTCACAACGTCACCGTCCGAAAACGAACAGGACATTCATATAAATCTATCTTGTTAACCATAACTACACGCATGACGTTTCCACGATGCGTGCACGCCTTGCCTAGCATCCTTTTAGCGTAAGAGACATTTTGATATTCATTGCGGCCAACTCGTTGGCCAAGTAGCGGAATACATAAGGCATGGCAACGGCCTGGCAACTCTTACCGGTTTGACAAACTGTACAATACCATTGAGTCTTGGACTTCATAGCGATGGCAACCTCTCCCTGACCAGCAGTCTCGATCGTCGAACGTTGCGTGGCATTCGACAACAGACTGCCACAGTTGGTGCAGACAGTGGCAATGTGCTTGTCCGAACAGTTCATCAGACGATCCTGCAGCAGGAACGCACAACCGTGTGCAAGCATCGAATCGCGCTCCATCTCACCAAAACGGATACCTCCACCCTTCTTACGGCCCTTTACAGGCTGGCGAGTAAGCGAATTCATTGGACCCGTAGCACGAACCTGGCTTTTGTCGCTAACCATGTGACGCAAGCGCTGATAATACACAACGCCGATATATATGTCCGCCTGCATGACTGTACCAGAAATACCTGAGTACAGCGGTTCACTGCCCATGTAGTTGTAACCATGCTGCTTCAGCTGCGATCCAAAGTAGTCAATAACGCGGTCTTTCTCACTAAACTGGAACGGCGTGGAATCCATGTATTTGCCCTTCAAAGCACCCGTCTTGGCGGCCATCGACTCAATAAGCATACCGATGGTCATACGAGAGGGAAAAGCATGCGGGTTAATAATAATGTCCGGGGATATGCCGGACTCAGAAAACGGCATATCGGCCTGAGGCCACAGAATACTCATGACACCCTTCTGTCCGTGACGCGACGAAAACTTGTCACCGATCGTCGGATTACGGCAGAATCGCAGCTTTATGCTAGCTTTGGTGAACTCGGACGCCTGAGACGAGCTACCAATCATGTTAATCTGTTCGACAATTGCCGGTTCACTCTCTTTGTGCTTTTGAAATGAAGGCAGTCCGGTGGTCTCATCAATCCAGCTAGTAATTGGGTCGCCATAGTTCACGACCTGGCCAATGTGCGGGAAGCCGTCACGGTCTAACTTCGTGGAGCAAAACTCACCGCTGCCATCGGTCTTAATGTTGGAGAAATACTTCTTTGATGTCGAGCTACCCTGCTTGCCGCTGGAGCTAATATCTACAGTCAGCTGCTTATACACTGACGCGTGCGCAAAACCACGCTCGTATGACGACTTATTTAAGATCATAGCATCCTCCATATCAAAACCCGTGTACGAAATTACGGCCACCACAGCGTTAGTGCCCAAAGGATACTCATCGAGCTGGTATTTACGTAATCGTTCATTCTGTACGATTGGAATCTGAGGAGACTGGATACGATACATCTTGTTATCTGAACGGTGCATAATTGAGTGGGCGGGCGTACCCATAGTCTGTTTTGCCATTTGGCATTGGTACATGTTACGAGGAGACTGATTGTAATCAGAAAACGGAGTCAGGGAGGCCACGAGGGACAGCATGTTCGTGGGTTTAATCTCCATGTGAGTCGTGGCTGGCCGGATGTCATCTTTCGTGCACGCAATATCCATAAACACCTGCTCCATGGGCCCAATGTACTCGATACATTTAGTTTCCATCTGCATCACTGGACGCGACATACGAGCAGCGTCTGCCGACAAAAATAAGCCTGGAAAGGGACCACCAAGGGTTGGCAGAATAAGACACACCTCAAGGTTTGGTACAATACCATTAGCATCTCGTTCGTTCGAGCTTTCTGCTGACTTAATCTTGCGCAAAACACCTGCGATACGCGTACAAACCTCCGCAGGTGCGCCACCCAGTACCTTACCGTTCATCATCACAGGCAAATAAGAGTATGGCACGATCAAAGAGCCATCGGCATATCCCGAGGTGGCAATCATTCCAAGACTTGCCAAGAAGCGGGACAGTTTGACTTCTTGCTGCAAAAAGTCATTCGCCTTGAACGCTGGATGACACACAAGTTGACACTCTACAGCCAAATGGTTCAGCAGACCACACGGTGATCCATCGGGAGTGTGCACGGGGCAAAGGAAACCCCACGAGTCGGGCAGTAGCTTACGCACAGTTGTCGTCTTCATTTCCGTGAAAAACTGACCACGATGAACGGAGCGAAAATGCGAAAAATAACGGTAGTAATTCAACTTCTCAGCAACGATAGTGTAGCCTGCAATCTGCAACAGATCAAGACCGCTTGTTGAGCGCAAATTACCTGTGTTAAGGAAATAGGTCATTGCATTACCAATGTTAGAAGTACGATCCCACATTTTACGTAAAAAAACCTGGTCCATCACGACACTCTTCTTTTTGTTTTGCGTCTCCTTCAAAATGTTAGCGCGCATCGCTACAAGAGATTCCTGTAGTTTTTCCTTCATGATCATTAGATACAAATGTCCAGGAAGCAACAGTTCATGGTTCATGACAGAATCAGAGTTATCCTCAGAAATATCACCCTTCGCAAATGCATACAGCTTACGCAGCATCAGACACAGCAGCTCAACCTTTTGCGTTCGTCCCTTCTCGCCCTTTGGGATGTGTACAAACATAAATTCATCAAACAGTTTGCTGCCAACTTCCACATTGCTCATGTTGTCATACACGTATGGCATTGCAAAACGGAAGTGTTTGCCCAAGTATGCCAGCGCTTCATCACGCGAATACAACGAAAACTTTTTGGCTTCGCGCAGAATAAGCTCCACGCGTGCAGACAAGTACGTGTTTTCGTGGTCTCCACGCAACACGCGCTCATAGATTTCACGGTCCGTTAGTGGGTACAGTGCCTTAAGCACCAGACCGACGGGAATCATAAACTCCTGTTTCCTAACTCCAAAACGCACAGTAGCGTTACCATCCTGCAAATAGTGCACAGTGACCGTCACAGCAGTCTGATCGCGCTTAACACACTTCATAAAAACTGCCAGTTCCGTGTACAGGTCGCCACGGTTGGCAAAAGCACCACGACGCACAGCCATGATGTGGTGACGACGCGGCATCTGCAGTAGACGCACGCAACGCTCGTTACCATTGCAAATAAAGTAGCCTCCCATCTCATTGGCCTCTTCCCGAGCTTTGACAAGCTCCGACGGCGTCATGCCGCTCAAGTGACAGCGCTTTGAGCGTACCATGATAGGAATCTCACCCACTACGCGCTGAATACGCTCAACCTTGTGCGATCCACCAAAGGAGCGTGCCAATGTTACGACGAGAGGCGCCGTGTATGAGACGCCACGCTGACGACACTCGCTGGGCAACAGCTTTTGTTCGCCAGTGATTTGGTTGTCCGTCGTCGGATAGCCAATCTGTGCGTTCTCAAACCATAGGTCCATCCGGTGTTGGTTTGGTAGCTCTACAGGCACCTTGCACATATCGGCTATTGCCAGGTCCAGGCCCTCCGTAAGAAAGAAGTTGAATGAATCCAGATGCGGCAATACAAGTTTCTGTAAATTGTCGTTCCTGATGCAGTTGACCATACAAATATCAAGTATACATATTGCTTAATAAACGGGTTTGCAAGAATGATGGGCAACAAATTCGTCGTGCACGTACGTCTTGGCAGGTATTGACCGCGAGCAGGATGATGGATTCGTAGATGGCCATTCCTTAACATAAGTCTTTATCTTGGACTGTTTCTTCACCAAGCTCTTGTCGCTCGCCATATGAATCAATTTACAACCGAGAAAAGTTGATTGCTGCAGCGTCCGTCTTACAAAAATGAAGAAGACGAACGTACACTGGACGACGAGATGCAAGTAGTGTCCGGTCAAATAAATGGCCCGAAACCAAACTCAGCCAGTCAACATATAAAACCTCAGGACCTGTCGATTCGTGGGTTTTTTTCTAACTGACTTGACATTGCTTATTTGTAACAGGTTACTTTAAAATAAAGAGGTTGTCAACCTTTACCATAACATGATTCAAATTATATAGTCCGATGTACTTTGAATGCTTTTCAACAACATCCAGCGAAAAGTTGTCAATAGTGTATACATTAACTGAAGTCGATCAAGTCGATCCAAGCCGTAGGCCTTACATACAAAAAACAAGATTGTCAGCAATTTTTGCGGTGGCATGTATTTTTATTAATCGTGGTGGAATAGCTCTATACCGTAAAACAAAGGGCCAAAGTGTTCTACTTGGTATCAACTATACTAGTTATTCAAATAGCTGATATCGCAACGATATTATGTTCCTTATTTGACACTTGTGTGTAATAAGTTGGCTGTTATTGCACGACATGTCGGAGCTCCTGGTCACATTGGTCAGTGTAGGATCGCGACGACCACACCAATTCTCACTCGACGAACTGGGTACATGCCTGGGATCGGACAAAACACAGGGACGTACTGGGGTGGGAATGGTTGATTGGCAATACACCTCAGCAACCTCGGTATCATACAGGAATGCAATTGGAGTGTGCCGCTGCCGGGCTGCTTCAAGCCTACAGACTTTGTCGTTTTGTTGAGATAAGGACATGAAAAGGCCGGCCGCGCGATAGCGGAAATTATCTTTTCGTAGAGACGTGCATACAAAATAGCGCAACCCCGCAAGTAATCTGCGCGTTCATGTTGGTAAATTTTTCCAGGTTAAAGTTGTTTTTTGATATTTTCGGGTTTAACAATGCGAGCAATTCCGAAACGACGAGTTGAATCACTTTTTGCTAACATGGTGGTAATCGATGCAAGGAGCGATCAGTCGCTTGTTTCCAGATGTACTTAATCGACTTTTGCAGCTATTATTGTGTTTTATTGCTCACTTTGTTCTGTTTATCAAGTGCAAAATTGAGTTTCTTAGTGACCCTATAATTGTGTGAGCATGAGACGTATGCAAACAGTTATTGTACAATCACCATCACCCTTGTCTAACGTGTTTAGTCACTTCTATTCCTGCTGCTGCAACAGTGTACGACAGGTTGTTTGCGTGTTGCACAATGTGTTTGGCTTTACTAAATAAGTTTGTATAGTGTGTGTAGGCAGCGCGGCATTTTTTTCATCTGCTTCGTCATTAACACAACATGGAAAGGTCTCATATTGATTGTGCTTCTACTTCTCAGGGTAGCTCTGCGGGATGGCCACGTGAGTATTGCCCGTTGCAGAGACTATGGTGACCCATTGCAGTTGCAATTCTGAAGACTCAATTTATCGGTACTTCACTGCACGCAGGCCCAAAGAGTTGGTCACCGTGTGTTTCTTCACCGACATCGCGCGTATCTACCAGCCTCCGCAGTCTGCTCGAACTATCGACGCTTGGAGATTTCGATTGCCATGCTCGTAATGCCTGAGAGTTGTACAGCAGCTCAGTTTGAATCAGCCGTTCCTACATAAAGAAATTGATAGGAGTCAGCTCAAGTCCTAGGGCCAAAGTGTCATTGACACAAAAAGCTGTGGATAGAAGTAACAGCTGTTGTAGGTCTGTTTCGGCTATTGCTGTCCTACAACGCAGGCTTGACAAAAGATGTGGCTTCTCTCTGTATTGTTGGGGCTATGAACTCCCTAGCATGTTTGCCGTAAGTTTGATCGCTTCATGTTACTTCCATTCACGCCGAAGTTGCCGGTGCTGTGGCAAACTTGATGTGCATGCCAAAAGTAGGCAAAATACCAGCAAAGTATGAATATAAATAACACTTTTAATTTAACCGCGCAACGTACCGCTTGACTTTCTTTTTGGATGAGATATCTTGCGATCAATCCAAAGTGGATAGGTAAAGTAATCTAACCGATAACCCGTAGATGAGTGTTTCGTGATTCGTGTATAACTTTAATGCTACCACATTAGTGTGCGCACCAACCAAAAAGGACCGCCAAAATGATCAGTTTGCAGTGATGGCAAACAAAAAGACAAAATGAGAGGAATGTACAAAAGTTAGATTTTGTTTTAGATGTTAGTAGAAATGCAGCCTACCTACCGCCAACGCCCTACGCTCCTCAATAATTCTCTACACGCTCGTCAAGCTTAAGGCGCTAATGGCTCTATGTGATCCGTCAATTGAGGTGGCGGAGGTTCGAAGATTTTAGCAACAGAACCCCTAACTTGAGGTAATTGAGGTCCTAAGTATTCAGCAGTAGGATCCATCAGTTTCCGTTCATCTTTATATCTCGCTGAAAAACCACTATATCGGTATTTAATGTTGCGAGAAGCCGTTTCAATTACCGGATACCATTCCATAGTATTGACTTGAGTGCCGTAATGCCACAATGCGAATTGTCTCGCTTCCAGTTTTCGCATGTGCTCTGTTAAAGATGATTTTGGGGCTTGCGACATTAGCTTGTCAATTGTGTTTTGCAATGGCACGTTCCTGGTTCTCAAACGTGTGTGTTAAGAATGCGTAGATCTTATGATACGGATTTTGTTGAGTATCTACAACCATTTGCACACACTTACCAGGCTGCTCTGGGTTTCTAATAACCTCATCAATGGAACCGACAGGGGATCTGAAGGTCATCAAATATCTTCTTTGTGGCGATACTATTATATTGGGCCCAAGCATCAGACTCTTCAGTCTGAAGCGTTTTCGACGAGATACGAAGGGACCTATCGCCCAGCCAAACGCCGATGTTGCCTTGGACTTGATATCTTCAAAAAATGAAAAGTTTACAGGAGAAGCGATCCTTTCTTCGGACGCGCCGGCTTCGTTAGTCGAATCTACACCCACCTCTGACCGCAAGTATCGTTTGGTCGTGGCGTTTACATTGGCCGCATCATGGGCACCCGATGTAGTTGGAACGGGTCCGACGCCATCTGGTGTCATTTTAAAGGCGCTGGCGAATATAATGGTACTTGCGAGTAACGCGACCACGACAAGCGCCTTTGCGTAGGTGCCGCTGACCTTGGTAGGCATCTTCGGTAGCAAAATGAAAAAGGATGATCCTGGAAAATCTGGACTAACACAAGAGTCAGATACAGATCGGCTGGATTATACAGATACTTTTTTTCTGTCTTCGATAATTGAATTGATATGGACAGTACAGTTATATGCCTATTTGGACGGATCCCATATAACATCCTGGCGACATGTAGTACACATCTACAAAATCCAGGCTATCCCCAAGAAAACCTACCGCCGTAGTGCATTCGCGGCCTATTGGTCGGTTTGTGCAATCAAACGATTGTGTTGACTGATTTGCCAACGCTTCTGCGGCGTGCGTCAGCGAGTCTAAACGTATTGTAACGTTTGTAGCCGAGCTACTGTAGCTACGCTACTTATGCACTATGTGCAGATGTGGAAGAAGTAGTCAAACTACCTGCAGCAAAGCTACTTATACACTATGTGTAGAGAAAGACAAGCTCAGAGAGCTTCTACGTCTTAGGGTGTTTAACCCTCCTAGGCTAGCTCGTAAACTTGTGCCTATCGGTATTAACAACCGAGTCTCAGAGAGACTAGTATCAAAGATACTGATTCCTTAGAAGGAATAGAACGCTCAAGCTGTAAGGCTTACAGAGCAGGTTTAAACTGATTTATATTTATGTTTATCTTCTAACACTAGATATAGAAGCACCTACTCTATACTTAGTGCTAAGTCACTATTTACTGGCTCTTTAGCCTGTTATTATTATGCAAACATGCATAGTTACTATACTTTAAATAAGTACGTGGCTCTGACTGTACTTTAGGGTACGGTCACATCACCTACTTTTGTACCCAAGGTACAGCTACACCACATTGGTGTGGCAGGTGTGTATGTACAATACACCTTCGTGTAACCCCGTTACATATGGTGTATGACTGAGTCATTGTAATGTAGCCGCTCATCGAGATCTGTTGAAGGATAAAACGTAACATTGAACACTTATCCGAGTTGGGATTTGCTCTTGCGCCGGGTCTTTGGTCTCGTAATGCTCATTTGAAGCTCAGTGCGTCGTCACCACGGACAGAGATTCGATATCATTGCAATCACTTGATGAAATATATAAAGGTGAACAGCATTTTTGACGATATTTGCGCTGAATAGAAGCAAGCACCTCTGGAATCATTGGATCATCATCTGGTCCTAAGAATTGGCGGTTGTGCCTATTACGTGCCATTATTGGGTACGTCCTACGTTTTAACGTTTGAGGCTTCAATGACGCTACTCCGGACTCAATGCATATTTTGATGCTGCTGCGAAGCGTCAGGATTTGAAAGACAAGTGTCGTGAGACATTCCAAGTGTTCGGTATCAAACCGGTTGACAAGTCAATACTGCATACATTTTAATGTTTTAAGCACGCAAAAAAAACAAAGCTTCTTCATTTGTATTAGTGTTGCTGAATGTACGCTTGCATTGTCGATTACATCAGGGTATTTGATCAACATGTAATTAAACTTATTTGGTTTGCCACTAATATTTAATGGCCTCCATGCTACAACCGGGTGGAGATCAGCAGGACGGGCTTTCCTTGAATCAGAGAGCAGCTTGTATCACGAGAGGACGATAGTAATTTTTTTACGTTTTGAGCTTGTTTTTTTGCATCAAGTGTAGTATTGCAGCATTGTTGTGGCACTTTACATAAGCTGTTTACGCACTCAATTTGGTTGCAAGTCCTGCGTAAGCAGAAAAGCAGCAGCTCACTGGATGTAGGCTTTGTCCATAAAAGCTGGCGGTCTAAAGAACCAGCAGCTCACTGATTATTGGCTCTGTCCCTACAATCTGGCGGTCTGTTGTGGCATGATGCAGTCTGCAAGATGTGCGTGTCTTGTAACGTTTCTGCAACCTTTTCTTCGTGACTAGAGCTTATCCCGTGCCCAAAAGTGAGGGATATAATATTCTCCGGAGCGAAAATTCGCAAAACGTGCTTTGATCTGCACCGGGTCTCTTCAAAACACATTTTCTGCTCCTGTAGTCACCCGAGCAGCAGCACCCAAACAGATTGGAGCTGCAACGTTACAATGCATTTATACTCGCTGACGCACGCCGCAGAAGCGTTGGCAAATCAGTCAACACAATCGTTTGATTGCACAAACCGACCAATAGGCCGCGAATGCACTACGGCGGTAGGTTTTCTTGGGGATAGCCTGGATTTTGTAGATGTGTACTACATGTCGCCAGGATGTTATATGGGATCCGTCCAAATAGGCATATAACTGTACTGTCCATATCAATTCAATTATCGAAGACAGAAAAAAAGTATCTGTATAATCCAGCCGATCTGTATCTGACTCTTGTGTTAGTCCAGATTTTCCAGGATCATCCTTTTTCATTTTGCTACCGAAGATGCCTACCAAGGTCAGCGGCACTACGCAAAGGCGCTTGTCGTGGTCGCGTTACTCGCAAGTACCATTATATTCGCCAGCGCCTTTAAAATGACACCAGATGGCGTCGGACCCGTTCCAACTGCATCGGGTGCCCATGATGCGGCCAATGTAAACGCCACGACCAAACGATACTTGCGGTCAGAGGTGGGTGTAGATTCGACTAACGAAGCCGGCGCGTCCGAAGAAAGGATCGCTTCTCCTGTAAACTTTTCATTTTTTGAAGATATCAAGTCCAAGGCAACATCGGCGTTTGGCTGGGCGATAGGTCCCTTCGTATCTCGTCGAAAACGCTTCAGACTGAAGAGTCTGATGCTTGGGCCCAATATAATAGTATCGCCACAAAGAAGATATTTGATGACCTTCAGATCCCCTGTCGGTTCCATTGATGAGGTTATTAGAAACCCAGAGCAGCCTGGTAAGTGTGTGCAAATGGTTGTAGATACTCAACAAAATCCGTATCATAAGATCTACGTATTCTTAACACACACGTTTGAGAACCAGGAACGTGCCATTGCAAAACACAATGACAAGCTAATGTCGGAAGCCCCAAAATCATCTTTAACGGAGCACATGCGAAAACTGGAAGCGAGACAATTCGCATTGTGGCATTACGGCACTCAAGTCAATACTATCGAATGGTATCCGGTAATTGAAACGGCTTCTCGCAACATTAAATACCGATATAGTGTTTTTTCAGCGAGATATAAAGATGAACGGAAACTGATGGATCCTACTTAGGACCTCAATTACCTCAAGTTAGGGGGTCATGTTGCTAAAATCTTCGAACCTCCGCCACCTCAATTGACGGATCACATAGAGCCATTAGCGCCTTAAGCTTGACGAGCGTGTAGAGAATTATTGAGGAGCGTAGGGCGTTGGCGGTAGGTAGGCTGCATTTCTACTAACATCTAAAACAAAATCTAACTTTTGTACATTCCTCTCATTTTGTCTTGCCATCACTGCAAACTGATCATTTTGGCGGTCCTTTTTGGTTGGTGCGCACACTAATGTGGTAGCATTAAAGTTATACACGAATCACGAAACACTCATCTACGGGTTATCGGTTAGATCACTTCACCTATCCACTTTGGATTGATCGCAAGATATCTCATCCAAAAAGAAAGTCAAGCGGTACGTTGCGCGGTTAAATTAAAAGTGTTATTTATATTCATACTTTGCTGGTATTTTGCCTACTTTTGGCATGCACATTAAGTTTGCCACAGCACCGGCAACTTCGGCGTGAATGGAAGTAACATGAAGCGATCAAACTTACGGCAAACATACTAGGGAGTTCATAGCCCCAACAATACAGAAAAAAGCCACATCTTTTGTCGTTCCGAGTACTTGGAATGCATTGCATTGTCCCACGTAACATAGTCTTGCCACACCCCCAAGTCTTTGGAGCGTTTTTAGATTCATTAATTCATCAGGCAGCTTTTAGATCACACAATTGCCACCAGCAAAGTGCAGCTTTTGGCGACAGCCACACAGTATCAAAACTACTGGTTTTCTTCGGCGTCATCAACTACACCTTTTTTGTCCATCTTGTCAACTCATTGACTTTTTCAAAATATGACGGCGTTATTCTCGCGCTTCAACGTACGCTGTTGTTGTGCACCGGCGTTAATTGTTCCCTATACAAATTGCATCCATCCTCACCCAGAAAGCTTTACCAACTTTAGCGTACGGCCTAAGAAAGACACACTATCCTCTTTCCGCTTCTCCGACCATCGAAACGGCGTGATTCACACCCGTAGAGTTTGCAGAAATACCTCTCAAGTACTTGAGGAACTCATAGATAACGCCGACACTCCACGTGGCAGCATACATTTCCGTCACGAGCGCTTGCTCTCCAAGCGTCGTGCCGTACTGTGACACAATTACTTGTCATTACATCTTGTGCGGGAGCAGCCATTGCCGTGTCCGTGCACTTATTACCTGTATTGTGATCCGTAGCTGCGTACCGTTAGCAACCTGCTTTCGGGACATCATTTTGCTTGATGTAGCAATAACTTTCCAATTGATGACCACCATGCCATCCATCGTCTTTCTTGTCACAAGGACCACCTTGCGGAAACAATACCACCTCTCAGTGCGTCTTGACAAATGACTGATTGCATGGCAAGTTCTTTGGCAATCTTAACACGATATGCTTGAGCAGATATCATAGCTAGAGTGGATATTTGTAGGAAAGCATGTTAACACAACCATCAGATTGTAAGAAATCATTTTGACAATAAGCTTGGAGGGAGAGCAGACGTACCGAAGGACCAACCTTAGTCGCAATTGCGAGAAATATGTTAGGTATGAGAGAGATCATCACGTATCGTGCCCTAACGTTGCACCAGTCAAAGTTCTTAAGTAGCTTGGACACGTCTAGGACATCATGCAGACGCGGAGATGTAAACAGCACAAAAGCCATCTGGAGTTCATACGTAGCCGTAGCCTGTACTACTGTCCAAATATTCGGCCAGGATTACGAAGACTTTTACTGTTGTCAGCAGCAAAGCCACGACGAATACGAGACGTGCACATTCTATTTGGACCTTTTCACCTTGTATTGTAGCAGCAAATATCTGATTATTGCGATGCACCTAGGTTAGTGCCAAATAACAACTGGACCCACGATATCGAATCTTTTGTCATAAGTGTCTCTCAAGTTTTTTCTTAGTCTCATGTAATCCCCTGTGGTCGTGTATATCCCAATTATAGAAGACCCTTTGGAAATACCACACCATTAGAGAGAGTCTGTGCATGTAACGCAGGGGCTACAGAAGAATCGTATCAGGCAGTTTTTTTTGCTTTGGGTCGGGTTTCTACCGGCACATCGACGTTGGGCGTTAATACAAAAATGAGGTGTCAAATGGGGACCCCCATCCAGGACTCTGCTGTTCATATGTGAGAAGATGTAGATTACGAGTAAACTGAGGGGTTTCATTGAGGCTATGACAAGGCGATTGAAGGGCACACGATTCAGTAACAACCTTATTGGCTGCGACTACATCAATCCGTTCCTGCTGCACCAGCTTTTGACCCTAAGCTGCGCTTGATATTCAACGAGCTACGTAAGAAAGATATATTAAGTGATATTGGCGAGTTTGACCTTGGCGAGTCGCACTTGATCAAGCTGGCCGAGACTTGGAGAATGAGGCCACGGTAAATTAGTTGCATCCGTGTCTTAAGGGGGAGCAACTAGCCACATACTGACCGGAACTGATCGCTGCACATTCTGCTGCAATTTTTTCACCTTTAGCAAGAGTCAAGTTGAGAATGTCAACGAGATACATACACCAGCACAAAACAGAGGCTGGCAAACCTCACCACAGTGATGCTAGCGTGGACTAGGCCAGGAAATACACTAACATGAGGCAAGGCCGAAGGAAAAAGTGGAAGCGGTAACCTGGTTTTACATAGCAAGTTGTATGGTTGCACACGCTGAACATATGAACACCATTCGACCACTGACCACGTCAGTACCTCCGTCGTTTGAGAACACGGTGGGTATGTACACGGTGTTTCACACTAGATGTGCCTTCTATTTCGCAAACATTTATCAACTGAAGACCGTCATTTTTGCTGCTCTAACACATTGACGACACATAAACCATGCAGCACTACGCATTCCTCAATTTCGGCTTACAGATGGTCTTCGCTGGACGTGATGAGAGAAAGCGGTAGATGGCCAGTCTCATTTACTGCAATGATCTTGGTCGGTTGATCGGAGCAAACGTCAATACGCGTGACGCCACAGTGGTTAATTTCGAAATGACCCCACATAGTTGTAGGGTCGACACCAAGAGCGCGACACAAGAAGTATCTGATCAGGTTGGCATGACACACGAGTATGCAGTACGACTCCTCGTCATTATCACAATGGGTTTTGCCTAAGTCGAACAAAAACCAGTTAAACGCCTTTTCCATCCGCTCTACATCCGGAAAACTTTGCTTTTGCAGCGCGTCAAGGGCACCACTTTTACGTGTAGCAGCGGTTTCACCACTTACGGTGAAATCTGTGGAATACGGCGTTCCAGGCCATCCTTCCCGCAGTAATGAGCTTGAATTCAACGAGACCCCTTGAAAGTCAGTGGCGATGATAACTGCTGTCTCCACGGCACGTGTCATATCACTGTGATAAATAGAGACGTCGTGTCGAGTTGGAACTCGGTTATGTGCTACTCCTAGGTATTTGCCAGTGAGCTCTGCTTGCTTTCTTCCCATCTGCGAGAGAACTTGTTGCGAGTCTAACACTTGCAGCACGTGGGCATTGATGTAGTGACCATGACGTACTAGGATAAAATGTTTTATTCTTGCAGGTGTGGGGTACAACAAGTCTCCAAGGGATGGCTGTGGCTGTTCGTTGCGTCCTTCAGTCTGCCATCTCTGCTCCTGGTCGTTGCATTTTGCATGTAAGTCGGCACTTTGTCCAGGAGGCTCTAACCCAATCAATCCAGAACCTGTAACCCGTTCGTTCCAAGAGCTTGTTTGATCTCTGCTCGTAGCCAGCGCTTGATGTCTGAAAATTCCATTGAGCCACTTAAAATGTTCCTCCGTTGACGAAGTCATGAAGGCGTACGAAACCGCTCGTTGCCAGCTACCGCTTTTCTTTAATTCGCTTTGTCGATAACGCAGTTGAAACTTGCAATTGTTTTCGAAACGTTCATGCACCAAGTCCATGGCGTCTATATTGAGCACAATGGTGTGATGACGATCCTGTGACACGGTCTCTAAAAACAATCCCACATTCTTCCGTACCAATACGCAATGAATCTGCAGTATACGACACACCATTAGCCCATACTATAGCATAGATCTCAATAATTTTCCAATCACAGCTTCTCACCGATCCGAGCGTCCGAAAGACTGGTGGTTTCTGCCGTGTCTGGCCTCTGTCGACCTGTTCTGCAACCACCAGCAGCCCCTCAACCTCCACAACTTCACCACATTGTCTTCTATCATCGGACACTGAAGTCCATAACGTTCTTTTGTTACCACGATTCTTGGTAGTTGAAAGTCCAGTGGAAAGCGACGTTCGTAGGTCCCTAGGTACAGTTTTGTTACCTCGTTGCACTTTACCCTTAGATAAACGGTTCGAGTTTCGATCACTTGCCAATGAAAGCTCTTGAATACGTAGTGCCTTTGTCTTTATATCACCATTCTGGCAGCTGGAAGATGGGATTGCGTCTAATTCCAACGACATGACGAGCCTATTCGAGGCGCGAGTTGTGAATAATGAGGACAAAATGAAAATGAATGAACATTTTTGTGAGAGATAAGGTAAAATTGGCCTTTTTTATGAAATTTATGTTAAACATGCGAGAGTTGATAGATTGGCACCGGATAAAGACACTTGACAACAATTTTCAATCCGTAGGGTGCAAGGTCATGGGAGGGTGGTGAGGAGAGGGAAGGGGGGATTGCCCTACGTTATTACAGAAGACGGACATATCTTAACGTTCGTATTGCACAAAGCAGAATCTCATTCAATTCGCGTGAAATATTGGGTGGATAGGTGTGCGCTATCAGCTACGAAATGACCAGAACTTGCGGGTTAAAGACACACTTTGACTGCAGACAGGCAAGCATAAACTTGGCTCAAAGAACTGCACGTATTGATGAACTCTGTTGTTTTCTGCACATCAGGGGATAGATACTCTGCTCGTTAGATTGTCATGTAGTACGTAACTAGATGCTATGCTTTGAAATTCAAAGCTGCAAGTTGCTGTTAGCTCAAAGCATTTCATTGTGACACATGAATTTAGATTATTCAAGAGCGAGAAAGAATTGGAGCTACAAAGTATCCAAGTTGTCTTTATTTCCGGATAAAGAAAATTAAAAGCATACAATAATACATAGATAGTATAAAATGTAGGTACGCAATGTACAAGCAGCCAAATGTGTCTTTTCCGTTCACATGAAAGATGTAAAAGAAGGTTTCGTGGGAAACAAAAGAACCAGAATCTCAACCATCTGGTCGATGCGGAAGATTGTAACTGTGAAAAAATTTAGATTTTGTACAAATTGGCTCATCTATGTCCCCGTGCTCAGGCACTTTAGGCCCGGCTCATCAGTCATGGGAAAGCACATCCCGTAAGCCTCACCACCACCTACTGGGATGGCTCGAGCACTGCGCAAACCGTAGCGTACCCCGCCTTTCACCGAGGATCACAGCAATGCTGGTAGCCCGTTACCCCGACGACATCGATCAACTCGCCACGGCCTGGAAGACGATATGGGAGGTCGCAGGGACCGTCATCATCACAATGCTCTGGCAACACCGCGTCGACCGTGTGTTTCGTCATGCGGATATCCCAATGCAGCCAGTGAAGCCTTGATTTGGGACAGGATTCAGCTCCAACTGCGAGCGCTCATTAAACGCCTCCATTGCAGGGCTGACACGGTCGTGCGAGGTGCCCAACTTTCTGCATACTACGACATATTTATATCAGAACCGAGAGGGCAGCCTGGCTTTCATCGCCAGGCAGCTGGCCGCGGGCAATGTCTGGATCCTCCAGCGTTGCTAGTGTGGTTAACAACCTACCAGAGATCTTGCACTAACCAGTAAATAGACAATCTGTTCTCTCTCTCATAAGAAGCTCATCATTTTGCCGTAAAAAAAGGCTGTTTTTGTATGTCATTTCTTCATTTGACGCTTTCAAGGGCTTTTGTATTCTGTATGGTATCAACTTTTGGCATCGGTCCTATAGTAGCAGAAAAAGAGACGACAAGCGTTAAGATAAAAGAAGAAAAAGAAGAAGAAGGAAGAAAGACAGTAAAAATATGATGCAAAGAAACAAGAAATTCATGATGGAAGCGCCCTGTGATATGTTTGTATGCTATAACGAGTGGGCGACCAATATGTTAAAGGTGCAGATGACTACTGACTTTGTCTACGAGTATGAGAAAGAGACGTATAATGTGGAACGAGGTGTCTATTTATCGGAAGATATCATGCCACATACAGAGATATTTAGTATTCCATTGGACGCGATGCTGACGGTCAAGAGTCTGCAGACGAATGAAGTGTTACAAAGGATTGCGTTCTTTCAGCAGTTTAATCCCGAGCAAGAGGACGATCAACTTGCAATTGCTTTACTCTATGAGAAGTTTGTACTGGGAAGCAAATCTAAATGGTTCAAACATATTGAACTATTACCTGAGACGTACCATAACGTACTGTACTTTGAAGAGGAACAACTTCGGGCGTTAGAAGGCAGCAATTTGTTTTATATTGCCCAGCAGATGGAAATGAAAGTAGCACAGGATTATGCAAGACTAAAAGATTCCGTGTTGCTGGATCTATTTGAAAATGTCACAGCAAGCGTCAATATCGATCAGTTCGACGAGTTTTTTTCCTATGACAACTACAAGTGGGCACTCTCGACGATCTGGAGTCGCTTCGTATCCTTACGTCTTCACGAAAATTTATTTTTGCTAAAGGAACACGCCGGAATTACGGAAGAAAGCAGCACGCTGACGATGAAAAGTAGCGGTGGCTTAACGACTAAGCAATCATTCAAGGCGATGGTGCCCGTGTTTGACATGTTGAACCACGACCCTGAAGCAGAGATGTCCCACTTTTTCGATACGGCGAGTCAACGATTCAAGCTTGTAAGCCACCAACACTGGAATGCGGGTGTTCAGATGTTTATTAATTATGGGCCTTTGTCGAATCACAAATTGCTGTCATTGTATGGCTTCGTGATTATTGGAAATCAGTATGACGCTGTGGAGATGTGGCTGCCCATGGACGAAGGGTCTACTAAGTTTTATAAGGAAAAAGAACAATTGCTTCGCTCAGGTGGACTGGATCACGCCTCCAACGCATTTGAACTTGTTGCAGACGAAAGCAACGACCTGCTGTTGATTGCTGCTCGAATCCAAGAGATCAACTGCGAGACAACTGAGAAGCTTGAGGCACTAGCAGATAGGGCGCTGAATGGTGAGATGGTGAGTTTAGAGAATGAACAGGAGGCGCTGGCACGTCTGATTTACACGCTTGAGAAGATGCTGGAGGCTTTTCCAACTTCGATCGAGGAAGACGACAAGTTGCTTGAGTTTTGGAATAATGACTTGGGTAAGCAAAGCGACAGCCTAAATCACGAGTGGATGGCTGTGGCTATTCGCCGATCAGATAAACACATTCTCACCGAAAACATCAACATGCTCAAATGGAAACTGCTGGACATTCTTCAAAAAGTTAAATCTGGTCAGCGTGAATGCACACCCGATGTAATGTAGGAGAACTTTATATAATGATCATACATTATAAGTACTGGAAGAAGTACTAAACATAGTCAGCATCTATACACACTCGACGTAGTGCAGCGCTGCGTTTCTCAATGCACTTGATTTTCTGGCGTCTTGTAAATCTTAACATGCTTGCAATTTTTTCCAAGCACAAGCACCTCCGATCCATCTGGAGAAAACACGGTGCGCTTAATCGTATCGTCAATCGCGTCGGGAATGACGTAGAACTCCTCGTTATCACTGATCCGGACAAACACAAGATCTTTACCCCGCACCATGACCACAATCTACGGGATCGATAAAACAACGATAAATGTATGGCACTAATCGGTTTAAAAGCACAAAGTGCGCACCTTTCCACAGGGCGCAAAATCAACTCCCTCAAACGGCTTCTCTTCTTTGGCAGTAAATGCCCACAGCACCTTAGGATCCTCTTGGACAGTGTATCGTACTGTAAGAAAGTAACAGGCCGACCAGAAACGCAGAGCATTAGAGTCGTTTTACCTACCATACTAGTGCATATGCGCAACAATCATCGAACGCACCATTAATGTCCCATAGACGGACCGATGCGTCCTTGGAAATCGTCACTACACGGTTTGCCGGAAGCACATTTGAGCCATTAAAGGCAAGATCCATCACGCCCGTCTAATTTTATGAAACCAAGAAAAAGCGTCAGCTGCAATAAAACCAAACGACCCCACCATTTGCCGTACTCTATGTCCTTGCAAGGTCATGATCTTGTTCACTTTCTTGAAAGTGCCCAGCTTCTCGCGTGTAATTTCATAAATCTTAACCTCCGGTGTGTACGCTGCAACTGCGATGTATCGATTGTCTTTCGAGCCGACGCAGTGATAATTGGCAACCTGATTTGTGTTCACCGTTTGTTGCAGCTCGCCATTTAAGTTCCAGAACTTGATATCTGTGTCTGAACCACCCGCGCACGTAATGATCGTCGCCCACTGCTCAATAGAAACAACGAAGACAGTCATCGCGCTGAGCATACTTTCATATAGTAATACCACAAAATGCAACGCTTACCTTGCCAATATCGTTCATGAGCACAGAGTGCACATCCGTCTTGTGCGCAACAGGAAAGTCTGTCACGATTTCCGGTTTGACACGCAGCTTTTCTGCCACCAAAACAACACGGTCCCCGTACAGACAACACATTAGCAAAACGTCAAAAACCAACCTAACAAGCTGCTCCTTCACATGATCATAGCAACATACGGTAGACTTTTACCGTGCCGTTTTCCGTTGCAACCACCTAATTCCAAACAACAGACAAATTAGATTAAGAACTCCTCAACCACATGAAAAAACACGTTTCATTTACTAGACTGCGTCCGTCCGAGCTGAAACTCATGGATGTAACATGGTCGTATTCGATATTGATTCGATGCAGCTTGGGGTTCTTATTCATGAGCGTTTCACGGAAGTAAAGGCGGATTGACCGATCGGAGCTGGCAGTGGCCAGGAAGCGACCGTTTGGACTGTATGTGGCAGCCGTGACGCTGTATTTATGTCCATCAATTAGATAAAGCATATTCGGGTGTTCATTCACTTCTTCCTGCACCAAATTTGCCTGCGTCTTCTTCTTAAACTCTGCCATCATATCTACCTGCTTGTTCTTCTTGTTCTTAGGCTTCTTCTTGTTCACGACGTGGAGAGGTTGACGTACAAGCTCTACCTTTCCTTTTTCTAGCTTACGATGTTGACTTTTAGTTACTTTTTGATGTTGCATATACATGTAGCTGGTGCCTGCTAGCACTAGTAGCAGCGCTAACACCCACGTAAGCTCCATGTTTGACGTTAGAATGAAAAAATATGTAGCGCTGTGTGGTGCAACACCAAATTTGTTAGAACCGGTCGAGCAGACGACACCTACGTCAAGCACTTACGGCACGGTCGAAGATGTAAGACGTAGTTGCACTCGTGCAGTAGAGGGGCTGACGGCCATCAAGCACAGAAAATAATCCGTCTGGTTTCGGTGAGGTGCCTTGGGTGCTGTGAACAACTTCATGCTTTGTGCCGTTGAAATCTTCGTGGTAAAAGTCTAAAATTCTTCGTATCGCTTGCTCCAAGGTTTACCTTACGAGCCACCACGCCTCAACTTGCCGACAGTATCTTACTGGCTAGGAGATGATGACCTATAACATCAACTTTGATACCTTCCGGCCACACGAAGCCGCTTGCACGCTCTGTGGACCCGACTTAGCGGACAAATTTCTTGCCTTACGCCATGAAACCGCTACCAAAACCGTAGTAGAGTTCCTTGCCATCGAAAGGCTGCAACGCGAGCATACATTGTTGCACATCCGGCATGTCGACCCTCGATTGCCAGGAGGAGAGACTGTTGGGTAAGGGACAAAGAGACAAGGGGTTAAAGGGGACGGGGAACGACAGTTGGATGAGAAGAATGCACAGTCAAAGCGTGCTAGTTAGCCGCCATTCAAAAGAGTTAGCCCCGGGATAGCCCTATGGACCGCGGTTTCTCAAGGTGGATACCAGTCCTTCAAGGCCGACCTCGGTCTTTCATAACGATAGACCTTGGCTCTTCGGTCGGTAGACTCTCGGCCCGGTCCCTAAAGGTCGAACCTGGTCCTTCATCACTGGACCTCGGTCCTCAGTCGATAGATCTTGGCCATTCGGTCGAGGGACTCTCAGCCATTCGGTCCCTGAAGGTTGACCTTGGTCCTTCATCAATGGACCTCGGCCCTTCGGTCGATATACCCTAGCCATGCAGAATTAAGAATCAAGTCTCGGGGTAAAGATAGAGTAAAGGAGTTAAAAGATAGGACTATATTAAATACTACTCATTTTGCAATCTACATAGCACGTCTCCGTCGAGCTCTCAAGGTACTTACTAATTCAACCCACCTATTCCGGGAAAGGATACATTTTTGGACACCCGTCGAAAACAGTCGTGTGGTAAGACTTAAGTGCGAATAGAGCCTTTGCCTGTGGGTTCGTCTGAGTAGCACCCCCAAATCGACCCGCTATCGGAAGCGGTCTCCCTACCTTAGCGGTTCGGGAAGTAAAGGCCACGCGGTTAACAACTCTGAGATATCAAGGAAAGGTCCAGGGGTTAAGAATCTCCCCTAAAGAATTTGGTTATAAGTCCACCCTCGACCTAGTCGACCGAGTGGCCACCTACCGAGTGAAGTATATCCACTCGAGGAACCCCAAGGTCGACATCACATCTCAACCAAGTCCTCCGAAGAGTGCAACCCGCCAGCTGAAGGGTACACAAGGTGAGAAAAGGTCTATACGTGGCATCGGGGTACCCCTCCGACAGTCGGCAGTCCGGCACAGTGAGTGGCTTGGGGCCTCATTACGCAGTCGATTTTTGAGAACTGACTCCACCACAGAATTGTCTTTGGCAGCAACTACAGACACGATGCACGATCTAGATTGTTTGCTGCTCCTGAATCTAGGAGCGCATGCAGGGGCGCGGGCGCCAGCGTAAAGACGTTCATCTTCGCTCGCGGTGGTAGCATTTGAGTGTGCGTGGAGCATAAAGAGGCTTCGAGGACGCTACCGGGAGATCCGGACCTCTACTCTAACCATTAGGGTGCCCCGCGCCTACTGAGCCCGACTGTTATTTGCATAAGCAACCGGAGAGACGTCGTCATGAACGACCGCAACAGCTTGACCATACCGGAGCTGGCGCGTAGCACTCTACCTGAGTGAGAAAACTTAGTGCGTGTACGTGAATCGTCTCGAGGCGGCTCATAAGCGAGGCTCAAGCATTGTGGAGATCCGCCAGAGTCGTGGACGCGTGCTCATTGACGACGAGATGCTCCTTTTCTACTGACCCCGGCCGGCTTTTGACGATCCGCCATGTTGTTGCGTTTTGCAACAGCGTTAAAATCGCTTCCTTGGCCCTTCTTGGCAGACGGACGATCTTCACGCGCAGTAAACGTGGCGTGGGGCAATATACACATACGCGAACTACCCCTGCCGACGGGTGCACAAGGCGAGGAAGGAATTTTTGCCCGTAATAAACAAGCCCAATCTCGCACAAGATCGACTTCAGTCTGCCAAAATGAGCGCAATCCACTCTGCCGACGGGTACACGAGGTGGGGAAGAATTTCTGCACACGGAATTGAAGCACCTTCCGTCATGAAATCCTAGTGACATGTACCGATCTATATTTCTTCTAGCTTATTTCCAAGAAAACTTACTCTTGCAGTGAATGTGCAGCCAATGAGAGGCTCATGAAATCGCTTTGTATGGACAAACTCGAAGCACTCAACGTTTGCAGACAATGTGAGCCAAGATTCAATATCAAGCACTTTCTTGAAGATCTGAGAACCGTATCTTTTGAATCCTGACGTTTTGTATAAGCAAGCAGTCCAGTGTATTGAGACGTCACACATGCCTTAAACGCAAGCGTAAGTCATACAAATTTGGCACGTAATGGCCACGACCACCAGCCATCACGATCAGATAGTGTGGTACAGCGCTGCCATATCAAAAAACCTCTATAGAAAACGACAGTACGCGCCGGTTCATCTATTAGTTGCGTTAATTACAGTAAAGTCGCAAAAGCTAAGGCCACATTAAAATCCATTAATCAAATGAAGTTTCATGACACTGTTGCAATTGTGACGGGCGGCGCCCGGGGCTTTGGCCGTGCGTTTGCAGAAGAGATTTTGGCCAAACGTGGCAAAGTCCTGATCTCGGACGTGAATGTACATGAGTTGCAAGCTACAGGAAAGGAGCTACAGTGTAAATTTGGTGAAAGCAACGTGTGTTGGGAACGCCAGAACGTCACGGAAAAAAACAGTTTCTCCCATGCCTTTGCATGCGCCAGAACGTACTTTAAGAAACCTGTGAATGTGCTGGTCAACAACGCTGGTATTGCGGGCGACATGACGTTTTATGAGCCAGATAGCACGACCTGGGAATCAGTCGTGGAGATCGACCTCGTTGCGCTCATCCGTGGCACCAAATGTGCCATTACCGAGTTTAAACGCACGCTTAATGGCAAAGAAGGTGTGATCGTGAACGTTAGCAGCATGGCTGGGCTCATGACTGTACCGTTTGGACCTGTCTATGCTGCTGCAAAGGCTGGCGTCGTGGGGTTTACGCGTTCACTGTACTCGCTCAAAAAGTCTGACAACATCCGTTGCTTTTGCATGTGCCCGGGCTTTGCTGAGACAAAGATGGGTCGCGAGGCTAATGCTGAGGTCCCCGAGTATATCAATATGATGGGTGGTCTCATGCCTGTCAAGGTTGTCGTCGACGCTTTTTCCGCTGGCTTGCGCGACCCTGGCAACTCAGGTCGTGTGCAACGCATTATGAAGAAGAACACCTTATATTATCGCTTTCCAGGTGACAAGGTGCTTTTTCCTGACTCCAAGCTGTAAAGAACTCGGTGAGCTAGGCCCACTTGACACTCACGGTTGTCGATGCAATGAATCTTTTGCAGTTTATAATTGATACTATTGAGTGCTTGAGCCTCGGACGACTTTGTAATGCATACTAAAATGAGCAGACAGTGAACGTGGACCATGCCAATAATGGATCGCGTACCTGACTGAGTAACGCAAACTAGCCCTGCTCCCTCTCCCCAAATGAATACTACTAAACTCAGATTATGTGTAGGCAAAAGCCAGCAGACCAGCAACCAAGCATGCAACATCAAATTTGCGGCCATTGTCCTTCGCTGTATCTTCGCAATAAATAGAAATGCATGACATTGTAGATCATAATTCCTTCGGCTCCTTCCTCATTCTGCTCACCACCTCTACTATGCATTAAGCTCGCGCCATCCCAGCGTTACTTCCATCGTCACCTTTGGCGTCCTTCAGCTTGTGGTGATGGCGGCAAGTCGTCTAAAACTCGGCAAATGGATCCCTGCCGTTGTAAATGGGAACAGTCGCATCCTCCAATGAGTCTGGATACGAATCGAAATTGGATGTGTCATTGGCTGTGTCGACATGTGGGATAATAGGTGCTGCACCTTTGCGGGCTAACAAGTCCTCCCAATTCACACCAGCAAAAAACTTGTGCTTCTTTATGTCCTCTGCGCCGTTCTTCAGACAACCGTACCGCTTTGTAAGGTCAGCTGTAAGCATACGTTTGACAAGTCCCTTAGCATTTCGGTCGAATAAACGCGGAAAACTGATCTTTCCTGACAGAATTTGCTGATAAATACCCATCGGGTCATCGTCACAGAAAGGTGGTTGACCTGCAAGCATCTCGTAGAGCAATATACCAAGTGTCCACCAATCCACACCTTTGCCGTGTCCTTTGTTGAGTAACACCTCCGGTGCAATGTACTCTGGTGTTCCGCAAAGCGTATATGTCTTGAATGCCACCCGCTTAGCAAAACCAAAGTCCGTGATCTTAATGTAGCCTTCACTGTCCAGCAGCAAATTCTCGGGTTTCAAGTCGCGGTAGATAAAATCTTGACTGTGCATGTACTCAAATATTGACACGATCTGCGCTGCGTAGAACTTTGCCGAATTGTTGTCAAACCTTCCAGCCCTCCGTAAGTGGGTAAAAAACTCGCCGCCAATCACATACTCAAGTACCATGTACAAGTACTTGGTATCCTGATATGTTCCTGCCAAGTTCACAATAAACGGATGATCTAAACATAACAAGATAAACTTTTCCGATAACATATGTTCGACCTGCTGCATTCGAATGATCTCGGCCTTCTTTAGGATCTTAATAGCCCAATACGTATTAGTTGCCTAATCAAATCAGCACGGCATCGTCAGTCCCATAGACCACCCAGCCCCGTTCTGTGCTGTAATTCATCACTTACTTTATGTGTTGCAAAACGAACACGACCAAAAGATCCAGTACCTAATGTCACTCCCATTTTGAATTGCGTGTTATCAAGAGAGGTCTTAAATTTATGCAAACTCTTGACCGTCTCATCTGGAACAGCCGTGCTTTGTAGATTGGTCTCCGCTGCCATGTGTTATGTTATACGTTTCTGTCGTGAAAAGTAAGTAGTAATCCAATCCTTTTTTTTACTTCGTCTGAAAGGTGAAAAGACGTTTTGATTAGTAAGTAACCTTGTCACAGATGGTTTTGTTTGTGTTTGGACTATGCGCGCGTGCACGCAGGTATTGAAGCAATGATGGTGGATCAGACCGGTTAACGCAACACTTTGTTTGCGTAACGGTAGTTCTAGTCTGCGCTTATTTGCTTGTCTGCTCTGGCTGTTACTTCACCCTCCACAATTTGTAGCTTCTATCGTGATCGAAATAGCAAAATATAGTCGCTAGAAAGAGGAACATACACCGATTGTGCAAAATAAATGACGCTGGTCGGACCTTGAAATAACTCACAAGCACCCGAGAAGCCGTGTACATAATTATAGAAACAAGTAAGAAAAAACCCGGCTGTCGCGTTGGTGCAGAGAATGGAGCGGTGAACTGTCGTAAAACAGTTTTCCCTTATTATTCAACAGATGGCAGTTGAAAACCCAATACTGAAATTCACTGACGTCTGTCTATCGAATATGCACGGAAGATAAGAGGAAGAATCAATCTAGTCATTTTGAGTCAACACAAAAAGGTGTGTATATATTTGTACAAAGATGTTAGTAACACACAAAAAAAACAACGTTCTCTTTGCGTCGACATCGATTGAATGGGAACTAGCTCAATTCTACATTCTGAGTTCGTTGAATCAAAATTGTAGTGCGAAGGTTGCACACACGAGTGGTACCTACAAGTGGTCCACACAAGTGGTCCGCATATGTCTTATTCGTGTACAAAACCAGGACACGATAGGTCAATAACGAGTCAAGTCATTATTACGATAGGAAGTTAGACCGTCGTGTATTCATAATATGCAGGGACGGAAGCTACTTTTTCTATTGCTTCTTGCTACGCTAGTTGTTTCCTGTAAATCAAGTTTATCAGCAAAGTCAAAGGCAAAAAAGTCCGCGACAGTATTGCCCGAGAGTGTCGTTGAGCCAAATGAAGGCGCGTTCGCTACCATTCTGTACGATTATGGAGAAGATAGTGAGGCGCTACTGCTGGCCACGCGCGTGCTTATGCGCAGCATTAAAGACTCTAATACCAAATATCGACGTATGGTGATTGTACCACAGGATGGACTGCAGGAAAGCAGTGAGAAGGCTCTGAAGGAGGACGACGCGGATGTGGAAATTGTACACACCTCGATTCCGAATGTGTTTGCGCATATGCCGCTGACAGACCACCGCACGCAATTGTTGCACATGCGAAACAAACTCGTGATTTGGGACGACCCACAGATCTCCTCGCTCAAGCGCGTGGTGTATCTCGACCCAGAGAATCTAGTGTTACGCAACTTGGACGAGATTTTTGCCTGCTACGCGTTCTGTGCCGTGGATAATGGTCAGTCGGTAGTGTACTCCAATGGACTTTTGGTTATTTCGCCAGAGAGTATTGTGGTGCGGAACTTATACTCCGATGCTATTGATGGCTTTATGATCACTGGTCGTGCGTACAACTACATTGGTATCATCCAGGGTTTCATGCCGGGCCTTTTTGAAGCCTTTGAGGAAAGTCCATTGTTCTTCCTTGGATGGGATGGAGATGAACATGGAGAAGACATTGATGGAGTAGATGATGGTGATGACGCAGAGGAGCTGTCGGAAAATTCGGTTGTCCATGTCCACCGCCTGCCGTTCTACTACAGTATCAATCATATGGTCTTTTATGAACGCATGAATTGGGACCTGTACAAATGCAAAGATAAAAATTTGGCCACAGGGGAGATTCCAGGACCATTGCTGAGTTACAAATATAGTGGTGCTACGGTAAAGCCGTGGTTCTGGCTACCATACACGTATTTCCAGGTGTTTTGGTACTGGCAGGAAGTGCGCGACCGTCTTGGGGAAGACCATTTTGGTTACTTTGTTGGGAAAATGATTTCTTTCTTGGTGATTTTTGCTTTCATCTGGTTTACCTACGTTTCGCTCTGTTTGAAGTTGTTTACTGAGCCAAATGGACGCCGGCGACGTTTATCGAGCTGGGGTTCGCCTACTCCTAGCAACGCACAGTCGCTATCCATAGATGTGTTCAATTCACGAGTGGCGCGTCGAGCCTGCCAGTTTTCGTGCAGTGTGCTGTATGCTGTTGCATCCATGCCACTGGTGTCAAGCATCTTTATCGTCGTGGTGCTCATCTTTTGCAGCATCCAAATGATTCCTATCACAATGCAACCCAGCTACGCAGGCAAGCTATGGGTTATCGTGCACGACCTGTTGCTAACCACGTTGCTGCTGGTATTTGCGATGGCGCATACGTTACGAACTGCGCAGTGGAAGAAAGACGAAGTGCCTGCAACATTAGAGCTTATGGTAGATGGTGTCTGGTGGTGTGTGAAGAAGCTTCCGCTGTTAGTGCTGGCACAGCTCCAGTTTCTTTACATGATTGGTCGAACTGATTGGTTCCAGAACCCGGTGCTCCGTCCTATTATGACCTGTGTCTTTTTTGCCATCGCCCTCCTCGTGGAAGGCCGCATTCTCGTTGTTGAGATGCACCGTGTCACGCGGAACTAATCGCTTGCATCCGCATTGTAGTAAATAAAGCGAGATCTATAGGAAGTATCAGGGCGTTACATCTTGGAGGACGGAGACACGGACGCGAGCAAACAATGCGAGCAATTTGGTACGACACTTAATAGCAACATCAAACAGAAAGAGAACTACACCGCATATATTAGCCACCTTAGTAATCCGAGCGGCGCTTCTTCTACGAGCGGCAAAGAGGTACACATAAGAATAAAAAAATGATCGTCAGGTCACTGATCAATCCAGATTAATAGATGAAACGAAGCAAGTCAGCTCGTTTCTGCTTGTTTTTTCAAGACACACCTGACTGACCTGGAGTTCCTGGGTCGATAAGGGCTGCTTGCCACCAGTAAAAGTCCGCTCACGTGAATCTTCTGTTTGTTGCTGCTGTTGCTGCTGCTCTGCTGCTTCTTTTCGAAGGTCTTTCACGACTGCAGCTAATGCTTCGGGGTTTACACCTTTCTGGATAAGCGCCATGAGAATTGCCAGAGTGTCACGATCTAGACCCGTATTGAGCAAGCATGAGAGCTCATATACGGCTACAAACGTGTACAATAACAAACACATGAGAAGGTATGAAACTAGAAGACAATAATTGTACTAATAGAGTGACGTACTCTCCATAACTTCAGCACGAGATGCCGTAATGCCGTCACTCATTGTCAATACGTCGTTTTCACAAATTCCTCAAATATTTCTATAATTTCTGAAGTAACACAACGTGAATTGACTCTTAAGTAGTATAGCTCGATTTCATTTCATGGGTGTATCCCCGTGCAATGCCTTTGCTGCCTTTAATGGCAGCGTGTGCAGATGTTTCACCCATTCGTGGGTCCAGCCCTTGATATTCTCTTGTAGATAAATAATCAGCAGCCTCACTATAGTATGTCGTAAGCTCTGTGCGCTCATTTTTGACTTGCAACGTCGTCGATGCGTCATTTTCTCCGTGTAACGTGATGGTATAGGTTTTAGCCTTACGGTCGAGTGTTGTTGTCTTGTATGTTCCAGAAATTAATGAGAAATATGGTTGATCAGCGTTGTCATTCTCTTCTCCATCTGCTACTTGCTCCACACTCTGTGTCGTATTCTCAAGTGCGGGTATCACCTCACGAAAGTCCGTCTTGTATTGACCATCCCACACTTCCGTAGGCGACAATGCCAGTTGAAGCTCATACGGGGTCACAATAGGCTTGTAAAACTCCTTACTATCCATTAATGTATTTTGCGGGCATGCCACGAGCACGAAAGCATCAATCTCTGCATAGTTTGCGAGTTTTGGCACATTGACTTTGCCCACTACGAATAGATACGACTTGCGTCCGCTCCTGAGACGCACAGACAGATAATAGCGTCAGTATCGCTTAAAGTGATTCACAAGCCCCAACTAAATGCCATTCTTCATTATCGCACTTTTTGATCAGCTTTTGGAGACCAAGCACCACATCCAGATATCGATTGACACCAAGCGTGCCCATCAAGATCCCGTAAATTTGTGCTTCCTTGGCTTGCTGGACAAGATAAAAGCTACAACACCACAGTGCACCATAAGTATTCCTTGATCACGCATACTCTGTAAAATGAAAAAGCTACCGTTTCATGAGCGCACGATTGACAGTCGTGCCCTCCTTCCGTGACGAATTCAGCTCCGGATTGTATGAGAAACAATCCGCAGTGCTGTACCGCATTAAGATACTGGTAAGGTGAGCTGATTCTGCTCCAATGTACAGCAGCGCAAACGTTTCTGGGGTAATCTCACAATTCTTTGAGTCTACTACAATCTCCTGCCCACCAATTTGAAGCACCCACGTTGACGAGTTTTTGTCAGTGCTTGACGCCTCCACCTTGTCCTTTGGATCATAAAACGTCTTCATTTTTCCAACCGCCAACTTCCGTTCGCTAAACTTATTCTTTAGTCCTTGAAGTACACTACCACTAGCATGATGATAGCGCGGCTCATACAGCAGCACCAGTGTCTTTGTCGGCTCCACAGCAACAATCCGTTCACTCAATTGCTGGATACAATCCTCGACTGAAATCGGCGCATTGCCGAACACGTAGATCACAGGAATTTTGGTCGTAGCACTGTACATCACACAAAGTACCAAATGGTAAGTATTCACTAACATGCCATTCATCTGAGCCTTGTCTACCTCAGACACGTGCGACCAAAGTGCACGATGCAGTCAGCCACAAGGTGCTGCGCTGCTACTTCATCCACACAGCAGCTGCCGTATGATGTGTCTCCAAGAACAAAAACACGCTCCCATTGGCCAACTAGTCGGTCCTTCAGCTTCTGCTGAACCTTCGACGCGTCTGGTAGTAGCGAGTCTGGAAACTGCAGAGCGATTTTCTTGTAGCCACCACGACAGATCTGCTCCACAATGCGCGCAATCTCATAATATTCAAGAATGTTGCATTCTTTCGTACGCACACCATCTTCCTCTTGCACCTGTACCTGCATCTCGATGGCTCGCGAGCCATCGTCGCTTTCAAATGACAGAGCTACCGTCATTTCTCGAATGTGACAAAAATGGCTGGGCACTACGATTGAATGAATTGTTACAAGTTTGGGGTAACCACACGAAAATGGAATTTACAAGGGTATTTGTTTAAACGTTTGTCGACGTCGACGACGTCATCGTCTTCATGGTCGTTCGCTGACGTAGCGACTTGCTGACAATGCCCTGCTGATCATCTAGCGAGTCCACAAGGCCCTTGAGCTCCTTCTCCTTCATGTACTCACGGTTGATGAGCTTGCCCATGGTGTCACCAGCCTTGATGCCCTCGACAGCTTCACGGAGCATGCCTTTGAGCACCTGTCGACCATAGCCCTCGCCTGCCACGGGTCCACTGCTGCCAAAACCAACTGCTAGTGTCAGTTTCATCTTTGGTAGCAACAACACCACCTCGTGCTCGTCAATAGACGACACTGTGGCACCTTCGGCCAGATCCTCCGTCACACTACCGTAGTACAACGCAAGCTGACGCGCACCGTCAAAGCACTCCTCATTCACGAAAGTGATGAGATTTAGCCGAGACTCTGCATCCAGGTGCGGCACGAATGAGTTTGACTTTTGGTTCAGGTACAGCGTAATAAGCAGGAACATGTTTGTAAGCTGCAGCATAATTGAGCTCATCGTAGTCGACGGGTACGTATTGAAAGCATACTCGTTATTCAGCAGCGCCGCCATCTTCAGCAGTAGAGGCAAATCAGAACACCATAGCAGGTATGGCAGAGTCGGGTAGTACCACGCGTAGAACTGGTAGTGCAGCGTGCGTGAAAAGACAATCCCCACAAAGTTCATCACAAATAGCGACGTCACGACGATCTCGCTCTGGATTGGGAATGGCTCGTAAATGACAAAAGGCTTCATCATCACGGCGCGAATAGTGCCGATGATGTTAAAGTGTTTGTCAAGAAAAAGCACCATAAAGAACAGGTGACCCAAGAGCAACAGCAAGGCGAATCCACCCGACACAAACGTCTCTTCATCAAGAAACTTCCAATTCACAGTCCACTTGAATGCGAACACGCGGTTAAGCTCAAAGGCCTTGTTCAGGTAGCTCCACCAGTTGTGCTTGAGGAACGGGTAGGCCAATACAATCTGAATAGCAGCGCAGATGAATAAGTACCAGGCTGTGCGTAGAATACCGCACGACTGCAGCAACAGGAAGAATAGCGCCGGTGCAAACAGTAAAACGTTCATTTTGATCGACACCGCAAGGCTAAAAAGCACGCAGCCCCAACGCCAGCGTTGGCGTGCAAACAGGTATACAGCAATAAATAGCATCATCATAGCCACACCATCATTGAACATTCGTAGCATAAAGATCGAGTGCAGACGCTTCGACGCACACAAGAGGACGGTAGCCCATGGAGGTAATACACGTGCACGGTAGTAGATAGCCAGTACCGTTGCGATCGTGATAAGGTACAAGCCTAAGAAAATGTATTGAGCCCGTCGAATGTTTTGTCCATCGTCAGTTACTGAATGCAAAAAGGAGAAAACATAGAGGAATCCAGCAGGATACACAAGTGGACCAGTATTTCCGTAAATGTTCATATAATCACGCTCACCGCCCTTAAACAGCTCTACTTGTTGCATATACGTCGACCAATCAATCTCTGTGTCTACATATCCACAACATGAATAAGCTTTTACTTGTGTTTTATTCATACATATAGAGTATCCAAAGACGTACAAGGCACTTTTTGAATTATAACATAGCCCACACATGCTTCCACGAGTAACAAAACGCACGCTAGCTGTGGAAAATAGCGATAACTCCACATTAAATCATACAGAAAAGACAGTACACGACTGTGCAAGAGTGTTGTCTTGACATCTTTATCAATGCGAGTCGTTCGTGGTGTCATAGACGTCGACTTCTTCATGGTCTTTTGTGCCATTGCCAGTCTTTTTTTTCAATGATTGGATCGAATGCTGTCTCTATTCAATCGGATGTAAAATCCCATCCTATTTCATATTTTGTATTATTTGTAGACTTTCAAATAATAAAATATAAATATAAGCTTTTATAAAACCTCGAGACTTTATAAGGTTGTAAAAATAAAGTTGCATATAAAATTACCCATTTTCCATAATGCCATTTCAAGTGCCCAAGTGGTACGTATCCGTACGAGTGTGGACCATAAATATGCTTCTTACTATGATTAACCTTTACATGAATGTATTCTCTTCTATCCTAGGGCAATATCTCCTATCGATTCTAATCGTTATGCTAAGCTTCAAGTATATAAAGACAATAAAGCCATGGATCAATTGGCGATTGGTTTACAGTCATGCTATGTCTTAGGACGTAGTAAGGAGCAAAGCGATATTTGGCTACAACACTCATCCATTTCTCGTCAACATGCTGTGATTCTACATAATGAAAATGCTCATTTATGTCTTATGGATTTGGGTTCAGCTCAAGGGACTTTTTTAAATGGCAAAGAGATTGCACCGAACGAGCCTCAAGAGCTTCAAGAAGGAGATCAGATAACATTTGGGTCAAGTACGAGGACGTACGTGTTTCAAAATGCTAGAAAAGAAGAAGAACATGCTCAAAAGGAGATCAAACATATAGAAGGAACTAATGTAGATCCTGAACTCCAACGGATGATGCGTGAAATGCAAAGCTTTGGTGACCAAACTAGTCGCAAGCAAAAGAAGGATGAAAAGAGAGCGACAGAAGCTAACGACGATAAAGTTGAGGAGAGGAAAAGTGTGAGCATCTCTAGTTGCCTACTCATGCGTTGGCAAGTGCTGTAGGCTGATTGCTTTGTTTTTGTTTGGTGATGTTGTGCTTGTTATATGTATTATGCAGAGACGAGCTGAGATTGCAGCAATGACCGCCGAAATGATGCAAGCACCTGCACAAATTGTTAGGACTACTGTTGATGCAGAAGAGGAGCAAGCACGAGATAATGGTGTTGACAGAGGCAACTTAGCGGAGTCTGAGAGTGATGATGATGACAATAATGGTGAGAACGACGTAGCTCTTCGATATCGTTTGCCTATGTCGCGTGAAGTTGTCCTTGAGAGCCACACAAAAGGGCTCAATTGCATTGCCGTTGACGCACCTGGTGCTCGAGTGGCGACGGGCTCCACTGACTATCATGTCAAGTTGTGGGATTTTGCTGGCATGGCACGTCATGTCCGCCCGTTTCGCGATGTTGAGGTGGAAGACGGTCACCCGCTGGTGGCTTTGAGCTACAGTCCGTCAGGGGATCGCTTGCTTGTAGTTTCTGGATCCTCGCAGCCAAAGGTATTTACGCGCGAAGGTGTGGAGGAGATGCAATTCGCAAAGGGAGATATGTATGTTGTCGACATGGCTAACACCAACGGGCATACTCATACAGCAACTAGTGGTCAATGGCATCCACAAGTACGCTATCAAATGATTACGAGCTCATTGGACGGTACGGTACGACTGTGGAGCCTCGGGGGCAAACAGACATTCAACAAGCTTATCAATACGTCCGTATTCAAGTTTAAAGATCGTCGCGGCCGACGCTGCGGAGTGACAACCTGTCGTTTTAGCCCAGATGGTGGGTTGATCGCAGGAGCTACTATGGACGGTCAATTGCAATGTATTGATCCGCGCAAGGCTTACGCTGGAGCTGTTATTGCTATTCGTGATGCACATGCTGATGGTGGAGGTGATTTAGGCGTTTCTTCAATTCGGTTTTCGCCCGACGGCAAATTCATGGCTTCACGATCTTGCTCGGATGATACTGTTAAGATCTGGGATTTGCGTAAAGCAAAGCAGAGCGTGAAAGATTTTCGTAATATCGAGGGTGTATTCGGGACATGTAACGTTGCTTTTAACCACAATGGTACGGCCATCGCTGCCGGGACATGCGTTCGGAAGGGTAAGGGCCTAATGGGACAGGTTCTGTTTTTGGATGTACATACACCAGGCCTCATAGAGCCTATAGCTAGCATTGACATGAAGCAAGACGAAAGTGCTGTGTGCGTAGAGTGGCACCATGGTATCAATCAGGTTTTTGTTGGAACCTCTTCTGGGACTTGCCGTGTTTTTTACGATCCACAACAAAGTACAAAGGGTGTGCTTTTAAGTGCCACGAAGAAGCTAAAGGTGCAAGGAGGCGACTCAGGAGTTCGTATCGACGGTATTGGCAAAATATACACTCCTCACGCGCTACCCATGTATCGCGATGATACGTCAGGGTCTCGTAAACGAAAATACGAAAAGGTGCGCGCTGATCCGAAGAAGTCACATGCGCCTGAAAAGCCCATTACGGGCCCAGGCATGGGTGGCAAGATTAGCGGTAGTACTACTTTCACGCAGTATTTTATGAAAAGTCATATCAAGTCGTCATTTCGCGAGGAAGACCCGCGGGAGGCAATATTAAAGTACGCCAAGGAGGCTGAAACAGATCCACAATTTTTGGGCGGTGCTTATAAGAAGGAAAAGATGGACCCGCGGTATCAGCTTGCGAAGCAAACTCTAGAGGAGGAAAAACTTGCAAAGGAGGAGGAAGATCGCCGTCTATTGCAGCCATAGACGATTCTAACGGTCGAAAGTGGTTGAATCGGACTGCGAAAGACATACCGTATAACATTGACGGAAATGAAGATAATGGTTGATGCATTACAGTGACGGAGGATGACATGCATTTGGGTAATGTTACTTATTTCATACAAAGTGATCTGCTGCTTATCTTGCGACTAGGTTGACGCCGCTGCTGGTGTACAAAGTTTACAGTGCTTGGTTCAGTTCGCTGGTTTGAGCTTAAATATGCAGCTTCTGTTTTTTATGCCGGCTGCACAAGCCTCTGCACCGGGCAACACTTGTACAGGCATCAACCCTGCACTTTTGTGATGAATGTGTAGCACATTTACCTTGACGTTGGGCACCTTTCTTGCAGCCAGGAGCGGTGCATAGCTTGCCACCTCCGTGTGCTCGGCACAAGCCTCCACCTTGGCTGCTTGTTCCGCAACCCTCAACCTTGCACCGTGCGCCACCGCCGTGGCGTTTGCACCGACGCATTGTTTGCGCCCCACGAGTACAGCCCTCAACCACGCAGCGTCTACCACCGCCGTGTCGGATGCACTTTCCCTTGCTCTGCATTTTTGTATTGCATCCGGCAACTTCGCACTTACCTTTGGACTTCTTCCACGGCAATTGCTGCTGCCTGCTCTTCTGTTTGCTTCTTTCTTGCAATGAGTTCGTGTCCTCGAATAGCTCAATCAGTTTATGAGCATCGACAGAATCCAATTGAGGCCTCTCCACTGAAAATGTAGGATCTGGACGAACAAATGATGACGCCTCGATCCAGCTTTGTGCTGGATTAAACAATGGTTCAGTCATAACCTGGGCATTGTGCGAAATTATGAGCTCGGTTTGACCGAAAGGTAATGCTGATAATGGGGTCATTGGTAGTGAAAGGCCCATGGACTGGGGCGTGAATGGGTCTTGAATGGGGTTGTAGCTGTTCATTAATGTCGTTTCATTCGAGACATCATCACTCGGTATCACTAAATCTAGTAAGGCCAAAATCTCGCTGCTGTTTAGGAGTTCGTCAGATGCATTTGGCCTAAGCCCTTCAAGACAATTCTGTTGATAGATGTTCATCTGTATGAGTCTGGCCGCCTTGGTCGTGAAAGAGAATTTCTACAAGTGAGCTAGGAGTGTGCAACACTGGGTTGCTCTAGATGAAAGTTTCTACCATCGTAGTGGACAGTGTAGTCTGGGTTGGTGAATTGGACGGCCGCAAGCCACGAACAAGACAGGTCTTGACAATGTGCAAAAAGTGATGGACGCAAAAAAGGTGAGCAAATCCATGTATCTGCATTTCCTCGAAGGAAACTGTAGAAGTTCTTGTTGAATATCTGAGACAATTGAACACTTCACCTTCAGGTCAATCAGATTTCGGTTGAGTCTCTTATCCTTTTTATAGCAACAAGTGCTAGTGCAAATGACTGGCATGAAAGATACGAATACAGTTGAAAGAAGAGAGTGACGGACATGCTTGAAGATATAGATAGCGTTAACTTTCGGTAGATGATTGCATGGCAAGCTGTCGAAAAGAACAAGGAGGGAGTGCGTAGTGACTGCCGCAAGTTATTTTGATTGAACGCTTGCCAGAAAAGACCATAAGGAAGGAGTCTGACAGACTGATCGCAGTGGATAAGTGGCGTAAATTTCGAGAAACGACGGTGACATTTTATCACGAGTAAGCAAGCACGAGAGACCATCTTGTACAACAGTCATTGTATAACGGCAGCGGTAGTGCTGGATTTTGACGAAATGAAAAGGTACCAAGCATGTCAAATGGAACTAGTTTTGTTTCTTTCGTGGGTATTTCATTAAGTGGTTGTATCGTCAAATGCTGCTTACTGATGACGTTTGGAGCAGGACTTCTCCAAAACATAGAGGGATACTTTTGCGCAGACAGGTATGAGAATGACTCGACACGACTCGACGTGACTCGAAGTTTGCAAATGTGAATTTTGCTTACAAATCGTTCGTTCAAAATTGCTACGCATGTCTGCTTCGGACGGACGCGGCCAAGTATTCGACACCAGTAAACGTAACGTAAACGCTTCCTCTCAGACGCAATGTCCAATTCCACTTTGCAGTAACACGACCTCCATCAATTTTGACTGCTTCTGGTGGACACGATGATTTCATTAGAGCGTCACACCTCAATTCGGTTTCACACTCACGTGGTTGAGGGACTTCTGACCATCATACCGTGGACAATGCTGACGATTTGAACGTCAAGTGGCTTTATGGCGAATGTGGAACGGCACTTGTCTTGTGTTATTATTCACTGATGTTGACCCTGAAATGAACTTATGTGTGCGAGAAATCATGGTGGCCGAGTCCTTCGTTACGTTGTTTTGAGTGTCTGCAGACCCGTACCTCCAGAGATGGACTTTCTCGCTAACACTCGATTCCTATTCCGCTAACTGCCTGCAATCATACGTGGAAGCATACGGTGCAGACCGATTCGTCGACTTCTCCATCTTTCAAGCTCTGGTGGCAGAACGATGTTACACATGGCTCGTTAAGGTATTGACCAAATTTACAATGTCCTGCAAATTTTGCTTTACTCATTGTAGTTGTAGTTTTGGTCAACAGTTTTACCACAGTGGAAGGGGCACCGAAAGCCTGAGATCAAAACATCTATGTATTTTGCTGCAAAGGAAAATCTACATCCGTTTGTACTTTGGAAGCAGAAAATGACGAGCCTTGAATGCCACCGACAGCATTGTAACATTCGGTTACGTGCCGACTTTTTTCATTTTTTTCTTGGCGGGGATGGCTAAGTAATCGTTCACAGAAGACGCAGCTTTCGAGTCTGATGTCTTCTTTGCACTCTACAATCGCAACAAATAGCAAGGTCAACAAAGCAACACCTTTATGGGAAGAAATGGCGCACACTTTACTCACACTTTGAGCGAGAAACTTTTGCTTTAGAGCCTGGACGGAAGTGGCATGTTTGATCTCCTTCTGAGCCTCAGCCTTTTGTTTTTTCCGCTTCTGGGTAGTCTCCTTCTCACTGGGTGCAACATACTCAGCCATCTTGTCGGCCTTGCGCTTCTGCAGCACCTGGAGTTTTTTTTTCGTGCTTCTTCTGATTTTTAATCGCTTTCCGTTCGTGCTCTTTCATAAAGTACTCGCCACTCTCAATCTCCTTGTCCATCTTGCTGGCCGTAGGCGCTGGCGGGAACGGCGTGTACTCTCTCTTCTCACGTACCTTCTTGGGCTTCTTTGTCTGCACATTCTGCTTCTTAAACGACGGCAAAAAGCGCTCCCAATTCTCATCTTTAAGCTTGGGATCCTTCGCCAACTCACGCTTAATCATAAGACGCTTCACGTTGTAAATCGGGTGCACGTTTGCAAAACAGTCCTCAACAATCTTGCGGACACTGCGGAGACCATGGTAGCTACCCATAGCTGAGACTGTATTACCTTGTACAAGCACGTAACAGTCAGTGAGAAGTTCAATGGCCTTAAGCGTGGCTCCATCAGGACCCACGAGACGCTGGCGACGCTTCACAAAGCGTTCTTTGTTGCGTACAAGGCCTCCAATCTTGATAATATCGCACTGAACGTCATCATCCATGATCTTCACGGCCTGATTCACAGGTATACTGCGTGCCAGTAACTTTATTAGGTCGCGCGCCTTAAGTACAATATATGGGTCCGTAGTTTTGCGCGTCGTGCGCACTGTCATGCTACCTTCGACCAGATTAAGCTCACATGAGATCTTATGAGCATCAAGTGCCTTAGTGACGATAGGCCACACCTCACGTAAGTATTTCTCACGGTACTTAGGAAACAGCGTGGCAAATGAACTCTCCTCCAACAGACCTGGCATTTTAATCTTCTTTTCAGTATTCTTCTCATCATACACCTCGTCCTGCCATGGTTCAATTTTCCAGTGGTCAATATCTTCACTATCCCACGGTTTCTCCTTGCGGTGCGTCTTCTTCTCGTCGCGAGACTCTGCTTCCAAATGGTTGCGTGGAGCGTCACCGTCAAATTGCTCCATGGTCAAGTATATACAAGTGGTGCACCCGCCAGCCAAAATTTATCTAAACTAACCGGTTTTCTGCCGTAAATACCGCTTTGAGATAAAAATTTACAAACTTTTTCCTTAGATCGGTTAAATAGGTAATTTAGCAAAAAGTCAGTTAGACATTTTTTATCAATTCTAACAAGCGATTTCTATCCTCAGAGTTGGTCAATTTTTTGTCCGTGTTGAGAGACTACACACAGTAGTTTGATTAACACAAGAGCTAAAATGTGATAGTACTTTTAGTCGCTTATCTTGCTACTCGGCTGATTGGCAATACCGTTATAACTTTAGTCCGGTTGCGGTAACATAATCCAAGCGGTAATCACAACAGATTCTTGTTAATTTGATTGGGTAATATATGTTGGGAATCAAAACGAGGCTATGTGCCCATCATAAAAGCGCTTAAAGATGACAAAAAGGATGGAATTTTCTAGTTCCAATTCTTGTGCTATTATTAAAGCTTCTAGTTTAATTGATGACTGCGACAACATATTGCATAATGCATAGATAGGAGATCAGCAGCACAAGGTGGTGTCTTCAACCAAGCGCCCATAAGGGCAAGGTGCAAAGAACCTGCTTGTCATGTGGCGCACATCATGCGGAGTGGGACGTTTCGTGCTAAGAGCAGCCCTTCGCTCCCTCTACTCTCAATCCATCGCGATGGCAGACACGCAGACAGCGATCCCAATGGGTTCATTTGATTCTGACAATGAGGAGCCTGAAGAAGAGGATACGTGCAGACATATCGTAACTAGCGGTATAAGCGGTGCTCTGATCGTCAAGTCATCACCACTTCAAATGCCCGTGGCGGTCGATGCTGGTATGTCGAAGCAACACCCGACCAATGCCGAGCTCGTGTACCCGTGGCAGCACAAAAATTTAAGTGCAGTTAGTATCATTAGTGAGCCGTCTATGACGATGTCGACGGCGCTCTTACCTAGCAGCCTACCAAACATGAAGAATAACGTGTGCTGTGGAGTGAATTCGCCACTAGGGTATGGCACCAACGTAGAGATGCAGCGCAGACATTCAATTTTGCGCATGAGCGCGAACAAGACTTGTAGTAGCCACGGGTTAAGGAAAAGTGCATCCGTGGAGTTTGAATTCGACCACACACGTCAGCAGGCAATGCATAGTATTTATGCTAGTACGTCCTCTGTGGGACGAGAGCCACGGTGCGTTATTGGAAATTGTTGAGTCGATGGATGCCAAGTGTTCTAATAATCGTGTGAATCTGCGTTGTCATACTTATGCACAGGCGTTTAACATTTGAAGAGAAAGCAGAGCTATACCGGATTCGCCCTGATCTAGAAATCGGTCCATTTCCTTTTTATTACGAAAAAGTTGCCGAGCTGAAGCGCAGGAATCGGCGGCGCATCGTTTTTGCCATGTTTGGTGGCATGATCTCGCTTGTGTTGCTACTCCTCTTTTTTTCCATGTGGGAGTACAACGATTGAGCCTTCGTAGGGTGTATGTCCGACGCGTGCTTTAATAATTGCAACAGGTCTGGTCCAATAGATCTGGCAGTCAACACTTACTCTACAAATGCGCCTCCACGGAAGATAGCGGATAGTTATATATACAAAGGTCGTGTCACTTTTGCTGAAGGCTACGATCGGATCATAATGATGTGGCGTGCTGTACGAAGGAGCTTGTGCAACTACCTACCTGGCTACATCTTTGGCTGATCTCCCAAGTATACATTTATCATACAAACAAGTGTATACTTTTTTTATAGTTACTTTACCACGTGGAACATTAAACTATATGTCGTGGTTTTTTATTGTTTACGTCAGCCGCAATGCCCGGACGAACGATAAAATGGTTACATCTACTATCCGACAATAGAGTGTAAGACCCAACAAATAATTCCATCCTTATTTTCGACCATACACCACTTCCAATTGCTTCGTCAGAGTAATCAAGTCGTTCGCCTCGTTCCATTATGCGTCTCATCACACATAATCTGCTTATGTGCAACAAGAAAGGTGTTGAAAATGGTTATCCTCTTAGCATTGAGGCAGAAACGATTGAAGTGGTACCCTGTGACTTTCAAGCTGCCTTCGTGCGCAAGATGTTGACCAAGTTAGACTGGAATGCATTCCTCGCTGGTGCCAAGGATTTAAAGCTTACGGAAGGTCTTCCGGAGACGCTTCCCAGCTCTGAGGAAGGAGAGACGGACGAAGAGACTTTGCTTAAGATTCACCACGCTCTGTTGGAGGTTCATGTGAAGCAAGGTAAGCTCGTGTGCCCCGAGTCTGGCCGTGCTTTCCCCATCATCGACGGTATCCCCAACATGCTGTTGAACGAAGACGAGGTTTAGAAATGGAACATGAAAGCAAATAATTGATAGATAGATGGTCGAATACAAACGTCGTTATCTTTATGCACTGTAAACAAAATCCGATTAATTATCTCACGCAGATTGTAGTGTAGGACTCCTTAGATTGTTTCAAGAAACACAAAGTTACCGAATGCAAGCCGCGTTTTAAATGACCAAATCTGCAGGCTTTTTAAAATAGTCCCTACTCTTCTTGGAGTTATTGCTGCTAGCAGTGACAAAAGAATGATGTGAGTTGTACTAGATAGTGATAGAAGGCGACAAAATAACAACGCACCAGTCGTTCTCATCGTCATCGTTGTATTCGTCCTTGTCCAAAGACCCTAACTGTGACACCACTGCCTTTATCCATTGAATACGCATCTCAAAATCGCCTTCCTTTTGGTCAGCAATAGCAAAGCCCACCTGTTACCACCAATACCCAAAACAATCATATTTACTTCAAAACACTTCACAATTAGTAAGATAGGGGTGTTCTATGTCTTACACTTTTCAGCTTAGACGGATCAAGCTCTGTTTCGTCGTCAATCTTTACATAGCCCTTAGCTGTTAGCAAGAAGTCACGAAATGGCAGCTACATTGTTTCACATGCTCAGTGCTAGTCGTGAGGTACAAAATAAAAATGGCAGCGATAACGTTGAGCGAGCGAGCACGCACATTAACATCTACCCACTCATTCGGCGGCGTGCGGATAAAACCCTAAATCAATATAGCACCATATAGTTACGTCTTATCAACGTTTGCATAGCAAAACGATCTTTTTGCGTACCATATACAAGTTAAATGGGTTCCAACTCTCCATTTGCACATTCATGCGGTACTCGCGGCCATCCGTCATAACTCGCATTGCAATCCCTTCGTAGCCGTGCAACAGCAGCTCCGGCGGAACAGAAGCCCGCACCGCGCAGTAGCCGCTTCGAATCACACCCACTTCCGTTGGTTGGCAATCCATACTCAACCTTCCAGCAAATACCGCTAGCACACAACAGATACAAATTAGATAAACGTGCAAATAGAACAAGGATACTTGGCCCTCCCAGCTTACCAGATGAGACATTGTCCTGATTGTTCACTTTATGAATAAGCTGCACCGATGCTTTTTCCTCTTCTTCTCTTTTTTTCTTTTCTGCTACACCGCTATAATATCCCCACCGGCACTCCGATAGTCCTGCAAACAATACAACAAACATATTATTCGTCTCCACTGTCCAAAGACATGTCCAATACAGGCTGTTTTTTTCACGTCATCTGCAGTGCAGTATCGACAACATTTTGCCATACCTCCAATTGATCGATCACTAGATGCGGTCCAGTTAGCTACTGAATCCTTTGCATTAAACAGAAAAATATCCTTTTCCGGCTGCAGTTTGAGCTGGAGACCGAGTGCTGTTAAAACGCAGCACAATCAGACCATAAGATGGGTCTACATTCAGAACATACATACAATCTAATCAGTTGTATTTTATCATGTACTTGTCGTACATTGCTTCGAACTCAGGAGCGTCGCATTCATAGACGTTAATGCTTTGCGCCATAACCCCATACTGATTGACCAGCTCTTTTTAAAAACCTAAGGTCTAAAATGATGAGACTCACTAGTATTTTAGTCAAGTAATTAGCACCATACTTTAAACCAATCAACCAAGATTTTATCCTTACAAAATATCCAATTTTGTACCATTAATCCATTTGTCTGTCATGAGTCTCCTCCATCTACCCAAACACCATTGGGGTACTCGGGGTATGAATGCGTATGAGAAACTCGAGTGTATTGGTGCTGGAACCTATGGGTACGTTATTCGACTACTTCTCCTAATTCGAAGGGGAAGAGTTTGAAAAATGTTTCAATAAGTTATTCGTTGTAGCTACTTCTTATCGATTGTTTGTGTCGATAGCCAAGTATACATGGCAAAAGATAAAGAAACAGGAGAAGTGGTTGCTATTAAGAAGATTCGAAGCTTGAATGAAGTGCAGGGCGTGAGTTTGCTTTGCATTCTTTTGTAGATTCTTTGTACGAAATTGTAACGTGTGTTTTTTATATTCTGCTGTAGCTACCGGTAACTACAATTCGTGAGATTAAAGTGCTCAAGTGTTTAAATCATCCAAACTTGGTTGAGCTCAAAGAAGTCGTAGTCTCGTCAGAGAATGATGATGATGACGGTGAGATAAGTGCTTGTACAGAAGCAGCGAGATGAGGACAAGACTAACGCTGTATGTGGATAATAGCTGAGTTCACGGACATGGAGGAGCCTCTAGACTACTGCCACGGATCGATCTACTTGGTGCTGGAGTATATTGAACATGACTTGACAGGTCTTATAGACCGACAGCATCAGTGCGTTACTCAGCTGGCATAATAAACCTCATCAACTTTTAAAACTTATTGAAGGCTCTTTGGTGGCAGGTTTAACGATACGGAAATCAAGTGCTTAATGAAGCAGTTGCTGGACGTCATGGAGTATATGCACTCTATTGACATCATTCATCGGTATATGGTTGCGCTGGCTGCAATAATGACAAAGTTTGCTGATTGTTTTTTCCTTGTGCGAACAGAGACATCAAGTGCTCAAACCTTTTGATGACACGAGATCATTTGCTTAAGGTAGCAGATTTTGGTCTAGCTCGTTCCTTGCGCGGAGATCAGTTTTTTACAAACAAAGTTGTCACGCTATGGTATCGGCCCCCAGAGTTGCTACTTGGTGCCACAAGCTACGATGCTAGCATTGATATGTGGAGTGTGGGGTGCGTATTTGCCGAGCTGTACATAGGACATCCTATCTTCCAAGGCAAGACGGAGCTCGAGCAAATTACTAAGATTTTCGACATCTGTGGAACCCCAACAACCGAGTCGTGGCCCGACTACAAGTTTTTGGCGCACAGTAGCACATTTGTCCCAGAGAAAGCCAAGCCGAAACGGTTGCGCGAGTACTTAATACGCGAGGCTACCGCGCGAAAAAGGATTTTGCCGAAAGGTGCTCTTGAGTTGATTGAGGCTCTCCTTGTGCTAGATCCGGAGCAGCGATTGAGAGCCTCAGACTGTCTTAGCGCGCAATATTTTAACGTACGCCCATACCCTCCTGACGACCCAAAGAAGCTGTCTCCTATTACAAACCTTCCACCGTCACACGAGTACCAGACAAAGAAGATCCGCCGTGAACAGGCAAAGCAGATGAACGGTGGAGGTGCAAACAATCACAGTAACAGCAATGCCGGAACTGGAGGCGGGCGTGGATCACGCCCGATCAGTCCACCCGGGGCTAGTAGTGGAGGTCGATCAAGACAGAGCGCCTCGAAAGATGTCGTTGACGTGTGTGTGAAAACAGAGGTTAAGAAGGAAGACTCGTCGTCTGCAGCCAAAAAAGAGGCGACGTGTGGCTTGAGTCGGTTGTGGAAAGTGCAGCACATTAGTGAACAGGATGGGCAAACGATTGTCAATTTGTATCAGGGTTACCAGGTCACGGTCAAAGGTAATGGCTTGTCAATTCGTAGTGCATTGAATATACGCGAAAAGGCGCAGGGCTCATTGCGCCGGAAGGGAAAGGAATGTGCAACTATCATCAATGTGTGAGTTAGCTGAGTCTGAGACGACAATGGCGGTAAAGCTTTCTTCAGATGAGACATAGCAGGCCAAACGAAAGAAGTCAGCTCGACTTTTTCGGCTGTAGAGAAAGCAGAAGCCAGCATCACCGACTTTTTGTCCTTACCTGCGGTAGTAACAATAATATGCAGGTCTTGGCGATGCTGTTTGCCTCCTGTGGGACGCAAGTTGAAGGATATACAAACAGGTTTAGCTGCTGTGATGCATTGCTGCTGGGATATGGGGTATGTACACCTCTGTGTCACTCCTGGAGGCCATTACATGTAAAATTTCTGTCTGATGGACGATTAAGAATCAAGACGAGTTTTGACTTGCTACTATACGCTTCCAGCATTTCGATATCGATTCTACCAACGAAACACAAACTCGTTTTCAATTGATCTCTTGGGCTATCAATCGTGCATGTGACACTTTATCAGCTGTATTCTAAATTTGTACCAAATCTTTGAGCTATTTCATTTCATTTGCATGCGTGCTAATGGGTACGTCTGTGCATAAGAGAGTGGCGTCCCAAGGTCACCTTCACACAACAGTCATGTCTGTTTATGGTCGCTGCACCCTGTCTCTTGTTCATATTATTTTAATAGCTCCCATCCGCTTTTATAAGTGTTTTTAATAAAGTTTTATCAAGTTTAAAATCCGAAACGTTTTAAAACCACATGATAAAAGCATTTTTGTACGTCAACAGAAATTAAAACCATTTCCTTCTTTTGACGCAGCCATCAAGAGATGTGGAAGCTCCTGGAACAAGCGGCCAAGAACGCATCGATTAATGCTTCAAGCTACGTACTATCAGTGCATGAGAAGGCTCAGACTCTTGCTGCTGCTGTACAGGATGAAGCCTCGGCGTTATTGAGCAATGCCATGGGCTCTGCTCGCTCTGGACCGGTGGATGAGATTTTGTTCGAGGAAGTGGCAGACTATCAGCAGTTCTTGAGCTTTTTTTCGATTGAGGAACATAAACACGAGATCAAGCGAGCATTGGATGAAGATGCGGACATTTGCGCGCTGCACGATACCATCGTCCCGCTAGAATTGAGCTATGACGAGTTCTGGTGTCGCTACTTCTTCCGGCAGCAGCAGGCAGAGCAGCGCGAAAAGATAGGACAGAAGCAAGACGTAGTAGACACTAAAAAATCTCCAGAGGAAAATAGAGAGAAGGAGTACAGCGGTGACGAGGCTCTTAATGGAGATTACGAACATAGACCGCAGGACATGCAGCTGTCTCGAGAGAAGGCAGACTGTGAGGACCAAGAAGGACTTTGGATTTTGAAAGCAGCAAGAGATGCAGAACGACGAGCAGCCACGCAGTGGCGACAAAAGGCGAGAGATTTGCACCACCAAGTGCACGAAATAAAGCTGAGCTACGATGAAAAGGAGCAGAAAGCGGTGCAAGAATGGGAAAAACAGCTGCAAACACTATGTGATCGTTATGAGACCAAGATGGCTGCATTAACCTTGCAGATTAGTGAAGCACGGGCGGCAGGGTATGGTGAAGGAATTCGTGAGAGTCAGGCCGCTTTGGAAGGTGTACAGCAGAAAGCGAAAGAGGATACGACGCGACTCCGTTGTGAGATTTGTGAGGGTGTGTTTGGTGCTTCGGTAGAAGAAAGAATAGCTACTTTGACGAAAGAGAAGGAGAATTTGCAAAAAAAGCTTATAATTGCTCGTGAACAGATAGTTGAGCTAGAGAAGCGAGGTGGCATACCGGCTGAGAAGGCTGGAGATACAGCTTATGCGGAGCTGACTAAGGAGAAGGATTTGTGGCGTATAAAGGCACTAAAAATGAAGAAGCTCAAGGACTTTGTGCATGCCGAACTAACAACGCTACGTCAGCAACGTGATGCACCTGCTGGCTCTGATTCTCTCGCAAGTGGTATTCAATCCACAAACTCGGACGATCACAGAAAACTCCAGACTCGCATGGATGAGCTGCAAACTCAGCTAGCAACTGCGCTGGTTGGTTCTGAAGCTCAAGCTCGTGAAGCTTATGAAAAGGGTATTGAGACAGGCAAGGCAGAAGCAGATCAACGAGCAAAGAGAGAGCGCGACGTAGCATATCAGGAGGGATACAAGAAGGCGCAAGCTGATGTCAAGAGTGAAATGGGTGTGCTAAAGGCTGAGCTTCAAATGTTTCGTGCATTCCATGAGAGTGCAGCTCACTGCGCTGATCACGTTGATGAAAACATAGAAGATCTTTTAGATGGTTCTCTGGACGACATCTCGCTGGCTGAGGGGCAAGCACTGTGTTCACCGACATCATCTGTTTCAATATTTACTGATAACGGTAAGAACGACTTCTCCTGTGAGTCCACGAACGACTGGGGTGAGTGGTAATCGCGTCGCTTTTAGCAGTTTTGAATACGCAGAGTGGAAGCAACCTTGCCTCTGTGTGTTTCTTGAAGGTCCTGATCATTTGCATCTTGTTCATCTCATACTTTACCGATTATTATCGTACCACTAGCGCGCGTGCGTGTTGCATTGCATCTTGTGTTTGCTTGTTACCATCATCGCAAGTCCAGTATGATCCGCTTGATAGGTGACAGCAAGGGCTACGTAACCTTATTAATCAAAGCATAATGTTGCGTGTGGGACTGTTGTTATATTAACTATGACTCATTCTTAACTGGTATACTATCAATGCTGTGAGTTCTTTGAAGCACGTGTTGTTTGCAGAAGAGCCATCAAATGGTATAGGAAATTCAAGTGTATTCCTGGCAAAAAAGCAATCTTAGGGATGATGTGGTACGAAGGTTGTTTCAAACAAAGACAATCATTCTAACTCAACCCCGTAACATTTACAAGGGGGTCAACTTTGGAGCTATGGGCAAGAAAAAGCGACGCGATGACGGTGGTGTGGACAGTGAAGCTCCACAGCGACGTATCTTCTGTTATTACTGTGATCGTAATTTTGACGATGAAAAGGTGCTGATTCTGCATCAAAAGGCTCGACACTTCAAGTGCCCTACATGTTATAAAAAGCTCAGTACTATTAGTGGAATGATTATCCACATGCAGCAGGTGCATAAAGAAAGTCTAACGAGTATTCCAAATGCCAAAGCTGGAAGAGAAAGTGCTGAAGTAGAAGTCTATGGTATGGAAGGTATACCAGGTGAGTGTTTAATTTCCTATCGTCTATTTGTAACTGAAGAAGGCTTAGAAACGAGGCAAAGAAATGATCTTATTGTTGACTATTCTATTCTTTTTCTTCTGATTCTTTTTTCGATGCAGATGCTGACGGAGGAACTACAAAAAAGCCAAGGATGGATGGTGGATCTGGTCCAACTATAGGAGGTTACCCTGGTCGAGGCATGCCGCCACCACTGTTTATTAGCGGTAGAGGGCCGATGCAGTTTCCAAGCGGAATGGCATCTCCTGGTGTCATTCTGCCAATGCGGCCTCCTCCACCAAGAGTATATGCTCCCGGTGGAGTTGTTCCACCTCCTCACCTGCAAGGATACATGCCGTATCATGGTGGAATGCCGCCGCAATGGGCAAGGGGCCAACCGCCACCAGGTACAATGGCCCCTCCTTCTTCTCAAGCTGCTCTTGGTTATCCAAACCAAGGCTCGGCATTGTCTGGAGTAGGAAGTGTGACAACCCCTCAGGGTGCGACAGTCAGCAATAGGAACCTATTCGATGGAGTAGCGCAGAAGGCGGTCAAAAACGATCTTGGCCTGGTGTATGCGGACGAAAACGAATCGATGGTATGTTGATAATGTATACTTGTTCTCGCATGTCTGTTGCTAAGCTCCTGATTTGTTTTGTAACAGGAGGAAAAGCGTGCACTTCGACCAAAGTATGCGTACAAATTACTGAGTGAAACCGGATCGGCGTGAAACGAGCGCGATTTCTCGGACGAAAACAGCTGAGCCGCTATGATGAGGCTAAAGACAAGCGCATTTCTCGGACGAAACAGCTGAGCCACTGATGAAGGGTTCATCCCTCGCCAGCAGAAGGCGTAAGGCCAATATTCCAGTGGATGGATGGTACGGTCTGTTTTCGGTTTTGGATGATCGAGGGATTAAAGAAACATTGACTTTCCTTACTTACTTACTACCGGTAGTTGTTGATGGTTGGTCCCCACTGCTGATACACCACTCAAAGGGAATCACATTTGGAAGCGCCACTATGTGAGTTATACGTTACAGTTATGTAGAACCTACTTCTTATTTGGTGTTAAATTTGTTGTCGCGAGACAGATAGATTGATACGTGACAATTTGTCAGGACGGCAGGACTCGTTTACAGGTCTGGGTAGCCGCCGTATTTGGAGCAGTAACTCTTGAAGGACGCGGACGCCGGACTTTGAGCTTGCTCCAGATCATCCCGCAGCTCATTGTTGTCAATGACCGCAGTATTACCAACTTGTACGTCTGACCTCTGGATACCCTGGCTCTGCCTCATCTTTGCTCCAGGCGCGGTGATATCCATTTTACATGGCCGAGGACTTCCATACGCACTACTTGTGCTACTGGTGAATGAAGACGCCGATTGAGGAGGAGCCTGATGGTTGTTCTTTTTACATGTCTTTTCGGGTACAGTCGAAGCGAGGGCACCACTACCCATAGACTGGAAAGCCACGAGGTCAAATGCTCTTCTCGAGCTGTATCCACTATTGTCCCCAGACGCATTGCCGATGCTACCAACAGACTTGCTTCCATTTCTTGAATGACTTGGTGAATTATTGCGGCTCATGCAGTCACTGTTTGCGGAAAAGAAACGAGGCCCACTATCCACACGCCGAACATTGTTGAATACTGGTGAGTCATAGATGCGGAGAAATACGTTAGTCGGAGAGCCCACGGCGTCTTGCTGGTCCGAGAGTGGGTTTGGCAAGTCACACGGACTAGCGGGACCAAGCGGTGGTGTCACAGACGAAGGTAGTTGACTTCCTCTTTCCGTGTAGTGACTCTTCAGAAATGTACGACGCATGATTCTTGTGTGCGTCTTCACATCTTCCTGAGTCACGTTGCGATGGTTCCCCGCTTCGCCACCATTGCTTGCATTTAGGTCTACGAAAATACCCGTAAGGCTCATGACTAACACGAGACTTGGCATCGTGAGTGGAGTAATGACGAGGAGCGACAGAGCTGGAAAAACTATCATGAGAGTCAAAAATGCCGATCCACCACCATCGGAAGCTGATGAATCTGCCATACTGGGAATCTCCACAAGTGAAAGCCATACCAAATAGAAGGCTTGTCCAATCGTAGCAAACTGAAAGAATCGCAGCAAAAATTTGGGACTGTTAAACCAAAACCGATCATCATGGTAGTGAAGCTGTCGATGACAAAGCGCGGACATCTGCATGCGAATTACAGCGCGGACAGCGAGCGCAGCCGCCTTGAACCTCTTTGGTGCCTTTTTGTGACGATTGTGCAGAGTATTTGGGCCATTTTCTTCAAAATGGTTGAAATCTTCCGCAATAGATGCTTCAACTGATACTGGCAAAGAGCCGGAAGCGGAGATATTATGATGCTGATGTTCGGACCCTTGATCGTGACTTTGCGAGTTCTTAAGTGCTTTCGCGAGTCGCGTCTGAATGTCTCGCATAGAGATGATCCGAAGGCGGTCGTCTACGATACCACGTAGAATTTTCAGCACCTTAAAGAAAATGACAACGTTTAGAAGCAAAAGTAGACCCCCCACGCCAATGGAGATCCAATGATCTTGGTCAGGAAAGATAGACGGCAGCAGACAAATAATAATGAGGATCAGGAACGCAATTGGGGGGATGTTCGTCACATGGAGTAACAAGTTGCGCATGCACAGCACGTGATATTTGGCATAAGTCATGCCGTTGCCATTGTCTTCGTCATTGGCACCATTTTCTCCTTGAGTGCGAGCGGCGTCTTGAAAACCAAGAAAGCGAGTCGGCCGGACACCAAATAGTCGCTCCATTTCAAGAGGGTTTTTGTAGATGTAGCCGCTCCTGTGCTGGCAGATGTTGTACGCAAGGATCTCAAAACTTTTCCACAGGTTCCACTGCTTGCGAATGTTAAAGTGAAAGCACCAACCTTCGCGATGATACCGCTGAAGCAATAGGCTGTACGCTCGAGAACCCATAACAAGGTCCATGCCAGACAGTGCTCTCGCCCTGATAGCCATGGAACGGTAAACGCCATCCCCGTCAGAACATTGCCGCGTTCGCGTTGTCACGTAATAGTCGCCAGCCGGTGTATCGAGTGTGTGATATGCGTCATCGACGATACTGCTGCCCATAGTGTGAGGGAGGAGGTCGCGGTTTAGCGAAGACGCGTCTCGAATGAAAGAGTGACGCATGCGGTTTTTATTGCCACCGTAGTCACTGCTACTTCCAGTAAAACTCGGAAACTGCGATTGATAAGCGCCTTCGTTGTGAATGTCGCTAATGCTGTCTCGACGCTGGTCTGAGTGATTCTGGATCTCCCAAACAAGCTTCGGTACGACTGTTCCGATAAAAAGCAGCAACAAGACAATAAAGATGAAGTAAATCATTGTAAGAAACACGATATAGTGGAAGAACTCGTAAAAATGAAGCTTTTCCGAGGCCGTAAGGTTGTCAAGAGCGAGCGACATCATGGCGCCACTCGTATTGAGAATAAAAATCACCATGGATAGAAACCCCATGATCATCACTTCTTCAAAGATGCGATTAACAATCTTACGAAGTTGTGGACACTTGATAGCGGCACGAATGTAGTGATTAAGTCGGTCCACTCCGATGGATACTGCGACAATAACTGCCAGGAGGAACACGGCTGTCCAAAGGTTCTCGTGTAGACAATTCGTGTTGCCCACACCCAGGAAAGACGCTGGATTGTTACAAACGTTGCTACCAACTTCGTAAGCTCCACCTGCCAATAGACGCACCACGTTATTGTTGATGTTTATCGAAGCTTCAGGACTTTGACGGAGTGGAGAAGTAGCAGCAGCTACAGCCAAAGTCTTGCCATTAAAATTATTTAAGCTGAAAAGTAAAGCTGTAAGCAGTACCAAGGGTCTAATAGAAATGCAAGGGCTGATTGCATGAGCTCGTCGCCACCCGATTCTATCTGAAGTAAGCCGATGCAAGTGAAAAGTCATTACGTGCTATTGTTCGTATTTTTGTTAGAAGATTACTGGACGAAGTCAAAAGCAAAAGTGGAGACATATTGAATCTGCTATTTGTTACTTATTCATTCCAGCTGTCAGACACGCAATTGCGGTCGACAACGGCACGTTGCGCCTCTCTTTTTTACCCCGTAGACCTACAAACTGAATTAAGACGCCAATGAAAATCGAAGCTGCCAATCGGACAAATGTCGTATTGCTTACAAGATGGGAAAAATATTCTAACATTACAGGTGTTGAGTCTCTTGCCGCTCAAATGAGCTGATAAAGGACTGGCGCGATTGCTCAGCAGGCATGGATGGACACATGATTTGAACTAAAGAGTCCAACACAAATCCTGCAGTCACTTTAATAACGATTAGGTACAAGTGAGAAAAGAACTTGTACAAAGTGTATGTCAATCCAAAAAGCAAGATTAGACCTCATCAGTCTTTTGACACAAAGATGATCTTGCATTTGAAAGTAGAATGGTAATCCAGCCAGCTGACATATTGCATCTTGTGTCTACTTATGGAGCCGGTAGAATGTACGTACCTAAATACTCTGCTTACCACATAACTAGCTGGAAAGAAACGCTCAACACAGAGAAGGTAAGCAAAAAAGACGACTATATTAGCCGCTAGTTTTAATATTCTAATGCAAGCGAAACACGACGGGACCACTACATCTCAATCTGCAATGAGTATTGGGGCAAATGGCTTTGTTGCTGAGACGTCATGAGGCTTTTACATGATTTTGATGGATGATGTGTTTCAATCAGCTTGACTACTAAGATGATTATAATTTGGCTGCTTATTTGGTGCGACGGAGCGTCACTAGCAAAGTACTCATCCGGCGATTCGCACGGCCGCAACTTCACTGTTGACTGCTCGACTGCCTCCTCCTTCAATTTTGAGAATTATTGACAAGCGCACCTTCCATGGATCAATGATTTTTGCAGCCAGATACACAGCGCTCTTTACGATGCATTGTTCCTACAGGGTTGTACTCTTTTATCCGTTTTGGTACTGATACCGGGTGGCTTTGTGCGCGGTGTCGGGAAGCACGCTGGCGACGGCATTGAACTCGACCACAAGAAGAAGTTCAACGAAAGACAAAAACCCGCTAAGTACTAAGAATACATATGTTTACCTATGAGAAGGCTACAGAGCCGATAAATAGTGACTAGTACTAAGTATAGAGTAGGTGCTTCTATATTTAGTGCTAGGCGATAGCATTATATAAACCAGTTTTAATCCTAGCATTTGATGCTAGAGCCTTAGTCCTTGTAAGGAAATTAGTATCAGAGGATACTGGTTGTTGTAACCAAAAAAGCACAAGCTTGTAAAGGTAGCATCGAAAGGTTTTTTGACCTTGATGTGTAACGCTCCTAAAGCTTGTCTTCCTCTGCACCTAGTGCATAAGTAGGTTTGCTATAGTAGCTCTGCTACAAAAATGGTGTAGATGAAATTGTTGGGCAACGCGGCTGAGGTTGTCGTCTACACCATCAACCTACATGACACGATAAAGTAGTTGTGAAAGCACACCTTCCGCGCGTTTTATTTCTTACACCACCAATTACCGATCTACTAGAGGAAAATAAAGCTCGTTCAGTTTATGTTGAAGTCAGTATGTTGCTCTATCTAGAGTTGCTATAACGATGCGTCAAAGTTGCCCAATAAAATAAGCATCTATTTCAGTTCATTCTCGCAATAGAAGTTTAGCAGAAAGTCTTCTTTGACGGCATGAAAGACCCGTTTTTCGGCGAGGTACGGGATTCTCAGTGCCATGACCGCACATCCACACCTTTAATGAATCTTGTTGGTGCTCACACGTTTTTCTGTCTTAAATTCTCCAGGATGACGGCGAATTTGACGACTTATACGGAAATCTTCCTTCGTCGGCGTCTTTCCCCACTGTGAGGCAGAAACCGCGCAATAATGAGATGATAGAGGGCAAGCCAATTACGCCAAGTGGCATGATATTTGAGAGGAATTCCATGACGTCCAGCAGCGTCGTTTCGGGGTCCTGTGTGCATGACCGACTAGGCTCTACTATCAACAACACGACGGAGTTTGCAGCTTTTGGAAAGCAGGAAAAGCGACGCAACAATCGCGGAAAACCTGTTCACAAAAGAAGTCAAGAGATTTTTGACGTGCAGTGGGAGTCAGATGTTAAGGTGGTGAAGTGCGGTCTTTGCAAGTCGGACTTTTCGCTCGTGCGACGTAGACACCACTGTCGTCATTGTGGGCGTATCATGTGTTCGGACTGCTCGTCCTTTTTGTACTTTGAGCTGTCGCGACGGAAGCACAGAGTTTGTTCTACTTGCAAATTGCATCTTCTAACGGAACAAGAAGCTTACGATCGTGAAACGACGAGAGCAGGTGACCCACCGACTAATTTGTTTGTAGACTCGAGTAATGTTGGACCACCGGCGTCATCGTCTCTTGGACTGCCAGCATCACCAACGCGTACTAAGGATAACTTGAAGGCAAGAAAGAAACAGGCAGATATTTCACGCAAAGAACAGAAATGTAAAGAAAAGTTACGGACGCAAAGAGGAGTTGCAACGGGTCCAATAACTCCAACAACTACTCGGAATCAATCATTTTGTGACGTAAACCAGTCGACAGTAAATGATGCGGCAATATTTGATAGTGAGGACGATGGTTGGTTTACCGATGTGCCCGATCAACAGACGCACTCTCGGAATAGTGTTGAAGTCTACAGTGAGGATGCTGATTTAAAAGAACCCGGCTGGAGAGATCGCATTAAAGATACATACACAATTACGCCTGCAATCAAGCAAACGTTAGCTTTTACACCAACGACTGACAACTTGCCGGCGGTGGGGTTCACACCAAGCGACGATATCTCAGACCAGTTTCAATATGATGTCAGCAAGTCGGGTTGTGTTTACGATGATGAAATCTCTGCTGACATGCCACGACCAAAGCAACAGACCGCAACATTAACAAATATTGATCGTGGCGTAAGGGCCAATGGGCTATCGGGAAATGGCTACTTTTCCGATCAGTTTCAGTATAATGATGTAGATGGTCCAGGGCTTGGTCACGACGATGATCACTCAGTTGGTATGCCCCGACCAAAGCAGCAATTAACGACCACACGATACAGTTACAACAGTACGAGACATAAGCAAAATCAGTTGGACTTCAATTTTACAGACAAAAATACGGCCCATGAGCAGGGCTTGCAGGCGCGATCCACCTTAACTGATTTCTTTAGCGCAACGAAGCGCTGGGAATCGACAGCAAAAATGGAAAAAAATGAAGCGTCCACCAATTCCCATATTCAAGAAAATCAAAACCTGACGCTGAATGGAGTAAACTCGTTGTACTCGCCACAAAATGGACCTCGCATGCCTGCACCGACCGTTACTAGCTTGAGTCCTGGCCGGCTGACATTTTACGGCCAAGATGCAGATGAGTTAGTTGTTGACGACTCCCCTGGATATTTTGAGGCAACGATGGAGAAGCGGGAAGCGCATCACAAAAAAGAAGAGGAACACAACGAACAACTTGCCCGTGATATGGCATGGGCAAATAGCTCGCCGCAGCCAACCGTTATACGACCAAATCGCTCTTCGAGTGATCAAGATTCTTACAGTATTGTTGACCTTCCATCTCATACTTCAGACTCTTCTATTAGACACCAAAGAGGTGACGTGAATGGCACCTCAACAAATGAAAAAAAGGCAAAAAGCGGCTTCACTGGTGTGCTAAAGCGCTTTTTTAAGATGGGGTCAAAAAAATCAAGCGAACTTCCGCAGTCTAGTGCTACTGCTAGACAACCAGAAAAGGATATTGCTGATAACTACACTGCACCTGTGTCAGGTGCCAGTCACCGCGACCGCGCCATTACGACAGATTCAGTATCTGGTGGATTGCTAAGGCACACGGTCGTGAAATATGATGGTAATAATCGAGAAGAGTTAGTTCGTCAAGAGAACTCCAGATACACTATGGCTCCTCACGTCGATTTGAATCCTGGCATGGGGACCTTATTACCTTCACAGGTTGGTGGGGTGAAGCAACATGAGAAACAGGAGTTGGATCGTAAACATCGAGGGACGTTTGATGAACTTTTCATGTCGCCCAAAGACACCTTAGCCATTGACGACTTTTCAGTAGGTGAAAGTGGATGGGGTGCTCGTGTGGAAGTGAACGCAAATGTTGGTCGAGAGCGGTTAGGTGCAACTGGCGTTGCTCGTTTTGACCAAAAAAGACCTATCAACGAAGCCGGTGAATTTGTGCTTGGGTACGAACCTCAACTTATTATTCCATCGAGTCAGTCTGCTACTGATTCTACTGAAGCATGGAGGGAATCTGCAGTCTTGTCATTGCTAAATGATAAACAAGCTGCAACTCAACCAGAAGAATCTGTTTTGACCTGGAGTAATATAAGACCAGCCTCTGGGCTTGGAACGGCAACATACGCTGTGCCGACGAGCCTTCAGTCTCGTGCAGTCAACGGCGATATTATCGGGACGTCTACTCAAAACGAGACTTTGGCAACGCTTGGCAGTATCATAAATGGCTTGAAGTATGGTTCAGCCTCGAAAAAGTTGCAAGGCCAGGAATCGATTGATGATTTTTTTGCCGAGTTTGAAGAAAACAACGACTACGTTTTCGACGCTGTCACGGGTGGCTACGTGGCAGCTCGAATTCCACCACCTACAAGTATGAAGCAGTTAGAGTCAATAGAGTTGCTAGTACCAGCGAAGGTTACCTCCAGAATGAGCGATCATAGCTACAGCGATCCATCTCCAGTTGTTGGAACCGCTGTTGCAACTAATTATGGTGAAGGTGAAGAAGTCGACGATGAAGTTGCTGAAATTATTGTGGGCAAAATTAGCTCGTTAGAAAGCGAGCTGGCTGCACTGAAGCAGTTGATTCGCACTCGCAAAGGATGTGGAAGAAATAAACTATCAAAACCGCGAGTCACTCGTAGCACGGCTAATTCGAGTGTTCGCAAAGAAAACATTTTTGACAGCGACAGCAGTGACGGAGATATGGGCAAGAATGGAGTATACGCTTCATCAATTCGTTTAGTGGTGGATGGGGAGAGCAAAGAAAGACCTGGCAGCAAGAAGAGGCTTACTAAACCACGCAAGGATTCGTTTGCTGATTTGTTTGAAGACAGTCCGAACGAACAAAAAATGTTTGGAAGTGCAACCAGCTACGAAGCTCTTTTTCAAATAGAACCAAAGCTGACCGATATAAATAAAGAGTCCGTCAGCGACAATGACGCAGACCCTCTGCCTCTGATAAAAAGCAGGACTGCAAAATTGAGACGATCAAGTTGGGAAACTAGCAATTTTGAGCTTTTCAATGATCCCAAATCCGAGCCACAACTTGCATCACTGAAGGAAAGGCTAGGTAAACAATTATCTTGGTGGAAGACGCGTGATGATTTGGATGATACTAGTACCAGCATGAATGATACTGCTACCAGCATGAATGAAGGACAGTTGTTTGCGTCGCTGTCGAGACTGGAAGCAAAGCAGGGGAGTACAGATAAACAAGATGTGAGGGATGACCCGATTGATGTTTTATTTGACATGTCGAATGATCGTGATGTGGCCGAATTGCACGGTAGGCATGGCGGTCACGATGTAGGTGGCAAGTTTACGCTTACTTTGGACAAAAACATTCTGTCAAGTCAGAAGTCTTCATCAGAGGCGGAGGCAAATGGTAGTCCAGCTGTTATCATTGCAAACATGGAATCTGTGGCACCCATGAGTGAATCTAGCGCCAGCGACTTCTACTCTTTCGACTTACAGGGATTGAATGCAGTCAACAACGAAGAGAAACTTTCAATTAATTGGTCAAAGATGCGAAAAATTAAGCGTCATAAACCGAAAACTCCTCCTTTTTCAAACGCTGGAGGTGAAAGCAGTAATTTTGATAGTAGAGCGAAGGGTATTCTTTTGGAGCCTAGTCTGTTTAGTGAAGACTGGCACCCCAAGGCTGATCATACTTCGCCAGAGCACGCAGTTCCAACAGCGTTTCCTGGAGATGCGTCGTCGAGATGGATGTCGGTCGATACGATGGAGAATGAGACAGTACACTTAAGTTTGAAAGCTGAAGATGTTGAGTATCAGTGTGTTCATGAAAGTAAACACATGATAGAGTCAGCTTCTGAGGCTGTGGTTACGAACGAGAAGAAGCGAGGTATTGAACCAGACGTCTTTCCAGGTCATGCCTCTATGAATTCAGCACCAGTTGAAAATGCTGTACCAAGTCTAACAGCCAATGAGGAAGTCATGACTGGAGAGGCAAGTGGTTCAGTAGAGCAATTACCGCTTGCCGCGTCGAGCTTCGTTGAGGAGTCTACAGACACGAACAGAAAAACTGTAGGAAAAGACGATGCTACTTTTAAAACCTTTGACAAGTCTAAAGATATGGGGTTGTTGTCAACATCTTCACAAATGGGTCAAATAGCGCAGTCCGGTAAAGGTAGAGAGAATGTTGACAAAAAATCTCTCGCTGGAAATCATGAGGCTTTCACATTTGAGGTCCAAGCTCCTAAGAAGCGGTCTTCTGTAGATGCACTGACTACTATTTGCAGCGTCGAATCTGTGTCAGTGTATAGCGAGTCGTCTCCTTCGTCCCAAATGTTGTCAGCCGTAGATAAATACACAACGTTTGCCGAAGAGCTATCGTCGCGCACCCCATCGATAGATGGTAGTCGTAATGACCCTGCGGATACCATGGCAGATGATGATTCAATGCTAGGAACAGCTGAAGTGCAAGCATTTGACACGGATTGGCAGCAAATGCAGGTAGAGGAGAAGGAGCGAAAGAAGAGACTGCAAGTCAAGCAGCGACAAGCTCGACGGGACAAGCAAATACGAAAGCAAGGCGCATTCACAAAGCTTGTCTCTACCACTGCTACTACGCATGGCTTGAGCAAAAACAAGTCAAAGCGCGGCAAGAAGAAGAAAAAAGACAACGAAAAGAACGACGCAGCATTATCTATCTTACCTCACAAGAAAAGCGGTTCATCGCGAAAGTATCGTCAAGATGCCACTGACAATGCTACTTCAACATTATCAGAACCTCCACGATCATTAACAGAACTTTGATGTTATTGTTATTAGAATTGTCAACAAACTCGACCGATTTCCAAGATACTTACTTGACAGCAATATTTTTATTTTACCATACAGATAGAGGCGTCCGTCCGCCCTCAACTCAGTCTACACCGTCGCGTGCTCGTAGTAGTCTTAATGCTTCGTGCGCTTCAAAGACTTTTGATGCAGAGCAAGCAACCAAAGACGGTGGACCGAGGGTATAATATCCTCCACAGCAACGCGATCATTCGGATTGGCAGCCCAACCAGCCTCTAGTATTTTAGCACAGGATTTTGGGATGGTTGGAAGGAGTGGAGGTCTGTCACCATGAGCCACGCAGCGATACACTTCAAGGTGAGATTTAGCTTTCCAGGGACTCCGCTTGGGCACCATTATCTGCCATAGCGTAATCATCAGACTGTAAACGTCTACAGCCGTGCCGTAACGAGCTGTCTTGCCACCCTTGATCATCTCCGGAGCCATGTAGTCGACCGTGCCTGCAATCGTCATGGTACCGTCAGTCCGCGGCCGCAGCAAGTTGGCTTCACCGAAATCCGCAAGCTTGATAAGGAAGTCCTGACCCACTAAGAAGTTGTCCGTCTTGATATCACGGTGCAGGAGCGGGGGCGAGAAACTGTGCAAGTAGGCGACAGCACGACACGCATCCAGCCAAGCCTTTAGCTTAGCAGCAAGTGTCCAAATCTCAGGATTTTTCCGCAATGTCACGTCCAATGCGCCGTACTCACAAAACTCGAAGATAAGTGAGATAGATGGCGGCACCACGCACAGACCGAAGAAGCGGACGACGTTTGGGTGTGACAACTGCACGTTTAGTGCCGTTTCACGCGAAAATCGCTGCACTTCTTCGTTTGTTACCTGTACGTCAGTGTAAATCTTGAGCGCAATCGACACAGGAGTGCTCCCCCGCAGTGTTCCGCGCATCACAACGGAAGTAGCACCCTTTGCAATAATGCAGTCAAGTGCTAGAGCTGAGAAGTCCACAACATTGTGGCGGTGTTCTTCAATCATGTGATGGACATCGTATACCGACGTACGCGTTGAAAAATGGGTTATCATACCGCGCTCCGAAAGCAAATTCATGTAACGGCGCATCGCGCTTGACGAACCTGTTGTACCTGATCCGTTGTCGTCGATGGCTAGCCAGTATCGGGTATCGGCACGAAGAGACAGTAGGACAGCTACGACGATGAGTGCATCAAGTCCGTTGGCAATGCAGTGAACAACCGGCACCGTGTAAGTTGCGTCCATATGAGCTAGCCCCGTAATGTAACTCAAAATGTTTGTTAGCGACGTAACCACGGCAGCGACGAAGAAAAAGTCGAAGGTGGCTCGAGCGTGAAAGACAAACTTGGCCCAAAAATAAAAAATGAGCAACAGAATGTGAATGGCCATCCCGATTGCGTTTGCAATATCATGGCCAACCCTGTACAGTGTCATATTGCATATGACGAGGATGACGCATACTGCTCCAGAGTAAGCAATGGCACGTAGTACTGCTTGTGGAGAAACACTGCGCTGGATCATAAGCATTGGTAGCAACTGCAACACCCAGACGGATGGCATTGTGACCACACTGCATGGGTATTTCGGATCGTTCTCTAGCGTCAGTGCACTATATGTCTTGTCACTGTCGCTTTTGTAAGCCTGGAAGCTGACGTGGTACAGTATTAATCCAATTGCGGACAATGCAGCAATTGTGTACCAAACTGCTTCGTAGCATGGAAGCATAAAGGCCGACTCTATTGTCACCAAGAGATGCACACAAAATTGTAAGTTACCACTAAATTCAAGTACACACAGGCTGACACGTACTTAGATTGGAGCTTATGCTGCAGGGAGCGCTACGCAGCACACGTTTGCGACTGCGACTGCAGAGTATACCGAGCCAAAGTGATACAATAAAAAATACAAGGTTGTTCATTGTCGGGATGAGTACTCCAGCCAAAATCACTGTTGATGCTGAGTAGCTTTCCATAGGCCCTGGTAAAGAACATCGTGCTATCATGTGGACTTTATCTGGTGCTGCTTGTGATAGATAAGCAGCGATACCTACAGCCACAGGTACACTCAGCAGAGCAGACACCAAGACTAGTTTAAGTGCACGAGAGTCCCAATTGGGCATCATTCGTGTCCACAGCATCATTAGTCGATGTTTTGGACGACATCTATTGATACGTCGCCATTGGCACTTGCATCTTTTTTGAAATCTCAAGGCCCATCGAGCACCGCGTTCAGCAGGCTCGAACGGTGGAACCCCGTCCAGGAAATTATCGTGCGATCTGTTGTTCTCACTGGTTATGTCTTGACCTTCACGTCCGGACGTGTTAGTTGAACTAATTGGTCTACTGCCTTGTCCTTCTCCCTTCTGTTCTATAGTAGAATGAAGGGTACAAGAGCATGCTTGTTGCAATCCCAATCTATGTCCTGTGTCCTGAGCTGCTGCCTGTTGTACGTCTGTGTCAATGAGGATTGAAGCTTCTGTAGTCGGTAAAATGTTTCCTGGATTAGTAAATACATTAGTTCCCGTCATAGGGAAGAAATCACTAATTGAATCAACACGTTGATGATCCACATGTTCATTTCCACCTTCACTACGAGTGCCGTCGTCATCGGTATGATTGAGTGGATTCAAGTAGCGAAAACTGCGAAGAAGGCCACCGTCACTATGAGGACTACGTAGTAGATTAGATGGAAACTGACCGTCACTTTCGAGTAAATTGTATATCGAACACGGTGACACGGTCTCATTGCGACCAGGAGACGCCATGCGATGGACGTACGTACTTCAGACTTTATTAAGATGTTTTATACTATTTAGATGAAAAATGCTGCTGCTTGGGCAATGTAAGTCTACTCGAATAAAACGGCCTAACAATATACTGCTATGGTAAAAGGAAGTTTTGACTGGAAACTGCGGACTTTAGAGACAGGACAAAAGAGTGACACTTCCCAGATTCTCGTCCATCACGTTCAAGAACGGTCACTTTGCAAGAAGATTGTCACCATTTTCTGTTTTGATTTAATCTGCAAACAATACGGAACACACAGTACTTGCGTATACACAAGTCATCTTTGTTTGTCAACTAGAAAGCTGCTATTCAATACACATTTGTTTTTCATCATTTTTTCGAATGGTTAGAAGTATTACGAAATACGCAACGGATGTTGATAGAAACATGTTGTAATTGTTTCAAGAGGTCGTTAGACCTACATATAGTGGTAGCATTTTGTAAAGTCCTACTTAACAGAGATGCCTAAGTCTCTAGTAACAACGTTCACTGGTGAGTGTCAAGCTCATTCCCATTCAGCCGTTTACTGTCACGAGAAAATTGCTCACATTATTCATTTCCCATGTATTGCACTCGTAAAACTGCATTCTCCACCTTAACGCGCAGCTAGCCCCATATTTGTCCTCTTCATGTTCTTGGCCACTTTTTTAGATGCAATTTTGAGAATGTGCAGTAGAGCTAAAGCACTTGATTTTTGTTCAAAGTCACTACCTCCAACGAAAAAGCAACAGCATAAGTCTCTGTTCTTCAATTTCTCAATCTGTAGCTTGCTGCTTTTTTCTGGTTGTAATCGCTTATCAGTATTGCGAGATACGCTGTGGCCGTCCTTTAGTCATGTTGAGGTTGTCGTGCAGATTTTGCGTGAAGACAGTGCCGCACAGCTAACAACTGGGATCATAGCGCATTCCTGGTGACCATGTGTCGTCGGCAGCATCCCACAAGTCACAATCTTGCCATGCTTGTAGCAGGGATGACAAAGCATTAGCGGACAAGGATGTTAAAACACTTGCAATGATATGAAATGATAACTCACTCTAGGTTGAACGTTAAAGCTCATATGTGCTCCTTGTTAGCCACTGTTTAACTTGCACTTGATGAGGTAGAAAGGAAACTGATATTCAAACTGTGCCGTTATGTCCTAGCTATTCTGCTCGCTATCTCACTACTATGACTATGTCTCTGTATCTGCCGCTCTTACTAGATCAACTTACTGTCGCTGCGCTACTATTCGCCACCACTCCGATGACGCGCTTCCTGTCTGTTGGTAACTGCAAGCTTCTTCACCCATCTTTGCAGTTCCTTCATCTGTCGATTGTCCTCTTATACACATGCAAACAGTCGCCGACTTGATCTGACATGTCGTGCCGCACATCGTGACTCTTCATCCCGATCTCCATCACTTCTCCTTGTAGGCGACTTACACTGCGCTTACACGATGTGTAGCAGTGATTGCAACTTGACCGTCTTGACTGCATCGAGTGCTTTGGTGAGTACGTCCAAAAGCATCAGGCCGCTCGGCACATATTGTGGCACCACAATGCCTCGACGAGCGTAGTCGCACAAGTACTTGACTATCACATCAATGTGTTTGGCTTTAGTAGACGACGCTTCTCCTTCAATCTGTCGTATCGCTGCCTGGTTGTCGATGAGCATTTTCATCGGTAGTGCAGGCGACTCACCAATTTCTCTCAGCGTCTCTCTCACTCCAAGTAGCTTTTGTCCAGCTTCAGACGCTGCCACAAATTTTGATCCATTGTCGAGAGCGCCACACCTCCTTGCTTTTTCAAGCACCAGCTAATTATCCTTCCATTTAGCATGATAACGCTACCGGTCAAAGATTTTCTGTCTGCCTTGTCGGCTGTGTAGTCTGCGTCACTGTAGCTCATTAGAACAGGTTGTGCAGTTTTTTCGACTGCTGGCTTCATGCGTCAATCCACGCGTAACACTCAAATAGCGCACGACGCTTAGCCACTTTCCAGTCATGGATCCGTGGCTCGTGTGTTTGTCTGATTGCCTTGTGCACCGCAAATGCGATGTCGGGTCTTGTGCCCCAGAGCAACGATCCGACAATAGACTGAAAAGCACGAACGCTAGGTTGACCTGGAGCACCCGTGTCTGCAAGTAGTCCGCTGTCTGCACATTGAATTTCATAAACATTTGTCCCGACAGGCGCAAGACTTGAGTTGGCATTGGTCATGCAGCACCTCCTGGTCAAGAAAATATCCACGATCTTCGTTGCGCGTCACACGCATCCCCAAAAACTTCGACACTGGTCCAATATCTTTAATTGAAAGACTTTTGAGGCTCGCAAAAAACCGTCAACTGCAACAGCGGATATTCCAGACATCCGCAAATCGTCTACGTAGAATCCGACGATGACGACTCCATCGATGTCGCGCTTGTAATACAAGCAGAGGTCACTGATGCAGCGAGTAAATCCGGCTTCCAATAACCGATTGTTAAGCAATTAGCTCCACAATCACCCTGCTTGCTTTAAACCATAAAGATTTTTCTTTAGTTCAAGCACGACATCTTCAATCTTCGTTGCCCCCAGTACTTTTAACTCTCTTGTATCAATCGTCATGCCCTTGGGGACGTGCATCAAAATCTCGAGATGATGTTCCTTCTCTGCTTTTACGTAAGCATTGGGGACGTCTCCGTGCTTAGCCAGGACGCCCCATGTAGCAGCTAACGCCAAGATTACTTTCACTGTCGTCATGTCCATGACGGCAGCAAAATTTAGCGCGTAGTCCACGCCAAAAACTTGTGCATTACCGCAGGCAACGAGGCGCGCTTTGTGCCTTTCCAAATCTCCATTTGCAGTCTTCTTGGTCTTAAAGACCTATTAACTATGGAGAACGTTGCTGTTGCTTGATCGGAGCGTCAAACACCACACTTCGTTTCTTTTGACCGCGTCCAGCTCCTCACGCATTGCCTTTTGCCACTCGTTTTTCTTCTTGCTCTTCATTGCTTCGCCATGGTTGCGAAGATATCTTTCGAACACGTGATTGACGACATCTGCGCTGACAGCTACTTCTTGTTGGCTTGCATCTGCTTTCTTTGCCGCACCTCTTGTCACGTGTGGCTTGCGAGTCCACTGTTTCATCTTCTTGGGCTTCTTTCTCGCAGTAACACTACTGCTCTGTCTCACAGGTGTCTCAGTGACTTCGTCTGAATCTGCCCGGTCATCGTCATCAAGGGCTAGTTGCAGCTGCCTGTTCTGGGTTTTAGAAACGTTTCAATATTCTTGACATGCTGCGTCGTGATGACCTTGTTTACCTTTCTGATGAATTTTCTGAAATTCTTGGTTTCGTCACTGCGTCCAACGATCGTGCCCACTTGAGCGGGACGCGCGAACGTGTTCTTGCTTGGATCACGGTAGACGGTACAGTGGGAGACAAACACGGCAATTATGTGCAAATCCGGCAATTATTCGTCAGAACTTCAAGCGGTGACGCTCTCTTAGGATTTGAATTCGTGGGTCTCCTGTTCAGAATATACGTGAAGTATTCAGCGGCATCACCCCAGAACGTAAGAGGCAATCCAGACGCGAAGATCGTGGCTCGTGTCATGTTTAGAACGGTCCTGTGCATTCTCTTGGCTTTCCCATTCGACGCTTGATTTCGCGCTTCACTCACTTGTCTTGCAACGCCTGTCGATTTGCAAAACAGATCAACATTCTGGTATTCACCACCGCCATCTGTTCTGAGAACCGCGATTCTGCACTCAAATCGTCGCTTAAAGAACATCAAGAAGTGCTCAAACTTCTTTGCCGCAGCGTCTTTGGTTCAAGCTAAGAAAACTCGACAGTAGTTGGTCTTTTAATCGATGAAGTTGATCAGATATCGGTTTCCGAGTCGATCCGCAGGCGTTAGTGGTCCTTTTAGGTCCGAGCAAATGACACCGCCGATGCGGTCGATCGGGGCGTTCTGTCCAGAGTCTTTCTGGTTCTGCTTGTTTTTTGTCTGCTTGGATTGCGCGCACGTGATGCATGTCATCCGTTTGTGGTCCGTCATCTCGATACCCGAGCTTGGATTCCTCGCGATCTTCTCAATTGCATCGTACGACAGATGCCCCAGACGTAGCAGAGAGCCACGATGCATCTCCGAAGTCATTTAATCTGCTGCCTTCTCCTGAATGGCAGCCATTATAACATCCGCTGTCTCCTTTTGACGTACACTCTTTTTTACCGTCTTGACGATTAGCACACTATTCTCCATTGTCACGTCGAACGCGGCTTGGTCATCCCTCGAGCTACTGATCGCTTGCCATTAGAATACTTAAGACTGTATCCCTTTTGATCAAGCTTGCCATAGCTGATGATGTTGCGGGCCAGACTCGGTAAATAGTAGACTTCCGTGAGTTTGACTGTTTTTCTTGTCCATTGGCAACCACGGAGAGTCTTACATTATTGACCTTGGACAGACCGACCTTCTCGTTATCAGCTAGCGAGACTACATCGTTGCAAATCTCTGCGACGATCAGCAGGCGATCGTCGTTCACCAGGTGTCAACTGGCACCGCTGTCGAGTATCCAGTCGTCGTTCACATTGTCGCTGTTGTTATTAACAGCAATAACCACCTCGCTGTCGTTCTTGGCGCTCTTGTTGACATTCCTTTTTGACCTGCAGTCAATCTTTAAATGACCTTGTTTGCCACAATTGTAGCATAAATGTGTCTCCTTGCGACGTCTTTCATCAGTGACAGCGGCGACTAACTCGCGTCCCAACGTCCTTTCGGTCTTTTTCTCAAGCTCAACAGACTGTGCAAAATGCGCAAGCTCTTCGGCTTGGCGCAAATGATCGTGTCGGTCATTGTTGTACTTGGCCATCAAAACTGTTGTAAGATCAGCCGACGCATAGTGGACAATGTTGTCGAGAACTTGTGCTTCTGCACCTCCACCGCAAGCATCGCATACAGCAACCATATACAGGTAGTGTTCAGGACATGATCTCTTGGGATCCTTCCTTGCAGTGGAAAGCTTCATGCTTTGCGACGCTGTGCTTGCAGTCTTGAATGTGTGTAGCAACCGGCCCATAGCGTGATCGAGAAAGGCTTCTTCGAGCCACCAAACGTCCACTTGTTTGTGGTAGTACCGCTCTGCTGTCCCACTTAGGTAGTGTCCCAGCAAGCCGACCTTGACATCTTCAGCCCATGCAAATCCGCAGGCCTGCTGCGCCATGGTGACTTGGCGCAAGAACGTGCGACCCCAGTCAGCAAAACCCGATCTGAGACCCTGGTACAGTTCTAAACCATCAAACTTGCAAATAGCAAGCTTACGTTGGCGTGCGTCCGGGACACGCAACGGCAACTCCTGTGTCGGTGCCTGCTGCATTGGTGGCACGGACGCATGAACGTCTTCAAAATCTGGAGGCGACACTGGCGCATAGCGCGGCGCCTGTGGTCGAGCAGCGCCCGCTGGCTGTCGCGGACCGACATACTTTGGACCGAACTGCTGGAAGAGCGAGTCACCTGGTTGCATCACGCGAACACGTTCACGCGGCTGCCTCGGAGCATCATATCCTAGCGCGTCACGATGTAGAGTCGTACCGCATATGCCACGTCCAGCGCTGACGCAAAAAAGCCACTGTCAATCGCGCCTCGCAGTCGCTCGTCCTCGTCGGTCTGCACCTGCAACCCCTCGAGCACTTGTATGCGACCCGTGAGTGCAGTCAGCATTGTGAGGATCCTTTCGTCGGTCCCCGCATTGAAAATTTTCCAAAACCGGTAGCTTCACCCCTTTCGTGGGCTTGAGTATCGCAAAAACGGCGACCCTTTCGTGGCCGTGGTCTGCAGGTGCAGAAGTCGTCATTTTGTCAGTCGGAGGAGCCATTGGGTTTGGGCTCATAACCTGTTAGCCAATGTTGAGCTTCACTTGATGAGGTAGAAAGGAAACTGATATTCAAACTGTGCCGTTATGTCCTAGATATTCTGCTCGCTATCTCACTACTATGACTATGTCTCTGTATCTGCCGCTCTTACTAGATCAACTTACTGTCGCTGCGCTACTATTCGCCACCACTCCGATGACGCGCTTCCTGTCTGTTGGTAACTGCAAGCTTCTTCACCCATCTTTGCAGTTCCTTCATCTGTCGATTGTCCTCTTATACACATGCAAACAGTCGCCGACTTGATCTGACATGTCGTGCCGCACATCGTGACTCTTCATCCCGATCTTCAACACTCCTGTCACTGGTAAATGGCTCCCAGTTGGAGCAAAAGTACAGTCACTGATGAAATAGTCGCAATAGCTCGACATACTTGTCCGTGGTTTCATGTTTGTACGTCATTATGTACACAAGAAGCAGAGAATATCAACACTTTCGTGCATGCAACATGGACAGATCAAGAACTCACACGGCTACATATAAACTTACTGAGCTCAGTGAGCAAGTCTGCCTTTCGCGGAGTCCAAAACAAACTCCTCTTAATCAATCGCTTACCACCGGCATAGTAACAGTAGGCACTTTTCCTTTTCTTGCATTGTTTTCGCGTTAATAGGTTGGTCAAACGCTAAGTGGTAGCGGGATCAGTTTTTTTTTAAAGCGGATATGTCGTTACACCATTCATGCAAAGCATCGACATCTTGTGATAAAATTTTGACAGCGGAAGCTGCTTATCAAGCCTTTCATCTTCATCGCGGCTTCATGACATTGTCACTGATTGACGCTTGTTGTCATGTACATGACAAAAACTTACAATTATGAAACTCACTTTCAAGCTGTCAACGCCTCAAATGCTCTCTAGGGCCTGCAGTGGCCATCTAAATCTCATCGCCCATGATAAAGATTGGAGCGTCCCTGAGCAGTTTATGGAGCAGCAAAAGATTATAGAGCAGCTGTTCCATCGCGCAAGAAGCACCGCTTGCGTTGCGAGAAGGTTTGGCAGATGTTAATAAACCCGCAATAATGACACTTGCGTTGCAGGGCACAGCGAAGATTCGAGGTGTAGTAATTGATGAAGTAGCATCCGCAGTTTGTTGGGCCTCGATACAGGCTTTCGGTCTATGTGGCCTGGAACCAAACTGAGATCTTAACGGTGCAATTTATGGGCTACGCTATTCTTTATTGTCACTTGAAAAACTGCAGGCGATGACGTCAGCACTCGAGCAGTTTCCTCCTCGAGTACCGTCATAGCCTTCATGATGCATCAGAGCCAGTCTTTTTGCGGCGCTCATCTTGAATTTTGCCAGCTATTGACAAGTGCGGTCTAACCTGACCATTTGTATTCGATGTGGTGTCAACTTGAACCTCCCACTGCTTCCGCGTCGAAGTTTATATGCAATGGTAGTGGTTGTGGTGGTGACCTAATCGATTTCATGTTACAAATCATACAGCCGATCAGACAGAACGATATTCACCGTACCTGAAGTCTATCGCTTGGCACGTCGGGTCATGGCATTTTTGATAAAACACTCGCTGATCAATGTCCACTACGAACATGATGTTGTTGCTCCTGTGCGGCCGCCGAATATTCGCACACCAACGATTGCGTGCCATGTGATAAATAATCATCCACGGATACGGTCGACTCGACGTCTTAACACCCGGCTGCTCTTTGTGGGATATTTCTCCAGGTAGAGCCGCCAGCATGCTCGAGCTGTTAGTCAATAGCATTTGAATTGCACGGATTTCACCTTGAACCCCACCCGTGGCAGCTTTGGAGAGAATAAAAGCGTCCAAAACGGGGTAGACAGAGCTTCGACATTCAACCGACAAAGCGCCAAGTCTTTTAGCACTTGAGGAAGTACAACGTCGGCTGCGTCCTATGACTGTAGAAGATGGCTCACCCCTGAAAAGGCGAAAAGGCTTGGTCTGTTGAATGAGTTTTACGGCTTCAATAGATTGATACGGACATACCAACGTGTTAGCAAATTGTCCTTGATCCAGCTCAGTCAGTAAAGATGATGAAGGGTTAAGCAAGCGTAAAACCGCGTGCTTCTTGAACTTTGAAGAACCGAGTATGCGAAACATGCGATTACGAGTATACACGCTGGTATCAATGAAGAGTTGCCTCTTGCCTACAGAGTCATTCTCAGATTCCGTGTTGACGAGAAATGGGGAATATAGCTGGTCGGGGCATTCCTTTTCGGAGTCTCCATCATCAACGAGGACTATTAAATCGTTTATCAGCTCACGCACAAACTGTTACCAGCAATCAAAAATTAGAGCAAATGTCAATCACACTATTGCGTATCATCTGACAAGTAAATAATGACCGTCTCACAGCTCCTGCTTGAAGGTTGTCCTCGAAGAGATCGCCACCGGGGAGGTGAACCTGCCCGAGAAAAATGCAAAAAGCTGTTGTAAGCTGCGAGTTTTAAGCAAACTGCAAGGTCACCTACGATGATATGGCGACTGAACTTAGCGGGTGTAGATGATTCGAGTTGATAAATATCTCTGCCTTGTACTCGAATGCCATATCTGCGCTAGAAAACTGACGTCAGTACTCAGAATTTTACCTTAACCAGCGCTTGCGCCTTTGAGACTTACATAAACCTGCAGTTGGATTAGTGACAGAAGCCTAGTCACAAGCGCATTGCCGTCCACGTGGGTGTTGATGGCACGCTTGAATTCTAGATCGAAGTAAAGACGACAAGGCACGCCCTCGCGAATAATCTCATAAACGTGGCGTTGGTCGGCACGGATTGTCTTGTAGGTCTTCCAAAAGTCAGCCAAACTCGTAACAAGAAAACGCCGCTTGCCATCTCCTGCTCTTTCAAATGAGAACACACGGGGCACATGATCAACATTATTGTATTCAGGATTCGGTGATACACCACAGGCAGGTTTTACACGTTGTCGGAAAGCTGCAACTTGATCGGCAAACTCAAACGCTTCCTGTTGTCGTGGAAATGACAATGATACAGTCGATGTGCCTTCAAGCTGGCATGTCACTGAATGTGAGACTCTAAATTGTAGCTTTTCGTAAAATTGTCGCCAAATCTTGCCAGACACGCCATTAGATGGACCTGGTACAGTTTGCTTTGAGGTATTGGACCCGTAAAACGCATCAGCGGACAGCGTTTTTCTTCGCTTCATTGTTCCACCCAGCTTTTTTCCAGCTGCACGACACCCCATTTCTTGTCTGAAAAGACATTTTGTTGCCGAGCGTGACAATTTGACCTTAGGAAACGCAGAATGCAACGCAGCCAACAACTTCTCCGCCATCTTCATATCATAGAGCGTGCTATGGTCTTGGTCATCTGACAGATGAGTTTTTTTACCTGACATCGATTGAAGCTGAGCTTGTCGTAACCTACCAAAGAAATATCCTTGCTGCTGCTTACTTGCTACTTCCAAAACCACCAGAACAATTGACACAAATGGCGATGGACTGAAGAACAAAAGCTATCTCGTCACAATTTGTTGCAATGGTAAAGCTTTTTGTTACACACAATCAATTTATTTAGCACAAACCTGTATATTGAGAAGCAGGACAATGCATCAATTGGCAGAAAGATACTGCGACTTTGCTCTAAATGACCATCAAAGAATCTACGAGTGTTGACGAGATAGAGACCGTCTTGTGCAGAGCTCTGAACAGTCACAGACGTATTTTTTGGCTCGGTTTTTAGCCAAATCTGAAGGCTAGAGGCAATTAACTCCATCTCATGCTGTTCTGCGTTTTCAATGGCATGCAGGGGTGTGCCCAAAGCCCCTGTCCAGACACGACTTGACTCGCTTTCAAACACTTGATGATACATTGACGGTTACTAACAGTGACGTTTCATTGGTTGAAACAAATTTGACATGTAACGGCGCAATAGAGATGGCTACATGCTAGAACGTAACAATCTTTCAGGATCATAGTGCAACTGATGCTGGCAGAAATGCTGTACATACCACAAACTCACGCGTGCAGACCCGGCTAGTGATGGCACAAGTTTATGTGTCATTGCAAGTATTGCCATGTGTTAACCAGGACCCAGGAAAAGCATTGAGTCAGCGCTTTTGTGCTCGGTAAAGGCGCCATCATGCTGTCTGGTTTATTTATTAGGTGGTTCATTCAGGACGAGATTCAAATCCGTTTTGCATCGTCCTAAAGGAGCAGAAAGAAGAAACGTGGGATTGGGGTATTGTTTCTGATCCAGATGCTGGGTACATAGCTGCAGCTGCAGTGTCATGGGAGGATATCATCGACCATCATAGATCCGACACAAATTCTTCTAGATGACACACACGACGTGTGTGCTTTGCTCTGTACCACGAGTTAGGACCGTTTTTTCAGGCAGTACTTTAGCAAGAGACAAGACAAATCAAGAAGCAAAAACAATACACAACAACAAGTATTAAAAGAGGGTCTGAGAGAGTACGGTAAGCAGTCATCACTTGTCTCTTAGTGGCTAGCTGCCTTAGCAACCACATGGTTGGCGCATTGCATACTGCATGAAGTAAAGCAGCAGCATGAACATCATCAAGGTGTTGAGATTCCAATCTACAAGTCCAGCAAATGTCAGAAAAAGAGGGGTGAAAGACGTAGTGAAATCGTTCAATAGAAATACGTACCGCCAAACATATCGTGGTCAGGATGTTGAGCGTCTGCTATTTGATGGTTGACCACGTCAGATTCAGCATGCGTCTCAAGGTTGCGTCGCTGCGAGCCCGATACGGAGCACGAAGTAGTATGAGCCATGTTATCCATAATGACAGACAAGAGTATGAGTGAAGAGTGTAATAGATATACAAATAGTTGAGTTCTTACTGCATGTGGCTTACATCATACTAGTCGGGCCCCCTTCCCCCCTCAATCTGCAATTAAAAGTTAATGAAAATCAATTTACCCCCTCAATCTGCAACCTAACAATAATGCAGTTGGGGCTAGATGCAACCCCGACATACAAACGTACAGGGCGACCTGTGCATCCTCTATGGGCACATTTTTATCGTGGAAATAAACGCAACCGCTATCACTACCACGCATTTTGTTCTTATTGTGTAGCACGTTATGGTGTTGATCAGGTGCTGCCTACACGTGGTGTATCTGCTGACATGCTCCGACATCTAGAGAGCTGTCCCAATTTTCCTCGCAAAGTCCTGGACACAGTTAAAGAGCTATGTGGTCGTCGAGATCGGATAATACATACTAGGAAGGACATAAAAAATGATGATAATAGCAGTGGTAATCATCTGATTGACGAAGATCAAGTGCTGCTCTTAGACGCCATGACAGTCTCGAATCTGACGCAGAAGACGGCAGATGACGCAGTTGCTGTCATTGCTGCAATTGCAACACCAGAGGACCCAAAGGTGACAAGAAAAAGGACAATAAGTGAAGTGTTGGATATGCATGTGGACACTACTACTAGTAGAGATGCAGAGAAGAGACTGACATTGAAAAGTGGACAGAATGCTGGACAGTACTTGACAGTAGCCACGAAACGTGGACAAAAGAATGCAACGGAGGAGGACATTGTGACGAGATGGAGGACAAATTTGCTACAGACCGCAGTGGTAACGGGTATCCCACTTTGGGCTTTTCAGAAAAGGGAGTTTCAGGACTTGCTGCAGGTTCTCAGTCCTGTAAGGGTGGAGAGTCATGAACTAATCAGCAGCATCGGGAGTCTTACGTTTTTGGAAGAAACTGCAGCTAAACTGGCGCGTACGCAACTGGATCGAGTGAAAGAAGGCACGATTAAGAGCGGTCTGACGCTGAGTGTGACCTATTGGTGCACTTTGGATCTGCAGCATCTGGTTGCGTTCACACTTGTCAATTCGAATGGAGACGCTGCATGTGTACGAGTGGAAGATCTGAAATGTCGATATGCTGCCGGTGACAACAGTGATCGTGCTTCTCCATTGCTGTGTCTAGCACAAGTGCTACCGCTTGTCCACGCCATTGAAGATGTTTTGCTGCAGTTGAGTAAGCAGAATATTTGTGTCATGGGGATTGTAACTGACTCGGCGATAGCATTGAGTGCTGCAAAAACAGTGTGTCGTAGTACACGATGGCGCCCTTTGTTGGTAGTTCCCTGTATGTCCGCGTTGCTGACGTCTTTAGCGGGTAGCATTTTGACACACAAAGTGTACCGTGATGCAGTGGGGCAGCTTGTGGAAATTGCTTCATATTTTACCAATTCACGACTGCAAGCATCACTGCGCAGCATATCTGGCGAAAGTGATGCACGTATTCCGCTCCCGACAAGAAATCACTGGTTCTCATTCGTGGTTTGTCTAACAAAGACGTTGCATTACAGCGACGTGATCACTGCATTATGTACAAGACACGAAGAACGAGGCTGTGTTTCGGCACCGTTGGCACTGCGCGAACTCGTTCTTAGCAATAACAGCCGCATCTGGGAAAAACTACGAGGGTTGGCTGTGCTTCTTGCCCCGTTGCGAGAAGCGTGTAGCCTTGTGTTCCAGTCCCAAGCTAGAGCGGACGAGAGCAAGAGTGCTTGCGATAACGATGACGAATGCGCGACCAGTGTCCGTGGAGGACTTACCCTCGCTCACATCATGTATCAGCTTGGCCGCATGAGTCAGCAGTACGCTACTCTTGCAGAATGTACTGACCTGAATTCATCATCGAGCACCAATGGCGAAGAGACAACAGTCGTGGCACACTATCTTCATGAACTTTTGGACAGTATGTGGCAGCGGTACGACCTGCCAACGATGGTGCTCGCATACGTGTTTGAGTTTCACATGGATACGGAGCGGCTAGACATGAGTAATAGTGCGCTCCAGTGGAAGGCTGTGTCATCTTATTTTCAACATTACTTTCAGCGCTGGTTCTGCCAGTCACAGGAAAGTCAGGTAAAAATAGCAAGTAATTTAACCGTATTCACGCCGATCTCGAGCAACAAGATCGAAGCGATTCTCAACGCATACCAAATTCGCCAGTTCCCGTTCGATGCTGACACGACAAGTGATTATACCGATGCGTCGTCTTTCTATTCCTTCGTGTCGGACTCTCATCCTGAGGTTTGCGCGCTTTGCTGCCGACTGTATGCTGTTGCGTTAGCTTGTGTCGACCTTCGCCGTGTCATTCGTGGTATCGGGTTCCTGCCTTCTGTCGCGCAGACGAGTAAGCGTCCTGAACAAGTAGAACTGCTACTTCACGTGGGCTACGCAACAAGGATGAAGAAAACAAGACGTCCTTCTGGAGGTAACAACATTCTACCTGAGCTCCTGCAAGCCAGTTGTCCAGAAGAATTACTCTGTAGTGGCGAAGAATGGGATGCGTTCTCGACGGACTGGAAGCAGTTTCTTGACCACGAATTGGCACTCGGCGAGTCGGAGCAGCTTCAAAGGTACGACAGCATTGGTAGCTGCTACCAAGATAAGAACGACGAAGCCGTCCGATTGCCTCTTAACCAGCTTTTCTTGGAAGCGCTTCCTCCATTACCTGGTAGCACCTGCACCTGATGATCAATCTAAAGCAGTAGCAGAAGCATAGGTCTCTTGGACATGAACACCATCAAGCTCATGTGACAAGTTACCGCAACGAGTTCCTTTGTGGCTTGTTAAATCATTCATTGCGAAGCGATTTTATGGGATAATTTATGCACCGATAGTAGCATTGCGCTTGTCTGTAGTTGCACTTGGCAACCTGTAAGAAACGTCCAATGGTTTTACTAGCTATCCGTGAAAGTAGTACGTGCGTGGTGACTCCGACTGTGTGCGTGATATCCGTATACTTCTTTACAGCCTCATGCCTCATAATGCACGTATAATACTTAAGTTCCTCTATGCCGGTATCTTCTACTGTATATTCCATGCAAGCAGTCAAATAAACAAAAGAAGTCGTTGCTGCAGAAACCCCGTCTTAGCTATACTTTAAATTGCTTTGTGCTGCTCGAATCAGGGCATCGCTCCACTGAATGCAATAAGATCATGTCACTCTTCAAGTCTTAGTTTTTTACCACGTGTCCAATGATGTTTCATACACGTCCGAGTTTCATGCTGGTAATAGGCGGCGCAAGCTGGCAATGCTCAAATGTAGATGAATATATGCTTGCATTAATTTGCAAGTGATACGGAAACAAAGTTTTCGTAAAAATTAATATTTCAGAAAACGGTCTCAATGCCAAAGTCATATTCACGACCAACAGTATGAATTTTGGCGATAGTAGTTGATGATTTAAAGTCTATACTATTTTGTGAGATAGAGAGTACTACCGATACGTTGACAAAACTATCCGGATATAAAGCTGAATATTTCAAGTCCTTAATTAGTTCCTTTCAGATACGCAATCAGGTTGCATACAAACAATGACGCAGCCAACACTCAACATTATCTGGCAAATTAATCACTGCTGAAGAGGTAGCAAAGCCGCAACTTTTGTTCCTTAGCATGTTCGCACTAATGTATGTGCTCCTCACAGACGGTCTTCACAGTGACGACACACGACAACAATTCTCCTGTCTTGTAGTCAGTAATCAGTAGTCTGTATTAAGCTTTCCTTCGGCTACCAATAGCTCCTTAAATTCCTAATGAGCCACCCACTCCGTCACCTACTGCTTACCTCAATCCAGATCGTTCTTTTTCTTCTGCTCTGCTTCTTTTGCAACGCTGAATAGGCTCAGCTGAACTTCTAACTGTAATAACTTCTGCTGGATCTGGTTCAGACTCTCCTGAACGTCGGCTTCTTTTGTGTTCATCTTCTTGTGCAAGCGAAGAATTGCCTGTTCCGACAAGGCCAGGCGTTGGGTCAACGTCGACATCTTTGCGTCAATCACTCGGGCAATTTTCGTCTCCATTTCCCTCTCTAACGTCTCTTGAAAGCCTTTCAGAAACACTCGTACGTCCGGAGCAGCATCAGAACCTTCGTCAAGACCAAATTCAGCAATCTTAGCTGTCAATCCTGCAGTACTAAAACAGCATCAGTCTTGTCAAACATCAAGACGTTTCTTCAGCACCTACCGAAAACGCTCCCTCACCTTGAACTAACTTCAGCTACCGGTTCAGTACGTACATACATACATCGAAACTCTTGTAAATACAGTACACGTTTGTCTCCTATCAACGACACAAACTTGATTCGCAAAGCCTGCAAACTTTTAAGCACGGTGCAGTCTTGATCGCTCTTCAAAAATGGCGACATGGCAAAGAGTTGTGGCTCAGAACTCTGCTTTGTGCCTCGGAATGTACCCAAATACACTTCTCCCTTCTGTTGCTCACCTAGTAAGTTACACCTTGTGCCTTCCGCATAGAGTTCCACATGACGAGCAGAGCATTGCACCTGAAGCTGGAGCTGTGCACAACACAGTGGCTGTTGTGTCCAGAGAAGTGAGAGCTGGCATGGGACAGAGACATCAACTTTTGGGCAGATAAGACGAAATGGTTGCAAAGAGATAGACGCATTGCTTTCGCTCAAAAGCTGTACGGTGCTATCATCATCAACATCAGTCGAGAGTGACCACGACGAGCACCACGTCACAGCCGACATGACGATTGGCGAATGACGGCATAGCAAAACAAGTAAAATGTTACGGTGCTGTATTTGAAATGAAACCCTATCAGCGCAAGAGTTTATTACATAAAAACATAAAAAACAAAACATTGAAAAAACCCAAAACAATCACTACATTCATCTTGTATTACATAATGTTGGTAGCTTGTAAGTATTTTCGGCCAGTTTTCCTTGTTTAATTGCATATTCCAGGTCATATCATTTCCCATCCGTTGTAATTTTGGGTTCCACACCTCCACGTGTCGCCTGCGACTATTCCTTCTTGTCCATCAAGCCATTTGTTTATCGTCATTGCCTTCCTCACAATGTTGGAGTACGATAATTCAGCTTTCTACTACTTCTCCGTCTCACTATGTGCACTTTATGTAGTGCCCGTAACTTTCCTATCACTGCGTCGTATTTTCTACGGTGTTTTCTTTAAGGACCGTCTCCTTGACAAAAGCCATGTACGATGTGACCGTGAACTGCGTAAACTCAAGCAACTTCAGGCAGAAAAGACGGCGTTTCGCAATGTTTTCTCGTTACCTTTTGTGTTTAATCTGGTGGTCTTGACTGTAGTCTGGTATGGACTTGTGCGCATGGCAATGTTGCTTAAGGACGACTCGGAGATCAAGTCATTTGATCCTTTTGCCATTCTTGGCATTTCTGCAGGCGTCTCGGAGCGTGAGATTAAACGTGCTTATCGTAAAATGAGTCTACTCTATCATCCAGACAAGAATCAGGGTGACGCGGTGGCTGAGCAGAAGTTTATGCTTGTAGCTAAAGCTTATGAGGCACTTACGGATGAGGTAGCTAAGGCCAATTACGAAAAGTTTGGCAATCCAGATGGACGTCAGGCGATGCAATTGTCTATTGGCCTTCCAACCTTTTTGTTGGATCCAGCTAATCACAATCTCGTATTGTTTCTGTACTTGATCATTCTCGTAGTTGCGATTCCAAGCTGCGTAGCACTCTGGTATTCACACTCGAAAAAGTATGGAGATAGTATGATCATGTACGACACGTACGGCTTTTACAACTTTGCTATGTCGCAGCATTCGCATCCGCGCATGTTGCCGGAGGTTTTGGCAGGCTCGGCTGAATTTCGTGAGATTCCGCAACGCTCAAGTGATGATGCAGAGCTGGGCGCGTTATTTAAGAAATTCAAGCAGAACGACATGATGGCTAAGCCGAAGTACAACCATCCTGCTATTGCGAAGGCAAACCTGTTGCTGCATGCGCACTTTTTGCGCGAGAAGCTAAGCTTGACGCTGCAGAAAGACCTCGACGCGATGTTGAAGAAATCTATTCAGCTGGTGGACGGGATGTTAGAGATTTCGGTCATGAAGTCTTGGCTGCAGACTACGCTCAATCTTATGGAGATGCAGCAATTTTTGACACAGGGACTTTGGTTCAAGGATCCACCGTTCTTGCAGCTGCCGCATCTGACGGAGTCAGAGGTCAAGCACATTGTTACAGGCAAGAATGCTGTGCGGAGCATGCACCAATACATTGCTATGAAGCCGGAGGAACGAAAGGGGCTGAGTGGGTTGTTGGAGGAGGATCGCGCCGAAGTGAACAAAGTGCTAGAGATGATGCCTAACATGGAGCTGCAGATTTCGATTGGCGTAGAAGACGAAGAGTTTATTGCTGAGGGTGACATTATGACGGTCACTGCCAAGCTTATCCGTAAAAACGTGAAAGAAGGTGACACGTGTGACTTAGTATACGCTCCGCGATTCCCGTATCCGAAGATGGAGCGCTGGTATTGCCTGGTGGGCGACACCAAGACTAACCATCTGCATGCTTTTGCCAAAATGACATCACAAGAGCGCGTGGTTGAACAAAAGCTACAGCTGCAGGCCCCGCCCAAGGCTGGCACATACCAGCTGGATATTTTTGTCAAGAGTGACTCATACGTTGGAATGGATTTGCGCGCTGTTGCTAAGGTTTGTTGCTAAGAATATAGTGCTAACTTGTGGTGACAAGTTGTTTAATGCTGGCTGTTTATTTTGTTGATGTTGTAGTTCAACGTTGCCCCCGCATCTACTCTACCGGTTTACCAACCACACCCAGAGGACTTGGAATTAGATAATGAGCCCACACTGTTCGAGCAAGTGATGAATGCCGCGGACTCGAGTGATAGCGAGAAAGAAGATGAGGATTTGGAGCAGGAGCAAGCTGAAACGAAGGCTGAGGAGAACAAGAAGGACAAATAGAGTGCGAGTGCTGCTTAGTCTGTTTTGCCGCGAATAATGCAGCAGTGCATGACGATGTGAACTATGTCTGTGTTGTTGGAAACAAATTGCTTGCATAATTGTTTGCCTGGACAGCAGGTGGATTGTTCACTAACTGTGCACACAGACTGAGCATCGATTTGAGGCTGTATGTATTATGCTTGATAGTAGCACTGCCACTGACGTGTCTTTCGCTAGACGAAAGGTGTGTCTGTGGTGGAATTGCCGGCAGCAGAGTTAGCTCGAGCTCAAGTAATGGCCGGACAATGTGTTTTGGGTGGTTCTGGACACGTTGAAAGCTACCGCGATTATCTAATGCAAAAGCTACCGCGATTTAGCTAACGTTCGTGACTTATGAAGCTATTTTAAAGCTGGCTGCACGTAAGTCCTGCACAACAAATTGTTGAGTAAGCACACTAAGCTATTGTTGCAAAGTGTGTCAACAAGGAACATATTTCACTAGTTGCGTATTCATGGCGATGCTCGGAACAAGTGCACATAGAAACGCATTGATCGCAAACTTCGGCAAGAAGTCTTGACAGGAAGCAGCAGCACACAACACGCCTACGATCATTTATATTTCAATGCTCACGACTGCAATCACAAATTTGCTTTCCATCTCTTTTCAGAATTTCCCACTTGTCATTTCTGTTTAATGCTTGTGCTGCTTACAAGTCAAGAAACGCTGAAATGGCTATCATTGAGTTCGGCTGATACCAGCACAAACAGAGTTATCCCTGTTGTCACTGTCATTAGAATCCTCCATGACTGTCACTGTCAGCGCAGAAACAAGGAGACAGCAGCAATTCAACCAGCCTCGCATCAATATCTCCGTATAGCTAGCAGCATGCAACACCAAGCACCAACACCAGCGTCACGCCAATGTAGTCACAAAGAAAATGTGCTACCTGCTGAGCGTCTTGGCGACTGCAGCGATAAAGCAAGGCTACTAATTGTATCACAACAGGTGAGAGTAAAACGATAGAATAATTAACGATAGTGCTCACTTCTTGACTTATCTTACCAGTCACCAATGAATACAGTAGCAACTATGCACTAGTCTTTTGTATCGAAATTTATTTCTGACACTCGCAGTATACCAAGTGCTTCATGAGCTCCCTGCTTTGGCGTCTGACGTTGCATGACTGCAAAAAAGTGACTTGTCAAAAGATCCTGGCACACTGTGCGTAACCACCCGGAAAACTGCGACAAGACCGAAACGTACTTGGTAAAGAAGCGCATCAAAAAACCGCAAGGAGTGAATTACGTGGGACAAGTACAAGTACGACAAGTAAGTCGACTACATCTGACGTTTTTGTAAGCTCTGCCCTTTTAATCACCCCTTACCATTCATTCCTACGTCAGTATTCCAACGTTTACCCGACAATAAACACGCCGTATGTAATCAAACTAACTGAACGCTGTTCCAGTTGCTCGTAACTTATACGAAACGCTACAGTTTTATCGCAGATACAATCAACCGTCGAGCATCTTTACCGTCATTGTATAGACAGCAAATGTTATTATCGTTCCATTAAAATCACTATAACGTAGAATCATATAGCACTACTACACAAACAAAAACTGGTAATCATCACCAAGGTAGAGAGAGAGAGTACAAGTATCGAGTGTCAGGTGTGATACTAATGCATTGTGCTGTAGGATGCTTTCTATGGTTCGACACTAGTTATTTTTATGTTCAAGCTTTTTTGTGTGTCTTTAGATTGATGAATTGTGACTAATCCCAAGTGGAAACGTATATATAAGTGACAAGATCCAACAAACTGACGGTCTTTTACTGCCTCTAAATGAACAGAAATTGCATTAGGTTCGGCATTTTTAGTCAGAAAATACCTCGCAATTAGCCTTTTTTGTGTGTTTTTGTGCTATGAAAAAGGAGAGGTCTTAAGACCTTAGGGTGGAACAACGATCGTACAAAAAAAGTAGTCCCTTTTTGTAGAAAAGGTATGATACATTCTCCAATTATTTTACTGCATGACTATTAAAATCGTGCCAGTCATCACAATCACAGTCGTCAATTCAAATCACATATCTTTGCCAATAATAGTCCTCCTACTATTCAGTCTGACTCTTCCCAGGGGTAGGCCACTGTTTTTTATCTCTTCTCAATCAACCTTCGCATCGACTTTCAGCCAATCCCTGAACATCAAAAATACCACTTTTTCTGGAAAAGTACCAACGAAACACGGTAAAAACCGACGGGGCAAAGCAATAATATACACACATTTATTCACACGAACAAAACGTCAATATGACAGCAGGTTTAGCTGTCCTCGTTGCTGTGAGTGTATTACTATTTGTAGGCGCGATTGTCATGCTACTATTCTTCTGTCGCCGTATACAAGTCCAACGTGAACGTGAGTCACTTGTGTTTATTCAGGAACCAGCTGACGTTTATCGTGAGGAACTGAATGATAGTTTTATGGAACAAGCATTATGGCGTTGTGGTGTGTGTAAATTCCTTAATCATCCAGAAAGAAAATTGTGTGATTTATGTCAGACTCTAAAAGGTGCAGAACGAGATGTAGCAGGCAATCGCAAACACTCTCGACGTAATAGTTTCTCACAACTTTCAAATAGTAGTAGTTTTAGCTCGAATTCAACACAAAGAATGGGAAGAATTGGTGAAACCGAAGCTTTTTCATCGGTACATGCTCATGATGCAATTGGTGGGTCCTTTGGTCGACCAAGCTTTGAATATTCAAACAAAAAGAAAGGGATGAAAAGTAAAATGAGTAAATTACAATTAGCTGCTAGTCGACGACAACAATGGAAGAGAATGCCAACGACCGATGGATTACATCGATGGGTTCGACAACAATCTACGAGGAGACGCTCAAGAGCTCAACGAGAGTCAATGGAAAGTGATCCGGGAGGACGCATGTCGTTGAATCGATACTTGGATGCGACGGATCGAGACAGCAATTTGTCCGTTGGATACATTCGCGTGAGAGATTCTGTGGGTAAATTAGTACTGAATGAGAGCGATGCGGTTGCCACGGATTTTCATTACCGAATAAATATTTTAGACGGCACAGGAAGCTCCGAACTTATTATGAACCTTGAGCGAGTTCACAATTTGCCATTCCCTGATAAGATCCGCTGGTTTTCGACGGAAATTCATCGACTGTGGCTACCTTGGGAATCAGGACATGCCGAGCTCGTGGTACGACGGGATCATTTATTGCAGGACTCATTTGAACGTGTAGCAGCTATGAAGCCGTATCAGTTAAGGCAGAGATGGCGTGTGGTTTTTGACGGCGAACCAGCGTTGGACGCAGGTGGCGTTATGCGCGAATGGTTCACGCTATTGTTTGCTGAGCTGTTTGACCCGACCTTTGGACTTTTTGTGAGCACGGTGGGAGACGAAAGAAGTTATTGGATTAACGCAAGTTCCGACATGCTTATTGGTGAGGATGACCATTTGGCTTACTTTGAGTTTGCAGGACGGCTCGTGGGCAAGGCAATTTTGGAAGAGCATTTGGTCCCAGTGCATCTTGCGCTGCCATTCCTCAAGCACATTCTGGGCGTTCCGATTTCATTCTCTGATTTGCAATTCCTTGATGACGAGATTTACAATAGCGCCTTGATGATAAAAAAGATCGACGACATTGAGCCACTCTGTTTAGACTTTACAGCCACTCGCGTTGTGGATGGCAAAGTGGACGTCGTTGAGCTTGTTGAGGATGGTGCCAATATCGACGTAACACGAGAGAACCGCTCTCGTTATTTGGACGCACTTTTCAAATACCATGTGCTAGGAAGTGTCAGCGGTCAGCTGCTGTCGTTCCTTACGGCGCTTTATGACGTGGTGCCTGAAGGTCTACTGAAGCTGTTTGATTACCAAGAGCTGGAATTATTGATGTGTGGAGTGCCGTCTGTCGATGTGGAGGATTGGAAGAAACACACTGACTTTAAGTTCTTTACGCACAACTTTCCCACGGAACTTGAGCTCAATAACATTGAGTGGTTTTGGGAAGTAGTCGAGGAAATGAAGAACGAGGACCGCGTTCGTTTGCTTCAGTTCGCGACAGGCACTAGTCGTGTCCCGGCGCAGGGTTTTAAAGGATTGATCAGCAGTGATGGTCGTGTGCGACGTTTCAACGTTGCCTTTGCCGGCACGAACCAGTCGTTCCTGTTTCCGAAGGCACACACGTGCTTTAACCGTCTAGATTTGCCGACATACAACTCGAAAGAAGTGCTGGCGGAGTACGTTAATCTAATCGTGCAGATGGACATCACTGGTTTTACCATCGAGTAGCGTCCAGCTCATTGCTGGTCAAAATATTTGTTTTATTTAGCAGAATTAGGGATAACAAGCTAGGCGGGCATTGGAGGTCAAGTTAGCGACCACTAGGTGGGAACCTTGAATGCGTATGGTGACAATCTCTAGTGTGAGGGAATATAAATGCTAGAAGTAGCGGAAGACATCATATTAAAGTTTTGAAACGATCATTGTGGACATGCGTGCAAATGGCCAACGGTAAAAAAACGATAGTTAAAACTGTACATAGTACGGAACAGGCACAGCAACAGGAAGCAGTTATTTTTTTGCGATGCCTTATAAATCCAAGCGCCATCAGTCCTCAGATGATACTAATGGCTCTACCAAGCGCCATCAGTCCTCAGATGATACTAATGGCTCTACCAAGCGCCTAAAGACTTCTTCACCACTAAACTTAGACGAATTTTCACTTGAGAATATTGTAACCAACACAAAGAAGGCTGCAGTTGCTGCTCATCTACCAGAGAAGACCTTGTTGCGGCTGTTTGAACAAGATGCAAGCGTGTTGTATCTTACAACGGACCGCAGGAGTTGGATTTACCATGTACCACGCTGGTATTGGCATGTTTTTTAAACACGCTACACGTGAAGAGCTTCATTTAGCAGCTTTAGATGAGGATAAAGATGAAGTGGAGTCACCTTTTGTATGGTCTACAATGTTTAAACAAGCCTGGGAGGCACATCCGAAGGAGCACGATACTATTATGATGTTCGGTAAACCGACAAAGCTTCCACGATTCCAGCAGTTGTGTGGTGAAATGGGGAGCTACAGATACTCTGGCAAGACATTTGAAGCACAGAAAAATTATCCGCAAGGTTTGAGGCACGCTATTAAGCACCTGCAGCGAATTGTACAAGACCCCAGTACTCTACGAACAAGACTCACTGGAGGTCTCGTGAACTGGTACAAAAATGGAGATCACTACATTGGTCCTCACGCCGACGATGAGCGTGACATGATGGCATGCTCTCCTATTGTTTCATTGTCACTAGGAGCTACGAGGCGGTTCGTTTTCACAAAGAAGACTTCAAAATGTGCTGTTAAAGACGATGAAGCTGTGAAACGAATGGAGTTGCAAATAAAGGACGGCGACTTGATGATCATGGGTGGCGCGACGCAAAGAACCCACAAGCACGCGGTACCAAAGATGACTCAATGTCGTGAGCCAAGAATCAGTGTCACCTTGCGCTGCTTTCATTAGGTATTTGATTCCACTTGGAGCATTATTCAAACTTGATTCACTTACGCATAACTTATTCATGCAAACACTTTGCCTTTTTACTTGTAACATATCGCGAGTGAAAGCGGAATAGCGCGTTGGCAAATCGAGGCGCCATGCGTCCAAAGCAGTGCGAGTGTGTGAGCGTCCACGACATTTTTTGCCATTGAATCATCACCGATTTGAGATTGCCATGCAGCTTCTCACTCTCAGGTCTTGCAAGCACTGTATCCCACACCAAAAATTGCTGCATGCTTTCTTTGGCCTCATTTGAATGCTGGAACTGCTCCCAGATTACTGTAGCATCAGTACCCACTGCATCTCCGAGCACATGCGGCCCACCAGGATGCAACTTCAAGAAGTCGGTGACATCATACACTTGTCCTTTGATTACTACGCACTTGCGACCATCCGTGATTTCAAATAACCTCGAAAGCTCTACAGCTCGTGACAAATGGTGTCGAAAATAAAAAAACCGCCAGCAATGAATGGGGAAAACCATTGCAAATCTGTCGCCTGCCTCACTAAAGTCCCGCTGAAAAACATGTCTCCAGAGCATTTCAGCAGAATCGCCAACATCGTGATTCCAATCTTTGCAAACTAAAGGACAGGTAGCTAAATCTTTTGGTGATAAAAACAATAGCAGCTCATACAGGACGTCACGAGGTAATATCGTCATGAAAGCTCCTGGTGCCTTAAAATTGTCCGTTTGAAGCCTAATTTGCTGGCTCTGTACAAGTTTGGCACTTTGCTTCTTCTTTGCTCTGATATGAAACTCCATTTCCTGCTTCTTCTTGTGTTGAAGCAATCCAAAGAGTCCTAGAAACAACAGGAAGGCTGTAATGTCGGACGAGGTGAAACGTCGCGAGTCTCTGCTCTTGCCGTAACTAGCATCCAATGGAGATACAGTAGACGGAGAAATGTATGTAGCAGAATTAATGAATACTTGATACAAAACGCTAAAGGCGGAGGTGAATACAATGAACTGAGCTACACGATTACCTGTTGACACGGCGGCGATGCAGCCACTCGACGTCATAATAAAAAGACAGTTATTATTTTGGCTTTTAAAGGTTAATTCACTTTATATTTGCTGCTAAAATATAATGTTAAGAGGTCTAAAATATAATGTTAAGAGGCCGAAAATATAATGTTACGAGGTCCAAAATATAATGTTACGAGGTCCAAAATATAATGTCAAAAGGTTCAAATTGAATATGCACGTCTCTTATTCGTCCTGGCTTTGCTTCTACAACGATAGAAGTCTTGGCCAAATGTTTGGCCAGTAATATAGGCTACGGCTACGTAGGAACTCCCGATGGTTTCTGTACTGTTTGCATCTCTGCGTCCGCATGATGTCCTACGATCGAAGTACACCAACTTGGATCGAAAAAACATATCCGTGGGGTTTCGAGAAAAGGAGAATGACCCAGCCAATCGCCTTTTGTCACTTAAGATCGCAAAGTATCTTCAAGCTCACCCTACCGATCAGCATCTCCTGCTGAGCTGCCAACTGTACAAACAGAAAATCTAACAAAGTGTCCAACGGGCTCGATCCACCGTCGGAGAAGAGACTCGCCCACTTGGATGCAGCGGTGGTTGATCACTTGCAACCGCAGATCGAGCTGTCGGATCGTAAACAGAGAAGGGTGATGCCGTATCTCCATCAAAGGAGATCGTGTCAGCAGACCAGGGAGCAGGACCGAGGAAGTAGATCAGCCAAAACAGAAAAATTTTATAATTTTTTTTTTTTTTTGTTTTTTTTTTTTTTAAAAAAAATTTTCCCAATGACCACCCAATACTCCTAAATTTTTATTTGTGCCATTTGTGGAGAAGTACACGAGGGTGGTAAAATGATGCCCTATGGAAGAATTCTACAACATTATTCGCAAGTGGTGCGTGCCAACCAAGCATGCTTTGTGTTACTTTGATGCTTGGGTTGGCGATCAAGTCGACCAAGACGTGATTTTAGGTATGGATTTCATGGCACCAGCTCGAATACGTCTGGATCTGGCAGATGGAACACTTTGTTTGCCGGATGAAGTCAGACATAATCTAGCAGGACGAAGACCGCCGTATCAATCCACCATGCAAACGGTTAGTGTGAACCATCAACATGTGGTATGAAATTCCAGTGGGTAGAACGGCAGAAGTAGGGTCCGGTATGGGCTCACCCAAAGATAAGCTTTGGGTAAGAAGCAATCCCAAATGGGGGCCAACAGCCATATAACAAGACTTTCTACACCATTACCAAACTAGTTTGGAGGGTGGTCATCAAGGTTGGCTGAATGCACCAACGGATCAGATCTATATCCACTGGCAAGATCTCTATCAAAGTATGCAACGTTACGTGGTAAAACGTGTGGATTGTGAAACTGGTAAAGGGTACCCTGCATCCGCGGCGAATTGCCAGAAATTCTGTAGGCTACTTACCCTTTTCAATTTTTTGCCATGGAACAGCCAGGCGGATGGTGCAAACATAACGAGGGCGTTAAAGTTGAATTTCACAGATCTAGATCAAAGGGATTGTAATGAATAAGCAGAATGAGTGACTTTCGTGATTAACACGGCGCAGGATCGCGTTCGTAGTGATGCTCCGTTTTATCTGATTAATTTCTGGGATCCGCGATTTACTTTGAAAGCTACACTACCACTTAACAGAATTGAGCAACATGATCGAGACCCGCGGCGGTGGAGATACCACATCCAGCGACACCACCAACGCGCTAGAGCCATGGTGAATAGACGCCAGAAGGCCGCGATCCACGACCAAGCCGATCAGCATAATGCAGATCAAGAACCACACGGTATATAATGTGGATTGTACGTAAGGGTATATCTGGATCGCGTTAAAGAAAGATATGCTCGCAATTTGGCCCGTACGTGGCATGGGCCATTTCGGGTGGCAGAATTGGGCGGAGATTACGCTGTGCGTTTGGAGATTGTGGATACGCCATGTCGATTATCTCTAGTGGTATGTGTTCCGAGGTTAAAGTGCTTTTGAATTGTTTCCGAATCGCATTAAGAATTTGTTGGTGGTCGAGGAACTGGATCGTGTTGATTTTGATGAAGCTATGTTGCTAGAGGACAGTTAGGATGGCGATCTGTAATTTGGCAAGTTCGAAGTGGAGAAAATTGTGGATGTGCGATCCAATCGCAAAACGCGCTATGGTCGTGTACAGCGACAATATCTCGTGCATTGAAAGAGTTAGAACGCGCCGTCTTGGGTAAATGAAGCAGAATTAGGCTGTGGCGCCTTGTTGGAAGAAACTGATCGTGATCGAGTGAGTTAAAATCGGTTAAGTGATGCAGTCGCATGAAGAGAAAGCCAAGGAATAAGACAAGACGATAGAATGGAGATGGGAAGTGAAGGTGTTCAGGGTGGCTGTGAAGGAGGGGTTATATGTGAATTGAGTGAAGCAATCGAGAGGGTCAGCCCTGGACCGCGGTAGAAAAGACCTATAAAATGGAAGCAAGTTCTGAACGCGATCATGAAGAAGAAATGGAATGACGCTATATTTAACAGCTAGATATGTAAACAAGGGGAGCGATTAATTTCAACAAACTTATCGACCAAGCGCGAGGTAGAAGATCTAAGGATGAAGGTATAGATACGGCAGGAAGCGCCATATCCTCAGATACCCAATTTTCCCCACGCGATTTACCTGTGTCTGCGATTGACATGGTAGTGCGATTTACGACAAAAGAAGTGGATGAGGTTACCGAAGGCGAAGGAACAACCAGGATGGCTAAGTGAAAGTGGCTAGGTGCAGACAGACCAGATGCACAGATGAACCAGCGCTTTATGTTAGCCAACGAGTGCAGGGAATGGTTGTGGCCAAGTCAAAAAGATAAAATCGCTGGTGTGTGTCCACATATTTTGTGTGGACCACACACTGACCGCATTCATGATCCGGATCGCGACGTAGATCGATATGTAGAACGTTGATCGCAACCCTTTGTGGATTGCAATCCTATGTGGATCGCAAATCTATGTGGATTACGATCACTACGTGGATCTCTATCACTACGTTGATCGCTATCACTATATATGTGGATCGCGTTATATATACATTGAGTGCAGACCACAAGACGAAGGGACGCTCGAAGGAACGAACGACACGTGGCATCGATGTGGACTACTACAATCTTTTGTATACGCCTGGACATATATAGCACATGTTATCATAAAGGAAGACATTGTCATAGGCTTTGACGTTTGATTGGTTAGTATAATGCAAAAGTCTACTTTCCAAGAAAGTACACGCGTAGCCTTCTCTTCCGGGTGGGATAACTGCCCCCCCTCGGCGTCTAAAAACTCCGCGCGCATTCGACTGAGATTGATCCAGAATAGTTTGGCCAGGATCACAAACTGTCAACAAACAAGACCCTGAGATTGGACGCAGCTACAACATCAAGGCAAGATCTTCAAATGGCTCAAGTGTTCAGATGATCTACACATCAGACAAAGGCAATACAAGGTTTACTAGTCCGCAACTAAGTACTACCGACCTCGTGAATATTGCCGCGTGGTCGAAGACCTTTCCAAACACATCAAAACCAACATTAACTCAGATTTTACCTGGAAGAGTGCTGCCCGCTCAATCGACGGTACACAAGGTAAGGAAGGACTTTTCAACATATGGTATCACATACTCCATCCGTTAGGTGATTGTCTGCGAGCCAGTGCGTGAAGCTGGGAGCGCAAGGGTCTTGTAATTTCTACTCCACCCACACTTCCGTTTTTCAAAGTATAAAGCTAACGGTCAGTTGACATCCACCTTTAAGACTAAGGCGTGTCAGCTTACGGCTTTTGATGCAAACGCCATCGCTTTACTCGAGTGAGTTTCCAGACATAGTTTCAAAGAACGGTCAAAGACGAAGCTTAACTACCAGTATTCTCCCCCAGCATATATCGCTAGGAAGCGTCGAGCGACTGTTAACACCGCTTTCTTGGCCGAACTACAGTGCCAGCGACTTCATGGCAATCTTTGGAGAGTATCTCGACATCGCACGCGTTATACGAACAGGCGTAACCTCTAAACTTTATTTGGTTATGACCTTAATGACAACATCGCGCAAGAAGGCACTAAGCATGAAACGAAAGCTGACGTTCACCATCGATCAGGGGTGCGGAGGCTGATGACCATTGGAATATCGTGGCATCAATCATAAGGACCTATGAGATTCGTCGTCGGTTGACGAGCTTAAAGATGGTGCTTTGGATTCGATGGCGTCCCGCCTAGAGTCTCTTGAGAGGCTTGCCGGTCGATACCTCAACTCTTTTGAGCATTATTATTAGCGTCTTTCAGTCACATAGCAGCGTCGAGCATGCTTTCGTATAGATCCGTGGTCAGTTTGACCTGGTTGTGCGCTTTCAGCGACGTATGCACCTCCGATGCCTTATCATTTGCATCCTACCGCCTGGGATATGGGACAAACCTTCTGAGACGGTGTTGAGGTTCGGATAAGTACATCATAGAACACAGCGTGCGCTCGCATCGTCTTGGGAAGATTACGCGTAGAGGCTTCGCTCCTCATTTGATCAAGCTGGTCTTGACTTGATACATTTGAACGCGATGAATAAGCAGCACAAGTGGATCAGGGTGGAGAAATTGGCGGAGCTTAACGCTGCACATTCTGCGGCATTTTGTTTTGCATTTAGCATGAGTCAAGTAAGTTTCAAGATCTGCGGCATGTTGATAATGCCAAGGAGATACAGGCATCACCAGCACCAAAAAGGCTGGTAACATCACCACAGTAATGCTAGCCTAGGACCAGGCAAGAAGATTCATTATGCTTCATAAAGTCTATGCATGAGGCGAAACACAAGGAGAACGTGGAACCGAATATTGTATTCAGTGTTTGAAAATTGCTCATTTCTAATCTGGCTAGCTGTTAACCGTAACCATAAAATGATTCACATACATATTGAGTTTGAAGAATATTGCTTCTGATCGATCGACCAACTTCAATCAGCGGGCAGAGAGCCACGTGGTCACTATACTTATTTAAAGTATAGTGACTATGCATATTTGC